AATCTATCTATCCATCTTGCAGAAGAATGCTTCAAACACAAAATGTTCTCCCATCAGAGAAATTGCTGGCTTTGCATGGTCTCATGAAAAGAATGCACAGATGTCGTAGCAGAGATAGAGTTGCACAGCCTGAATGGTTTAACATTGAAACTTGCATGTAATACTGGACCTCTTTATCGATTCCAACTTCTAAAATGAATTTCAGTCTTTAGCTTCAGTTTAGTATTGGCTTGTAAAATTCCACTACACAGCCACTTTAATGTAACCTGATTCAAAAATCATACTCCTGTAAAATTGTTCATTCTAGGAATAGGAATGGGCCTTTTTAAATAAAATCCCAGGACTGAAAAAGATGGTAACATCAATAACACAGGGCGCAAAATCAAGTGGGACTTGTAGTGAAATTATTTGCCTTTTCACCACACCACTCCTGTCGACTATGTGGAAAGTTTTTCAATGAGATACTAAAAATATCTCCTTCAACAGCTGCTTAAGCCCCCCCCTCCCATTCACCCCACGCTATGCTTATATCCCTTATTTTCTGAGCCATTATATTTTCCTGAGATAAGACACACAATTAACTCTAATGTCCTCAGGGCAAGAGAAGGGGCTTACTGTTGGGGGACAAAATATAATCATCTTCCAACAACCCAGTTCTGTGTAAGACAATGCCCGGGCCATAACCGATAGTCACAACACAATACACAACACGCATCTCCAACACAATGCAGCCATTGGAAGTCAGAAGTGGAAACAAAAGATTGGTCATGAAAATAAAATGCCGGGTCCGTTTGATACGATAGTGAGGTTTCATTTCTCCTGAAAAAGAGCTGAGCGGACACCGAGCAAGCAGGTAAACCGGAGCGCAACGCACACCAGCACCTGCAGCTGCAGCCCCGAGGACCTGCCTGCCACACCGCGTCTCCTCACACTGACACGGCTGGCTCAGATGCCGCGAGGACGTGATGCAAAAACAAGCAGAGTACGGAGTCATAATGCAGGACCACAGCAATGCTTCGCTCATCTGGTTAATGGCTTTGAAATGTTTTAGAACGTAATACATTTGGTATAAAGAGATTCCCTCCATCTAAGAAGCTAAATAAATAGTGTGCTGTCTCTACAGTGTTAGACCCAGAGACATCCACCATTCGAAAACAATTAACGATTAATTAAAGACAGAATGCTGGTGTGCAGCATCTTCTCTGCCGTTTATCTACAGGAAAACGTATTCCGCCGATGTTCAGTTAAGACATGAGGTACATAGAAAAACCATTAATATCGTGGCGGGGAACAGCTGATCACAGGTCTCATTAATTCTCATTAAGAGCAGAGGGCGTTGTGGCCGCTGTGGCCGCTGGCCAGGCGAGCGGGGGAGAATATCAGCACTGAAATGACCTTGTTTTAACCGATAGGTCACATGGATAACAGGGGAAAGGTCTCTTGCTCAGTAAAATCTCTACACGTATTGTAAAATTCAGAACACAATTAAGACTTACTCAAAAATCAACCAGAATACTGAATAGCAGATAAACATTTCTAGCCAGGAACTGCAGGTCGATCAAGCTAAGGTTAACAACGGGAGTTGGTTGAGACCATTTGGCTGAAATGTGTTAAAATGAGTCCCGGTCTTACACATGAAAAAACGGTCTTACACATGGATTTGAAGGCCACACGTGTGATACTGCGCTACAACACTAAAGCAAAAGCTACGAGTCAAAATAATACTGCTATCGTCTCATTTTCACGTGTGGTGTGGGCCCGTAGTTTATGTCAGTCATCTGTGTGTTCACGGTCCCTTTCTCCCTCTTGCCATTTTTGATTCAGTCCAATAAACAGACTGTCAAAGCGTACACGGACCGTGCACCTCCAGCAGGAATACCGATGCTCCGGGGGAAGACTGGACACCACAACGACTCACTACCACCTCTCGAGCCACAAGTGGTTTCACCAGACCGGACGGGCCGGCGCTAGAATGAGCAATTCAATAGACATAGACTGTTACATCACGTCATCCATGCAACCTCATCACATTCTCGCAAACTTCCTCATATCACAAAATAAGGAAAGCATATTGACAAAGCATTCATGTTGGTCAAACAGAAACAATAAGGAATGACTTTGTGAACTGATCACCCATTGAGGAGCACTCCTCCAGAGATATGCTTATTGGAAATAGCCTCCGGTGACCTGGGTGCAAGATATACAAACCTCAAAGATCTGTTGATTCACCATAGATTTTTTGACCACAGGCTTCACGAGTAATCTTGATAATATATCTTCCCATAAGAATGCGCTGGCAGCAGCCCAGAACGCAGTTTGAGCTCAACCTGTGAAAAAGGAATGAGCTCTGAATACAGAGAGGGTGCACAGCCATTAAGAGGACACTGAAAGTAGCACCACTATTAATCACATGCACTCATTCTGGAGCAGGTAGCAATTTGTTCGCTCGCTAAACCACACATGAAATGGGGGGTGGGGAGGGTGTAAAAGAGGAGGCGTTTCACTCAGCTATAGAGGTGAATAGTTGGCACAGGGCTTGTGCAGCACCGGCACGCTAAAATATTAACGTCCGAGGCTGTGAATATTTATGCACGGCCATCCCCATCATCAGATCGTGGAGGACAAAGCGGTGTCCTCGGAGTGTAATCCAATTCTACATGTTCCTGCTTCCTTTTCCCAAGGACAGGGAGCATTCGGGCAAAGCGGGCGGCTTTGTTGCTCGGGGATGAAGCTGCAACGGGTCTCGCGGCGGCAGACTGCTGGCTCATGACAAGCGGATGTGACCTCTAGTCATTACCGTCTGGGTGGGGGGAAAGGCAAGGGCCCAGGCTGCAGTGTGCATGCCTCCAGCCATATTTTTGGTTGTAACTATTTATCCACAAGCCCAAACACAGTTGTAAAAGGCTATTTGTTCCCCTGAAAAAATTATTACCATTGTTGTTTGTAGAAGAAATTAAAGGTATTTTTGTTCTGCTGCTTAAATAAGGCCATAATAAGCAGGCAAGGGGGAGGGTAGTTTTATGGAGCAGCCAGAGAGCGTACACAAACACACAAGTACACTCCCTGGCTCTGCGTGTCTGTTTTCAAAAAGGTAACCAAGCAACGAGTTCCTGGCCAGGGCCTTTGGTGGCAAGCTTATCAGGTAACAGCTTTCTGCGCCTGCTCGCAGGTCCACTTGGTTTCTGTTTATCCCAGGTCACGGCTTCACTCTTGACCCAAACAACAAGGGGAGGAGGGGGGAAACAGGATTAGTCCTGCAGCCATTAAGCGGGGGAAATGACTGGTCCAATGCAACCGTTCAGCCATGTACAGAGGACAGGCTACATCAAGGTGTCCTTCAACAAAGGGAAAAACTTTGAAATACGTTGAAAAGGTGGTAAGCAGAACTACCGTCATGCACATGAGGAAGTTTTTACCACATCGGCATAATGTGATCTGATGCGATCCGACACCACAGCAGTAGGTCTGATAACATTGTGATATGAAAACAAACGATAAACACCAAGAATAAAAAGGGAGCATTTTCACAAGTAAACATTCCTAGAAACTCTTCTCCTTTCCTTGCATTACACTGTTTAGTAAACTCGACTTAGAATAAGAAAGCCAAATGTGTACTGTCTGCCAGATTGGTCGCAACTTTTACAATTTATTTTTATTAACACTGCATAGTCAACGGGGTTGGACAAAGAAAGCAAGGACAAGGGAGCTGAGAGACCACATGTTATTTTGCCATTTAATAGAGGTTAGCATTTTGACGTGTATTAGGTAGCCCCCACTAAAAGAATGCTACAAGCATTACAGGTACTGTTCTTGTCTGCTGAAGTGGAACAGCGCCTAAATGACGAGGCCGTGGTGCCATTAAAATGGTAATGAGCCAAAACCAGTACAAAGCAATGTGGATCATGAGACAAAAGGCCAAAACTACACACATACATTTAATCACGTGTGCACACATACTATATTGCATTCAATGCCCCAGCTTTTATATGTAGAGATGTGCCAGATGATCCTAAACAAAAGGTTCCTCACTAATCAGCAGACTGGAATGTCATTGTCCCGTCCGTGGCTCCCCATTGAAATCCCTTAAATATTTTTAATAATTGCCATAGCATGTCACCTATGGAAGACATCACACAATCCAGCAGCAGAGGTTGGTGATGCTATTTAGAGTGGGAGGAGCGATCGGCCAGTTTCAGTGTAAATTCCAGGAGAGGACACACCCATTAAAATGTGGTCATGCTACAATTTAGGAAGCAGTGATGCAGTGAAATAAAATTAAAAAAAGCTTTCAACAGGAGTGGACGAGTGCTATCTGGCTGGGGAGGGGCTTGGGGGGCGGGGCACTAGGGGAGGGGCTTCGGGTGTTGGGGGGCACTAGGGGAGGGGCTTTGGAGGTTGGAGGGCACGATGAGTCGCTCTTGTCCCGCATGGTGGACCTTAGTGCGGACGTACAAGTTTATAAGACCGTAACCTGTCGTCCCGATAACTCCCGCACACTACCACCATCCTGATCCCAAAGGTTACCTAGAGTCTGGCTTCGGCGAACTCCCTGTGAGATATATGTCCCTCCTTATGTTACCTACGATACATGTTGGAATAATGAGTGATTTTGTATAAAAAAGTATATGGTTAAAAATGGAAGAAAATGAATATCGCACTTCGATGGGGTAACCTATTCAATCTGTCTCAGCTGTTCTGCTCGCTCACTAAACTGACCTTCGGAGTGACTCGTGTGAAACGTGGACGTGTTCTCAGGTGTGGTTGTTTTAACCGCGGCGCCGGTTAAATTGTTAACCATGGCAACGCGAGGGAACACAACCCTAAACTAAAATGTTCAGCATTTTCAACTTATCGAGGCGGCCAAGTTTCCGTGCGAAGCCCGGCGGTGGACGGGAGGGGAGCGTTAACGTTACGTGGCTGACCCCGGAGAATGTTCTCGCCGACTAACGGACAAACATCCATTCTAACCATCAAGTATCTCACGCGCCATAAAAACTTACCTGCGAAGAGGCTCAACAGCACACAGCAGAACCTTCCGGTGGGAAACTCCATTCCTCCTCCAGCCATTCCAACACTTACTCGATGAAACTTGGTCAGAGAACTTGCGCTGAGTTCGAGTGAATAAAGAGGCAGTCCCTCTCGACCGAAGCATCCACACACTTCACTCCTCCCTCTGCTCGCTCCTCTGCAGGTGCACAGCGGGGCGAGCGAGCGCGCCGCCGGCTGTCACGTGACGCGCGGCCGTCCCAATTGTGACGCGGCGTCGCCCTCTGGCGGTGACGGCGAGGAACTGTCCCGGTTTCTGCCAACGCGACAAAGGAGCCGGTGTTCACCTGCGTCTCGTCCGGCCTCCACGGATACTTTTCTCACCCCGTTATTCTGTTTGATTCACAAAAAGGTCCCCACTTGATATCGTAGTCATTGTAGCGGCAAATACTGAGGCATGTCACTGGTTAATTTTGTGTTCATAAGGGCCACATTTCAGAATGGTTTCATTGTAAACTATCATCTTTAGAGTAGTTTTAAAATGTGTTGAATTCATTTAAATTCATATTTGTAATCATGTAAGGATGTACTTTTCATTCAAACAATAAATCTGTCTTGGATGTTAAACCTATACATTTACATGAATCCTAGTGTTGTTCATATGCTCTACGGGACAGAGCAATAAAAACAACTTGGAAGACTGCAGTGACGACAAACACAAAGTGGAGGGTAATGTAGCAGCAGTTATTCAAACATTACCTATTTTGACCATACAAGTAGGAAAAAAATGTTAGCGCCCCTGCCTTTTGGTATGTTCTTTAAAACAAGGATGAATGTTTGAAAGTCAGCGCTGGGCTGAAATCATTGAAAACCACAAAACCAAGCAAGAAATATAGTTTAAAAAAAATCAGCCTACTATTTACTAAAGAATATATCGAGGATTTGTGTCTGAACAGGATTTGTTGGCCATGGCCATGCATTTATCTTGATTAGACTAGACTATGTGTAACGCTGTGTTTACGCGTCTCAAAAACGAGTCAATCAGAAAGCTTCAGCTGATCCAGAGTGCTGCAGCTCGAGTCCTCACTAGGACCAGTAAAGTGGATCACGTCACTCCAGTTCTCAGGTCTTTACACCAGGTACATGTTTAAAACGAAGAAGCTACTTAAAAATCCTGCTGTCAGTTTATAAAGCACAGAGTGGTTTGGGGCCAAAGAACCGCCACTTGTCAAATTATGGTGCTACTGCCTTTGAGATTTCCATTATAACAGCCACGTCCCCAGTTTGACTCCAGCCAGGGATCTTGGTTACATACTATACATATTTTTCCCCTCTACATTTTCAGCTAGCAGATAAAAAAATACCAATAGCAAAATAAGTGGTTTTATATTTCAAACACTTTGAGGATCCTTTGGGAAAAATTAAATACACAGGCACCATGATGCTTGGAAATTGTGTTTAATAAAACTATGTTAATTTAAGTCTATGCACCTTACAATTCTGCACTACACATAAATAAAACATTTGACCACAAAAGGGACAAAATACATGACATAGATGAACACCTATCGTATACAGAACTTCAACATGTGTATTCCAACATCTAATTAAATACCAGTGATTCATTTTAAATATAACAAAAGGTCTAAAGTGCAAAATAACTCAATTGTACGTAATCTATTAAAAAAAATCATCTTTAAAAAAATGAACATAGTTCAGCCATTAAAAAGTTTTTTTTTTAGTTTTAATGTCTAGTGTAAAGAACAAGCCCCACGGTTTCTATCTGTAGTTAAGTGTCAAATTTGGGGTTGAGTCCCAGTACCGAGACGACCGTCCTCCATAGCCAGGGGGGGCCCACGGACTGGGCCTGTAAGTCGGGGGGGCTCTGCCGCGCATCCTGAAGCCGTAGTGCGGCAGTGGAAGGATGGGAGCTTTTCCCAGTACAGGCTTCTTAGGATGCCACGTAGGGGCAGCAGGATTCATATTCTTAAAAAGGAAACAAATACCGGTAAACGAAAGCAGTCATACAACCACTCAGAAACCACGGCAACAACTCTGCGGGTCACCACAAAAACGTTACTATGGAGAAGCTTTCCATTATTTTCCAGACCGGTATGAGATTATTTTATCGTGGAAGTAATTATAAAATGTGTTATGTAATACCTGGTAAGCATTGCGGCCGTTGAAGACAGTGAGAGGCGACGTGCGCGTGCTTTCCTCATCAGACGAAGAACCCGAGTGGTAGTCTGAGGTCGCCCGCTCCAAAGCACTGGTCACCTCTGCAATATCTGTGTCCCCCTCAGCATATTTTGAGAAGCTGGCAACTGAGAAGCAGGGATTGTTCTCTCCGTACCTGATAATTAATAATAATATAGGCAAAACACAGCAATAGTTTTAGGAGGATAAAATAAATTTGGCCATTCTTGATTAGTTAAGAGCCAAATATTTAAATATACAATATATATTGTAATAACTGCAAGAAGAAAAATAATCACACCAAGTCTCACCTGCAACTGACCTCACCAGGGTCCACCCACAATGTAAGTTCCCGGGACAGTCTCAGGTCATTGAACTGAACCCCACTCTCTTGGCAAGCCCGAAGGACCTCCGGATCCTGCTTGTGGAAACTGTTCATTCGGATGCACCTGCAGAGCACAAACAATGGATTTCAGTTTGAAACGAAGAGCCCAAAACGCAGAACGTGCACATCAATGGAAAGACAGTGGAGTCGGGTCGGAAGAATGGCCAGCAGCACCTGTATGCCTGTCCTTTGCTGGGGTCTTCAGGGTACCAGTGTCCCTTGAGCTTCTCCTGAAGTGCAACACTCAGCCTCTGAACAAACAGATCGATCTTGTGCGACTCCAGCTTCCCTCCCTTCTTCACGAGCCTCTTCAGGAAGAAAACCACAGCTGCGATTTCTCTCCTCATCTTTCATTACGCTCCGGCAGCCCCTGTAAAAAGATGTCCGCAGTAACGAGGAAACTAGGTAACTGTGAAAGAAACAGCAGTTTGAGTGAAAAGCTACACAACTAATTAGTCTCGACAGGTCAGAATATTGTTTTAAAGATATCCAACTCGCAGAAGGAACGTTTAAAGTTAACATTAGATAACTAGAAAACAACTAAAGATGTTTATCCGGTAAGTGACCATGTGCACGAGGCAACGGCTGTTTGAGATTATTTTTATTTAAATTCGCGGAGGGAAAACAAAAAATAATCTAAAATCAAAAGGCAATTCCGCTTTGTTTTCGATATGCTCCGTTACCTCTGTTAACGGTCTGGCTCATATGCGCGCCCAGAAAGGCGGACTGTGGCGCACCAGTTCCGGTTATGCACGCGTCACCACGCTCAACAACAGTGACGTAGTCAGCCTGCTAGCTAGTTAGGCTAACACTCCAAATACGGTTATATTTAAGTTATTTAGTCCGCACTGAGATGCATTTAAAACAGAGCGGATTGTGAAACTGTGAGTATTATGTTAAAGAAATATAAGGCATTAGCTTATTGTCAAACGTTAATGCCATATTGTTAAGTTACCAGCCTCATGCTGCTAAAAGAACACAGCATCAAGTTACTTTAGTGCCAAAAGTTTGAAACAGTCATAATAACTTGTGATACATTTATACTAATCACACTGAGGGACACCTATCTAATAAAGCTGAGACACGAGGCCTGTTGCATCCTGACTCACCCTTTGTGACAGCCCTCATCCAGCATGTGGTTAAACAAAATGAATGGGAAGCGGTACTACGGGCACGAGAACTCTTGAGGTTCGGTTATTAACGCCGCCCTTTTCAATACAGGACCCGCCTCCCGATTGTTCTTATTGGTTCAAAACCAACCAACATGGTGGATTTATTGGTCGAGCACACGCTCGTTATGGAGTGAATCAAACTGGGAAAATGAGGTAAGCAAAATATGTGACACGACAAATTACTGAAATATGAATACCAATATTGGACGGAAAAGTGTTCATCTACACAGCATCATTCACTTGTCGTTGTAGTAACCTAGAGTCCTTTCTATTGTCATTATTTTTTGGTCCAAGTTTACTTTCTGTCATCGACTGCATCAACAAATATTAGAACAGTAAATACTAACGGGCTCAATAAGAATCATCGTTTAAAATAATGAAAAAGAAAAAATATCACTGTCATGTGTCCAGACGTTTCTTCACAAACTGTGAATGAAGTAGAGGTCGATGAGGCTTAAAAAGCTAAAGAAACGTTACAAAATCTTAGTTCAATCTCATCATGTAATTAGCACTCTGGGCTTGACCACAACACTGGATTTTGAACTTGCTCACAAACGGAGCTCCGTTAGTTCTGATAGCCCCACAGGGCTTTGTGCTAGGCCCATCATCGTGGCATAGTGACATCCAGTGATATCACTGTGACATCCAGTGACATCATAGTGACATCACAGTGACATCATATAGGTGATGGGGTCGTCGTGGCGCAGGGGTTAGAGAAGGTGTGCTGGGAAGCACAAGGTTGGTGGTTTGATCTTCCCCATGTTCCATGTCGAAGTGTCCCTGAGCAAGACACCTAACCCCTAATTGCTTCCCGGGCAAAAATGTGAAAAAAAGCCATGGGTTTAAAGTGTAATGTAAGTCGCTTTGGATAAAAGCGTCTGCTAAATGACCTGTAATGTAATGTAATGTGATGTTGCTAGCTGTGACATCATGAGAGACATCACGAAGAGTCATCATGGGGTTTTTTAAATAAATATGTACATAGAAAAATATAAAAGAAAAGCATCTTTCAAAAGTGAAAGAGCTGTACAGCTCTGTGCATTACAACAAAATATTACAGTGAAATGTGCAGTTCTAAAGTATAGGAATGTTTGCATGTGAGGAGACAGTGAAGGTCAACACTGTCATAAACAGTTATAAAAGCCTGACAAGCGGTTAATGTTCTATGTATGTATGGTTCCTTTTTGAGAGGTGGCAATCTAGTGTCTTAAAGCATTTTGCATTGTCTAGAAAAAATAGTTTTATTGAAATCTTTTGCAAGAAAATACAAACGGCCACCTAAGCACAAATCACACAGCATGTGTAAGGTCCATGGATGCACACACAATAAATAGAATCATCACACAACACAAATGCAGCCTTGTTCAACATTAGAAAACACATTAACAAAGAGTCAGGTCCAAAGGAAGGAGTGGCGACAGGTATTCTGACAGTCGACAGTCTCCAGTCGAAGATGATGACACAAGCGGATCCATTTTCAATGTTCTTCTGATGCACAGGCCCGGGCATGTTTCTGCAGCGTACCAAAAGACACCGCATTCATAAAATAAAAAAACAACAACATATAACTGAAGATTGAATGGATGAAGATGGACTACACCCAAGCACACTGAATACAGTTGTACAAAGAAAATGTTTAAAAATGGAGGAAAAACTTGAAACCCTGAAAATGGGTCGAATACATTCATTCTCTTACAAAGAGAGAGCAAAAGAGATGGTGACGAGGTTGATTTATTCTAAACATCCATCTGAATAAAACCTCTTTCCCCAGCTTATTACACTCTAGTGGTTATGAGACCTCTTCTGAGGAAGAATCAGATCAGCCATATTCTCATAGATATTTGCTATTTAAGGAATCAGATTTATTGGAATCCTTCTTGCATAGGGCTCCTGAATACTAAATTAACCAAAACTGTGGTCTTTAACACAGTGACAGTTAATACCGTGGCCGACATCGTCCCCTTCTGTTCAAACATTAGGGACCTCTGTGTATTGCTGTGACATCGACTTGGCTCTCACACAGGTGAAAGGGTTAAACAGTTAAAGCTTCAAATGAGATTAGATCAATACACGTAATTAGGACAAATACGCCATGTGCGACAAGAACAAATCCTTTCTACACAGACAGCGGTAGAGAAAAAAAATATACATATATATATATATATATGTGTGTGTGTGGGGGTCAATAATTCATAGTCTGGTAAGTCACTAAGCCCCACACACTTAAAATCGGTTTGGTATTGTATCTTCCTCTGCTAATGGACATTGCGTCGGTGCAGTTCACTTTTAAAATGGAACAAAAACATACTTTGGTTTCTTTTGAAATAAGTAAACCCCTCTTTCCGAGAGCCCTGGTTCAGTGTATAGCCACACCTACGTACGCCTTGTGCTTAATAGTGAGACAGCTCTGTGCTCAAAATCAAGTAAATCTCACAAGCAATATTAGTTACTATAAAACCAAAGGCTGAATTAGAAACTAAATACATAGTAACTACTGCTTACCAACAAGCAGTTACAAAGTGGTAAGTAATGAACTCAATGAACTCAAAATAAGTCAAATATGAAAAGATAATACAGCCCTGTTAACTTTCATACTTGGGATGTATTTGTTGAAATTATGCTTTAGAGGACTCTTGGGTGGTGTCCTGCACTCTGCTGTACTGTTCTCCGGATTAGACTTGATCCTTTTCTTCAATACTTTAGAATTTCGGTTAAATCTATCTGATCACCACTTTCCATAAACCACCACGTCAAGACAGAGCAGTTTGAAGGCCACTTGAAAACTCCTGTTTCAAGCCATTGCATTGGCTATAAAACAGTTGTTCACGCTTGACATTAGAGTGATCGGACTCTCCTGGCAGCGCCTGTTGATGTGAATATGACGGGCATCGTTCATCTGATCTACAGAGAACCATTAGGTAACATGTAAAGGAGTATTAAGCAGTATTTTATCCACATCCAAACAATGAAAAACTGAAATGTTTTACAGCAAACAAAAAAAAAGTTGAATAAAACCAACAGCAATCATTTCTGTAAAATGATGCAGATAAAATGTTTGTGTTTTCCCCGGGTCGGTATCTCAAAAGATGTCCTCGCTGTGGAGCCCCCGTTTCTCCGTTGTACCTGGTATTAACATGCATCCTGGCTACATGAGCTGGGGTGAATTCAGGTCATATGCCAGATCAGGTCACCACTAATCCTTGCATCCTCACTGCAACGACGAGCGCGAAGACGGTCCTTAAATGCCGCTCCAAAGCAGGTCTGACGACGCGGGGTCACCACGTCGTCCTAGCACGCCACTCACTGTACACAAAGGCCCTTTAATGCGCCCCACTGCAGCCCGGATTTTGAAGCGTTTATCAGTTTCCTCCCAGCAAGGGACACACAAGCACCTCACTCCACGGGGCCCGTGACACTGCTGCTGGCCTTGACCCCGGCCCTGCTGATGTGGAGCCAGGGCAGCTTGGCACAGTTCTTGAAGAGCTGCTCGATGGCGACATGACGCACGTGGAGCTCTGACGCCAACGAGTCCTTTTCCTGCACGGCCAAAGTGAGCTCCTCAAAGACCTCTGTCGAGAGAGAGAGGGAGAGAGAGAGAGAGAGAGTCAATGGCTTCATTCACACACAAGGCTAAAGGCTGGCGCATGCTTCTGCGTCTGCGTCGTTGCACTCGTTTCAATTCATGGTTCTAGAAGTCTTGCGTGTGTTGCAGAGCAATTCACCGCCTGAACAACAGGTGGAGTAACGTGTTTCTGTTGAAGACGACCTAGAGAGTGACGTCTTTGTGTGTGGAAGTTGTTGGTTTGTTTGTTTATTTATCATAGACTTTTTGCCCCGTGCATCGACACTGCTGCTTTTCATCGCGGACACATATGTCCCAGATTTTTGTCCACAACTTTGTGCACCTCTCGACCGGCAAACCGACGTTTGCGGCGATCTCCCTCCATGAATTCAACCCGCTTATACAACCCGCCAATGACGGCTTGTATGAGTGGTCATATTTACGCATCTCTTCCAACAAAAGTTCTTCAATCTGATCCGTTCTCTCGTAAACATTCTTCGTTTAATAATGGCGGTATCGGGCTGTGAAAGCGGAAATGTGAGACTCCGTAAAGGATGTAGTTAGCGGACCAATCGCAGGCTGGTGCGCTGCGGGAGGCTTGCGTTGCTTGCGTCGAAAGCGACGCCTAGAAAAATGGCTCGACACACGCAAGGACGCAAGGAGGTGTGAAAAGGCACGCAAGGGACACGCAAGGGGGTCTTGCATCTGCGTCGCTCTGAAAACGCAGAAGCATAAACTAGGCTTAACGAGTGAGATAAAGAAATCCAATATCAGTGATGACCAAAGGGGGAGAGAGGAAAGACTGGAAAACACAGCTTCACAAAAACAGACTCGTCAGGATGCCAGTGTAACTACAAGAATGTTTACTTGAATGAGAGTTGCTCTACAACGACTGTGCTACATTACCCTGTAATGGGAACATTAGCACACTCTGGATGTGTGTAGCTTAGCTGTTGCTGTGCGTAGCTCAGTAGATCGAATAGTACGTTCACACCAAAAACAAAGCGTTTACGTTCCAACGGGCGCAAATAAAGGCGAATTAACTGCAGCTGGTTGGGAAAGTAAGCGTTGAGAAAATTTGCTTCCCTTTTGGTGTAAACGCACCATAAGGGATGAAGGATGGAGTGAAAGGAGAGGAGGGGTGTGTACGAGCACAGTGACCAATTCTACACTAGTGGTCACATAGCAGGACATGATGTGTTGAGTAGAGAAGCCTTCCAGTTTTATAAGCCCCATGCTCCATCTCTGCGAAGGCTGCGAGATTAAACACCTTTTTTCTCCGTAGGGCCCCGACAATCTTATATGGCCAAGAGGTTGCGTTAACTCGGCGGCTTTCCCCCACTTAACACAGAAGAAAAACAAGAAATAACACTTACTTTGAATCTGCATCAGCAGCTCAGTGTTCAGCTGATGGAGTTCGTCCACACTCATTTTAGTCACTAAAAGCAAAGAAACAGATATGTTTGATGAGGGAGCGGGAGAGGAAACCTTTGAGGAGAGGAGCAGACACATCTGTGTCATAGTTTGAAGTTGTTTAGTGATGACTTTATCGGAGGTTAACATGTGTAAGCACAGAATGTCATTTAGTCTCAAACCACAAGGAACACGTATATTTTAAAAGGGGCAGAATGTTTTGTACATTTGCAGAAGTCTTTCCAAAACACATACAAAGCACTAAAAAGGTCCAGATGTTTATTGACTGATTTAAATAATCAATTGTATCAGTGAAGTGAAAAGGTGCCACATGTGCATTTAAAGAGAAAAGAAAATGATGCTAACATGTGTGTTGATAACATTAAATGAGAACAAACACAGACTGATCTTTGTGTATTATGTGCCATCAATGGTTTTGTGTGACATAAATAATGGAATTTTCCACTAAGAAAATGTGTCAAGATTCGAAAGAAGTTTCATTAGTTTCCTGTCCAAGATATTCAGATTAGAGCGCGTCGACGAGATAACGTAGAGAGAGATAGACACGCAGATAAACATGTGTACCCTGTCATTTTAAAGAATGTTAATAAGGGACGATCACTTAAGAAGGCTCGCTCACATTCCTGCGCGCTGTAGTCATTCGCGGCTTTAGGCACGTAGATAGACAAGGACATACTGACGGGTTAAGGCTGAATAAATTCTCTGGAGGGAATACAACAGAGAGGAGAATGAGGGGAAAGTATTCTCCGTTGCCGTGTTACTGCTTTGTCTGCTCGCCAAGAAAAAAAAAGAGGAAATCGAACAGGAAGTGAAGACGGGCAGCGAATGCAGCGCCTCGTTAGGACAAAACTAAACAGTCAAACATGCCACAGCTCAAGGACACGCTGATAAAAAATACAGTCAGAGTTTAAACGTGCTCACGCTCATCTCTGCGGCCGGCCTGGTGTCGGTGCGCTGCTTGTCCCCCTCCTGAAGATTGGTTCCGAGTGTGCGGGCCGTTCCAAACGCTGCCATGCGACTCCTGCAGCAGCCCCAGCTCCTCCACGGTGCGGCACTCCAACATCCTCATGGTGTAGTCGGGCAGCCCCGCGGCTTTGCACGCGTCCCAGCACGGCGTGTAGTGGGGCACTTGTGGGTCCGACTGGGGCAGCAGCTTGCGGTCGCTCTGCTGGTTGTAACAGAGGAGCTTGGCCCCTCGTCTGCCGGGGCCGTTGGAGGAGACGGAGTCTTTGTTCTGGGCGTACTGGATGATGCGGTTCAGCTTCTGGTTGAAGGCCAGCTTCATGCCCTCGTAGGCACTCCTGGAGACCTTGGAGCGGGACAGCTTCTGGTTGGCTATGAGGTGGCATTTCTCGAAGCAGTCTCTGTGGCCGCGCAGGGACTTGGAGTGCAATAAGGTTGCAGAGGAAACACCTGCATTCACAAGGACATAAAGCAAGAGGTAAATAGGAGAAATGCATTCAAATGGTACGGCAACAAACACCCCCTCCCTTGAGAAACAAAGAAGTTGATGGTGAAAGAGTGCAAGAGGTGGCTGACGAGGCTAAAGCAACTGCGTCCAGTGTTTGTGTGACGGCCTTCTTCTCACAGCCGGCTTTTCTCAGCAGACGGAGAGAACGCACCGGAGCTCGAGGTGACAAGATTAGTCCCCGTTAGTGCATAAAGATTTAACAGCTCAGTTTGTTTTCCCTCACACATGAAACCACAGGACATCGCTAATACCATACGGCCACGGAGAAAGGGCCTTGATTAAAATCACACACACACACACACACACACACACACACACACACACACACACACACACACACACGAGAAAGGGGTTTTGGTTTCCGTCAACAGAGGCTTATAACGAACATATGCGGCAGGGTTCTAACTGACAACTTGCAGCTGAGACGGCTTACACAATATTTCCTATTTTGCGCAAGACATGTCAGTTACAGGTTGTACGTTATGGACGCTTTCTACATTTAAATTAATTTCTTTATTGCAGTCTCAGATTTCCTGAATAGCAGACCAACGACCATTCACAGTTCACATAAATGGTAACACTAGCATTACTTAAAGAGACTGAAGCTGAAAAAGTTGCATGAAGACCACGATGTTGACTGAAATTTTTTTAAATGATTGTTGAAAGAAAGAAAAATGTGTTTTAAGCACCAATTTGTTAGAAGGGCAATTGTCTTGATATATCTGTCCTGACTCCCATGTTGGCTGAGATCTCTGTATGCCTGCCGGATCAAAACAAACAGCCCACAACTAATGGGGCATAGTCAGCATATGGTATATGCCTCAGGAGAAAGGAAGGTCCGAGACCATTACACAACTGGCTATTCTTAGCTTCTGCATAACTGCGTTGTGGCCCGAGCGCCAGAAAAGACAGACCTTCATGATAGAGTGCATACATACAGCACCCGGTTACGAGATGATGAGACCCATCCCCAGATGCTTTGCTAATAGCTGCGTGGGCCTTCTGCATATCAAACAGCCATGTTGTAATCCAATCAGTCTCAGGACTCAAAAACACACTGACCACCAGTTTCCAAGCAGGAAAATCATTGGCTCACAACCAGGCCGGTGCACCATCAGCCAAAGACCTCACCCGAGCTAAGCAGCTTAGCACCACTGTCTTTCACAGACACACACGCGAGGTGAAGCAATATTGTTTCGCTGTGGCAGTCTATTTCAAATAGAAATATGTGCTTATGAAGAGGAACCCCGCTAAAATCAGATCAAATCAGCGAGTGGTCCAGGTTACTTAAAGCAAGAAGTGGAAACCATGTTACAACTATGCTTACAAAAGTCAGCGCATTAACAGGGATTGCCTTTGACTATTTGACTATTTTCCACTTAGAAAATTACAAAAAAAAAAACTTTGTCTTGTGGTTGCCGTCACGGAAAGCGATCTCTGCCTGGAGTCCGAATGCCTGTAATTGCGTTCACTACCGATTCTGCTCGGTGTTAAATTCTAGTGCATCGAACAGAAGTACAAATGTTGCACGGCCCGGAGCAACCCTCTGCAGACCTCTGGTTTTTGATCGTCGTGCGTTGAGCAAGGACGTCTGACCCTCGACACACTCAGGAGGAGACGAACTAGCGGATGGCTGCCGTGTGGGACAGAGGTCATCGCCGATAAGGCGTCAAACACAGCTCCATGGCACGCTTCAGAAGAACGAATGGTCAGCAGCGGCACGTGACGAATTAGAGCGAACGTCACAAGCGCTGAATCCAAACCCCACAGACAACAGCACAATGCACAATGAGTACAAAACTAAAAGTACAAAACTAAAAGTCTTCAGTGACAGTAACCAAACTGTCACTGAAGACAGTTTGACGTTTATAACTCCTTAGGTCAAGTTGTATACTTATCACAGCAGAGACATTGATAGTCCATAATTATCAAACATATTTTAAATGATTGGTTTGGCGAATCCTTGAACATTAGTACACAATGTGTGGAAATGATTGTGTGCTGATTAAATATGTCCTACAAGTCGTTACGTAGTTCTTTCTATGTGCTCATTCACATTGACTCTTTTATCAGAATAGAATATTACCATATTATTAAAAATTCGGAAAATAAATAATCTGACTGATCTATAAACGTGATTATTATTATAATCACGTTTATAGATAATAAATCCTGTTAATACTCCTAAAGGGCAATCCTATTTGGGGATGGAAGTAAAACATCACAACCAATTGTTCATTAAATTAAACAGTCTCTATTCGAACAAAATGATATGTCTAACCTTGAAAAAAAACATGAGCATTAAGAACTTGTGTTGCAGTAAAGCCACATTCTGATGCTGTGTACAGTCACTGACTATTGTTCCTTACTGAGTAGAGCGTAAACTGTATGCTTGTGAAGAAATTGTGGTCACATTCTATGCAAGTTAGTTTAGATTCACAGCCTGTGGTAAAGGAGGCTATTATTTCACAGTTCACTGGGTTGGTGAAAGCAAATCAACTTTGGAAAAATGGGGCAATTTATTCAAACAAACAGCAGCCAGTTAACACTTGGGCTCGGACCGCCGTGGCGTAGAGCGGCTTCAGCACATCTCTGGACCCCGACTGTGTTCAAACATACAGCCACAACAAGCAGGAACATAATTAGACCTTTCTATGTCCCAAGGTGAAGAGTTCACACACAGTGAACAGGCTGTTTGGAGGAGCAACAATAGCCTCTATGGAGCGGGCAGCAACTAGAATCAGCACCGACTGCATTATTCCAACCTCTCCCTGTTGGAATTTGATGTTTCTTTACTCACTCTGAACACAGCTGGAAGTCCTGCTGCCAGGCGTCGGCAAAAAGAGATGTGTGCGTTATGTAAGCAGATGGGGGGATAACTGTGCTGGTCTTTGGCTGAACCTTGCAGGTCGGCAGACATCTTATCTGGCGAGAAGCCTGAGGAGAGCAGACGACTGTGAGGGAGGAGGACTGATCCCTCAGGTGTTCACACAGCAGCGCTCGTCACACCCACGGAGTACGAAAAAGTCACATCCAAACAACAGAGCCTGACGAATATGATCGTTAATGATACCAAATTTGGCCATTTTTGGTGTATGAGGAAAGCTAAAACCAACGTGTAGTGGCTAATGTTTGGCTTCGTTAACGGCGTTTTGAATGTAAACATGGCCCATTTGAATGACCTGGCAATCTGGCAATCAATGATCAAAAAGAAAAGAATACATTGCATCGTTATGTAGCTCATTTTTAAGCTATAACGCTTTGGCTAGAGGGAGGTTTGGCTTTCCTGGGTAGCCAACAGACCCACTATCATATCATCGTTGGTATCACATGCATCATGGGGGCTGGTGTCTCCGAAATACACAAATGCCCTCAGGTTGAAAAAGCAACATAATTTCGCTGATTCCCAATGACAGCAGATGGGTTGAAGCTGCCGCACAGTGTTGATGCTCTGGGCTGTTCTAGTTATATGTGGCACAGAGCTCAGATGGTGCAGCAAGCAGAAACAAAATAAAGCCCAGTTAGGCAGAGGTTGAGCAACACATACATAGACACAGATTCTACTCTTTAATTGATGGAATTGGCGCGCATACACAGGCCAAAGCAGTTTCCCTAGGAAACAACCACTCGGAGCTACAACAAAGGCTGCACTTCCTGGACGGGCATCCTTCTTTAGGTTAAAGTTCATGAGCAGAGCTGTCGAACTTCAACTGTGACTTATGTGTGCGCCAGACAAGTCTGAACAACCGCCGTGTCGTGCGAGCCTGCGAGCAGATCTCAGGGTGGAAATGAATACCTGAGTGCGAGCAGTTAACTCCTAATGGGCCTGCTCTGTGCTGTGAGAACGCTACACAGTCGAGTACTAGACAACCCACGAAAGCTGTTACTGTCGTAAGAGATGATGTCATCCCGTACTAAGGTTCTAAAAACAAGTCGTTTCCACTACCACTGTTCCGATTTATTGAACTCATGGAGCTATAGTAAATCACGGGACTACCTTCCATGTCACACAGAAACATTCGGGAATCTGTGGGGTTTAAATGACATCTGTCCAAAAAACACTGCTTTCTGTAGCAAATCAATGAGTTGTGGTGTTGTAGATAGATGGAGAGATAGATAGATAAAAGATTCAACTACAACAAAAAGCAATTCTGCTTCTACTAAATATTCAAATACACTTTATAGCAAGATGGCAATGAATATTCATAAGTATCAATTCACCCTTGAGATGGCACGATACGGTTTGGAACGGCGCGTCTGTGTGTGCGGACCTTTGTTTCTCTTCTCCTTTAACCAAGGACGGCACAGGATGAATGACAAGCGTGGCGATTAACTCTGCATGAGCACACGGCTGGGCCTTAGTTTCCAATCCGCCGTGTGTATTTGCTTCATATTCCACAGAGCAATCATCTACCAAGGCTGATTGTTGCCAAGTAGAATGTGTCACATTCAGGCTTTTGACATTAAGGTTTATACTGTAGTGCTGGGCGGTATGGCAAAAGATTCATATCACGGTGTCTTGTAAGATTCTGACGGTACTCCGATATATCACAGTATTTTTTCAAACATTGAAAGAAACATTGATTCATTGACGCCGAAAAGGACTGTCTGCAACCTGAACAGCTGTTTACCACCCGCTGCTGTTTTTTAATTTTTATAAATGACCAATTATTAGTGTTGCAAATTGTTTATCTGTCACATACTGTTGCAACGGGGTATTTCCCCCTGTTAAAGAGCATCAGTTGTGGGTTATTAATTATTCTAAAATTTTAGAACTCTGACTCAATCTCAATACACGTGAGACAAGTAGCTCCAACCACCGTGCATGCCAGATAAGCCAGGATCTGTTCTTCTAACCACAGTTAGATTATATTTCTTCTGATTTAGGATTAATGAGCTTTCAAGAAATGTACAAACACAACTAAAGTTAAGAATGGTTTTAACAGCGCTCGGATGAGACTGAAGACTCTTTCAGAGCACACAAAGAGCAGAGCTACTAATCAACAGCCTCATGCTCCATTCCTTTATACAACAGCAGATAAGACCTATAAATCTTTTGTGCATATGAATTTTTTGCTATATTGCATCGCCGTACAAGTTGACCACTATCATCAAACTGTGCAGACCTAAACACACGCACACTGCTGGCAGAAAAAAGCGTTTGAGGATCTATAAGACAAATATCCTGCGAGAGGCATATCTAATCCCTTCCGAATTGCCATTCTTCTTCAAATAGGCCACTCATTAATTAAGAGATGAAAAAGCTTCAAACGCATGCTCTTGAGTTTGAGTGGCACATCAAACGGGGGAAATCGCAGCGGCCTATTTTAGTGAGGGCTTAGGTCCTGCAGGCCCATTACCCCGCACATATCTTCCTGCAGAGGAGGAAGCATCATACGAGACATCACAAAATCGGAAACGTTCCGAGGCTTTAGTACGGCTGTTGGCGCAAGAGCATATTTGCTGTGATGGGAACTGAGATAAAAAAAGAATGTGAACGTTTTTTTACAAAAAGGATTTGTTGAGACGCTGCAGACTCTTGGCAGCAAAGACCAGTACTGATCCATCCACATGAGACTGACTACAGGAATCCAGCCAGTGAAACTGGAAATGAGGATGACACATCAGACAAATATTCAGTGAGGGTGTTTAGGCTTTTTAAGAGTAGGGGCATTCACACAGTGGCAGCTACACTGCATCCAGGGGGTTGCTCTGAAGCAGTAGCTTGTGAAAGGGGCAAACACATCGCTTTGTTTGCACGTCATTTTAGTGAGTAAATGATCAGTGGTCTTACCTTCAATGCTGAGTTCAAAGCAGACGTGGCAGAACGACATGGTCCCTGTCTCCGTCTCCAGCTTGCAGACACTGCAGATGTTGTCATCGTTCAGATCGATGTTCACAAACTGCTCCTCTTCGTCCATCGTGCTTCAGGGGGAAGTAAAAGAGATCACATGGCTAAACACCAAGCACAACCGCCAAGCCCTGCTTTCTAATTGGGTCACATTTTCAAATAAACATATCCAAAAAATGTTTTTTTGGTTAGTGACGTTGGAGGGGATGCGTATCGGCGCGCACATTTTTTGGAGGTTAGACACAAAAACACAACACAAAGGGGCAGTGTCCTTTTTCACATGCAAAGGTGCGTTATTAATACATAACACAACATAACTTGTGGGTCAGTCTGCGTTATGATACATTCATAACACGAGCTAATGCTAATAATCGGTTGCATTGTGTTAATTACATAACATGTTATTCCCACACAATAAAACAGAAAGGAGAGATGCACATGAAACGAAATATCGTTTATCGTAGCGAAATGAGAAATATCTGGGTTTTACAGTGTGTGAGCTACAGCCAGAGAATTACGCACGCTAACAAGTTAAGTATGCTTTTAATTTTTTGGGCAACGAGGTATTCCAGTGGGAGTTCCAAATCCAACTTGTTCTTCTGATGCACATACAAAAGGGCATTCAAGGTGACTGCATATTTGGGGGAAATGCATTTCACCGTTACAGATATGAGGACCAAGCGTTGCCAAAAACGAGGGCGAGAAAAAAAAAAGACACAGACATACGGATTCAAACAAAGACTTGTGTATGTGTGACTAGGTTTGCAAAACAAAAACACCGCGTCTTGTGACATGCCACAGATAACGATGCTGCGCTTGTGATCATTTTGAGAGCTTGTTTAAGAAGGAATCCGTCGATAAAGCCAAACCACGTTCTTCCCCGTGAACTCCTCGTGTGATGTCATCTAGTGCAACAAGTCCGAGACATTCAAGTGAAGAAGCTGTTGGGGAGATATCATGATATAATGGTGGACCCTCAACGTTGCTGGTGGAAAATTAGAAATCGATAGCAATTACAGGAAGGGGGGTGGGGGGGACTCGGATTTCGTCGGAACTTTTCACCCCGTTGGGTTAACATACAAATGTCACCTTCGTAACAGGTATTTTACCTGCTCGACACCAATTCATCTAACCTAATTGTCGGTGGAGTTGTATTTGGATGAGAGGCATTCTGAAGTTCCCCAAGTGTCTATTTGCATACGGTCCAACAAATAGAGGCTAACAAGAACTTAAGCTAGCAGCTCACATCCTCCGAGTAACGCTGCTCTGCCCGTTTCGTGACCGTTATTTGGCGGCGTTAAACAGGGACGTCCCCAACAAAATAAAGGTGCTACAATTATTTCGGAACACCACTTTTGTGAAACTCACCTTTGTCTTCAGCGGTGTCCGGTGGCCGACTGTCCCTATTGTGTGGTGGACCCCTCGGTTCTCTGTTTCGCCACCGCGAGCAGCACACAAACACCAGCGCGTCACTGCGAATCCAGAGAACCTCGCTCCCCTCTCGGTGGAATGACCCACTTGTTTACGCGAGGGGTGAAATTATTCTTCATTGGTTTAATTATCAACGACTTCGCTCGTAATAACACGAGAGCAACACATATTAGCGATTTGCTCAAGAATTACGTATAATAGTCTGTATTTAATGTTTTGTATTCATTATAAAAACATCCCTGCCAGCAGTGCACATAAACACACCCCTACGGATGAATCAGAGTACATCTTCCTGGCGTCATCAAAACATGTCCCTATTAAGTAATAACTCGGGGTTCATTCAACATCCATAGTTGCCTGATGCATAAACATAGTGGTAGTAAAGCGTTTAACCTGTTGTACACGTTTTTTGACGTGGTGGACCTTTATTTCAGTCTTCTCTTCCCACTTATTCTCCTTCACAGGAACTCACACGTGGGCAATTCCCGCAATGGACCGACAGCAAAACCCGTTAATGGCTTTATGTGGTTTGTGTTCTTGTAATGTCAAGTCTGAGTGACTTATTAGACCTTGTTTAAAGTTGTTTGGCGTAGTATGTTGAACTTACTTACTTACTTACAGTACCGTAGCCTTGACTGTGAAAGTAACTGGCTATGTATAGATAGAGACGAGAAGAATCACTATATTTAACCTTTTTTTTTTAAATCATAAAATATCATTCAGTTTTTTTTTATTAGGCACCAAATTATCTGCAGATGTTGCTTCCTCTCCAGAATAAATGGACCTGCCATACACCACAAGAGGCTCCTGCACAACTGAAGCATTCATGTTGCAAATATTGAGGTAGCGTGTGTGGTAAGACAATGAAGCTATGTGAAAATTAAAACAGTCATTTTGAGAGCTTATTGGCCTCAGCTGCTGCGTCCTATCGGTGATCCACTGACAGGTGGAGGCTGGCACAGTGAGCTGGTTTGGTTTCAAGTAACCCTGGGATGATGTTGTAAAACACTGAGCTGAAGACCCCTAACAGAACCCCTGCAGAAATCCCTGGTGAGTTGAGGTGATGCACCATGTGGTGCCACTGACGTGTTTCCCCCGTAGGCAAACTTCAGGGGGTCCAGCAGAGGCCCTGCAATGTTCTTCAGGTAGGTCAACACCAACCCCTCAAAGGATTTCATGACCGCAGACGTCTGGGCGATGGCCTCTAGTCATTGAATCCTTTCATGGAGAATTACTTTTTTGGTGCTTCTACACGTTAATCTGGGTATCTGGCATGTCTACCGAGCGAAAAACAACTTCCGCGATTTGTCATGGTTCTTGTAAGTCAGAAACGTCATGCTTGAGTGACTGGAATGAACTTCCTTAACATTGCGTCGTCACAATGTAATGGGAGTCTCTCGTACATGGCCTTATGACTCTGAAGGAGCCATCTCACATCCTCTTTGCAGATCTTCAGTGCTGGTGGGGGGTTGGTTGGAGGAGGGGATTGTGGCGGGGCAGTGGAGGTGTGAAAGTGGGCTGATTGAATGTGTAGTAAAAGACATTAAGGCCACCCTTTGAGTCTCCTCAGTGGGGGGCAGGTGGGATCTGGTCTCCTGTAGTTAGTTAGTACTTAAAGGCGTCTCCACACTGATGGGGGTCGTCGTTTGAAAACCTGTTTTTCAGCTTTTCTGTGCCCTCTTTCCCACCTTGATCTCCCTCGTCAATGAGTTTTTGGCCTGGTTGTACAGGGGGCTCCTGTCCCCACTTCTGTTGGGTCCACACTACGTAAATACCATGGTTTTTGTTTTGTTTTACAGGGTAACATTAGAAAATATGTTAATTAATGAATATAAATAAATAATCCAGGACTGATAGGACTGTGTTTGCAACGGTGGTTGACTACATACAGATTAACACAGCAATACTAATTCATCAATGCCCGTTTTGCTGCAATATAGTTTGTAATATAGTTTAATTTAAGGTTTTGTGTGTGCATACCTGTTGCTGCAGATAAGAGGGTTCTTCCCTTAGAAACCAGGGTTGCAGGGTTTTAGAACAGAGGATGTCGCATGTGTACAGACTATAAAAGCCTCTGAGGCAAATTTGTAATTTGCGATTTTGGGCTATACAAAATGAAATGAATTGAATTGAATTGCAATCGCTAAACCAGTAGATAGCAGCACACATGTATTTAAACATAATTAACCTTTATCATCATTTGTCAGACTTCATCCTGAATTGAATGGTTAAAGAGAGCAAAGGATGAGAAGATCTAATGTCGGTCAAATGCTGTGTTCCAAAGAAAGAAATTTGTTACTATTTTGAAAATCTGGAAATCCCCCCCCCCCCCCCCAAAAAACCCTTTTGAAACAAAAAAGTTTGCAATGCGAGTTTGGACTTAGTGGGCGGGCCAGGATTTCTATTGGTGGGTTTGACTATCGACTATCACAGTAGTCGTTAGAGGTCCTTAACACAAGTCATGTTATTCATTGTTTGGTATATTTCTGAAAATTATTTTTATTGCAGATCAAATATTGAGAAATTATCGTCTGCACACACATACTCCAGTCATTGTCTGGAATTACTGATTCGATCACTTTTATTCCGGCTACATGTTTAATACCGTAAATGTCTGGATATACGTGCACTAAAATGAAAGTGCCGGCTAAATTGACCGCAATACCAAAAGACCTGTGAAACTTTCTGGTTCGATGAAACACGGCAAAAAAGCCTGACTAGTATATTGTCCAATGTTCAACAGTTCATCCCTGGTGATCGGAGAGGAAGAGCTGGAGACGAGACAAACAAAAACAGCACGAGAGAGCGCATACGAATGCCTCTGGATAATGAGGTAAATAATCAGTAAATAATCATTGACAAGCGCTCATGATAAACATTTTTTGTTGTTATTTATTTATATTCAGTTAAATCTCAATGAAGAAAGTGTGACTTAATAATAATACAGGATCCCGAATATAGAGTTTATGGCGAGTTTGGGCCATCTGCTGGCCACAGTGCAGCATTACAAGGTCAGATACAAGAAGCTCTGACCTACAATAAACCTGGTTGTGAAAACAAAAAATCCACCAAAAAGATGGTGAAATATCTCTGTGCTGTGCACTGTTCCAACCTTGCCATGTCCCTAAAAACACAACTATCTAATGTGAAGATAAATACTTGCGTGATGCATCTGCCAAGTAAATGTCCTGGAGCAGAGGGCAGTATCCCAACTGACAGGGAGAGACATGTTCACTCGTACTGTACTTTGTTTGTTTATCAGGCAGCTAAGGCACAGTCAGCTGTGCAGCACTGCCATTGTTCCATCCAGATCACGCAGTTACAGAAGTCCTGTGTTCGCTGTAGCAGTCTGCCAAAATACAGTATTCTACCATCAGAAGCCCATGCTCGTACCAGGCTTTATTTGCTTTTGCGAACACGTCAAGTTATGGCAAAGCTGGAATCAAGGGTGCCAAGACTTAGATCATCAGGAAACCGATTCAGACATGTCCACCGGTGACACGTGTTGACAGCAAAACAACAAAATGGCAACCGTAGTCACTGTCTGGGAATATTTCAGGGTCACAGATGATTTTCCTCTTGAGGTGGGTTTTAACCTCATACACACAGAAGCTTTGTTTTTTTTTCAGGAATACAATTATCCACCTATTTTTACAGTGATTAGACAAACCGTTTGGGTCACCATGTAAATAGCATCTTTTAAAAGGATAAAAATGTGTAACGTAATAATAGGTCTTGGGTTGCTTCTAAATCTCAGCAAGGAGCTGTTGGTAAATTTCATGGTGATACATCATTTGTTAAAATGTTGACCTATTCACCTGCAGGAAGCCTATTTTCCCCCCTCATGCTCAGTATTGAACCAATTTTCACTTGTGTATTCAGCCTTTGCTTACCACGTCGTATAATTCACCAACGTGTCCACCTCCATCTTTTCACCCTGACGCTGAATCCACATGTTGCAGCTCGCCCCAGATCAAGTTTGGCGAGTTCTGTGAGGTTAAAATAAGGGGAGGGAGAAAAAAAAAAGAAGAGTGGGGAGAAAAAAAGCCCAAAGCAACCTGTACAAGCTCTGTTCTCCCAGCAACCAATCACAGAGTGTAGAGCAGATGTTGTCACTGTCGGCTGCTGCCTTTGTTTCGAGATTATCGACAACTGAAATCGAAAGGAAGGGTTGTGTGTGGTAAAAACAAAACAATAAATCCAGAAATCTTTTTTCTTTCAGAAAGATATACTTTTATTTCTTTGTTCCCTTTAAATAGATTACAGCCACTGACCCACCTTTTCATTCATGAGGGCCTTTCATCACTTTCACATGTTCTGTAGAAGACAAGGACTTTGTAGTTAGTCCATTGGAGCAGTGAGGTGTGACTCAGGCAAACTAAAAAGTGCCTATCACAGTCAAACCAGGGCTGACAAGCAGGACACCTTTAATCTTGGACACCTAAAGTACACGTATGCACCATCATGACATGTCCTCTTTATATAAGACTCCTCTACACCTTTTTCGTCACCGTTTTCCCACCAAAACTGAGGGCAGAAGACTGCAAGAAGGCCTGAGGAAAACAGTCACCCAGCTGCCCTGACATTTTGCACGGGAGGTTACGAAAACACATGTTGGGTTGCTCATTAGCATAACGAAGACTGGGCCCCCGGGCGGGTTATTCGTCCTGGGCCCAATGACTAATGTGATTTTGTTTTTCATGTGTATATATATATATATATATATATATATATATATATATGTAGAGGAGTATATGTAGAGGAGTATATATATATATATATATATATATATATATATATATATATATATAAATACCTATAGATAAATATATTCCTGGGCTACGAGAACACCAGCCATAAAAACAGGACAATTCCAAGCAAGTGCTCGCTTTCTCGGCTTACAAAAAAAGCCAAGCCCTTGAGGCGTCAGGGAAGGCATGTTGTTTTTTAAAGGGCGATGAAAAGGAGAAGTGGTCTAAGGAATTAGCCAACAGGCTGCAATTGCAGGGAGAACATCATCACCCCTCATCGCCCATCCATCATCTAACAGCCTGGGATCCCCCTCGGGGGCAGTTCCCATGGCCAGTGCCAACCTGAACATGCTCTGTAGGGTCTGGAGCAAAGACATTAGAATAATAGTACTACTACAGGCAGGGCTGCAGATGCAGACATGCCAACCCTGTCCGACACATGTTCAGAGGGAGGCGGGTGGCGAGACTGAAAGATTCTGAAACAAGACGCTTTTCTCTAAGAAGCCTGCAGATACATGTGTTGTAATTAAACTTTAACTTGTTGTGGAGAACTAGTGTGCCTCTGCATCATTATAAGATTAATGGAATCCTCAGTGTTACCTTTACAAACGGCTTGAGTCTATGAACAGGTCCTTTCTCGTTTGCTTCCGAAGACCAGTTGGGATTGAATTAAAACCAGAATTGAAAATCAGTATCCTTGTTGTATAATGTACAATATGCTTCAATAAAACAAAGTCCTAATAGTGCAGTTACTAAGCTATTGCCCATCTTTCTGCTGTTATGTATGCACATTTAACACAGGATTCATGCAGCCTTTCCAGAATACAATTCACACCTTTTAAGCACTTTCAAGGTACCTCAGGCAGAAAGTTACAGACTCTTAAAGCCTCTATCATCAAATCTAGATTATTACTAATCAAATTAAAAATTAAGTATGAACTTCTTTCTACACAAAACAATAAATTTATATTGACACTTTGTGTATTTTTACAGGCTCTTCAAATGAACTTAAATATTTTGATCATGATTATTTATTGCCTTCTAAATTCCAGATCAACAGATCAAGGAGTTTTTTGCTATGAATGATGAATGATAGACACAAAGATACATTTCATTGGGGTTATAATGTCATGCAATGCATTTTTCAGGTTATTAAGCGACAAGAAAAAAGCGACATGGTCAAAAAAAATACAAAGGTTGAAACAGTTTTAATGGATGATGCAGCACTGATAAGCAACAGGTTCAGAACACTGAAGGTCAACGATTTTTTTCATTTATTTTTCTAAGCTCTGATGATCTACTGCATTACTCTCTTAAATATGACTTACAGGCTAATCGGCTACAGTGCGCAATTGTGAAACGTCCCCATAGCGTCACCGGTTACCTTATCAGAACTTTGATGCTGGTGCTTCTGAAGTAAAAAAAAAAATAAAAGAAATGTGCTAGTAAAAAAAGTGCAAAAAAAATAAACGTTTCTATTCACAGTGTACATATTTACAATAAAGCTTTTCTGACCGGTAGGAAATAGCTACAGCGCTGAAAGGGCTTTTAAGTCCAAAACATTTATATGACCCCCTCGAGCCCAACACTGAGGTACCAATGGAGTATGAAGACAGACAGTGGAGATAGTTCTGTACAGGCTTGGCGGTGTCTTTGCCCTCGTTAGCAGGGTGCTGAGGTGCACCGCTCGGTGCTGGATTGTGGGCAGCGCTCCGTCAGCTTGAGAATGACCACTTTCCTCTGGAGCGGCACAGCTTCCGGTGGAGCTCCCGGGAGAGTTTCCGGCACAGCGGGTCGTTCAGCCGCCGGTTGCATCGAGGTCTTGGTGACCATGTCCTGACAGTCGTGCGGCAGCAGCATAGTGATGATGTTAGAGTATCCACCCTGCAATGCCAAGTGTAGAGGGCTTAGCCCCTGCTCGTCCAACAGAGTGCCACCATCCGGACAGTGAAGGAGCAGTTCTCTCAGGACTTCACAGTGCCCGTTCTCCGCTGCCAGATGGCAGGGGCGGCGCAGGGCCTGGTCGGACCGGTACGGGTCCGCACCTTCTTCTATTAGCATCTTGACTGTGGCCAGGTGGCCTCGCTGGGAGGCCAGGTGGAGAGGGGTGAGTCCATGGGCGTTCTGGCCGTGAATCTCCGCCTGGTGTTTGATCAAGAGGCGAGAGGTGCTGGTGTGACCCGTCTCTGCTGCCACGTGCAGGGGTGCGTTCAGGCCGGTAGACGTCATGTGAACATCCGCCCCTAGTTCGATCAGGATCCGCGCCACTCGGTACTGCCCCCTCTGGGAAGCCAGATGCAGCGGCGTGCGGCCCTCTGTTGTCTGCCCGTCGACGTCGGCGCCGGCCTGCTTCACCAGCAGCTTGACGATGCCCAGGTGCCCTTGCCAGGAGGCCAGATGGAGCGCCGTCCAGTCGTCCTTACCCCTGATGTGAACATCGGCACCGCGGCTCAGCAGCACGCGGATTACGTTCTCCTGGCCGTGCTGGCACGCGACATGAGCCGGCGTGCGTCCCTGGCCGTCGGTCTCGTTGATAGCCGCACCCCGGTCCAGCAGCAGGCGCGTGATGGCCTCGTCCCCATTCTGGGCCGCCCAGTGCAAAGCCGTGTACTGGTCCTCGTCCCTTGGCATTGACGTTGGTGCAGCGCCGCCCGAGCAGAAGTTCTGCCATGGATTTTAGGTGCCTCTCTGTGGCCAGGTGCAGGGGGGTGGAGCCACGGGCGTTTGCCAGGTTGGGGTTAGCATTGTTCAGGAGGAGGAACTTGACAGCCTCCTCGTTGGCCAATGCGATGGCGTGGTGGAGCAGACTGCCTCCCCCGTCCAGGAGCAGATCCACATCCTGAGGCTGGAGGATCTTCATCAGCTTGGCCGTGTCTTTGGTCCGGATGGCCTCGCACAGCTTCCGCCTCTGGGCCTCAGCAGAATCTGCACGGCAAGGAGGAAATGTATGGGATGGAGGCAAACAACTCCTGATTGCATACTATTGTTAAGTTCACATGCATAATAGTTCCTGTTTTAGCTCTTTGAGAAGCTCTTACCGCAAGTGTTGTCTTTCTCAAAAGAAAGCGTGATAGAGTCTTGAGAGGAGAATGCTGAATCAGCAGAGGAGATACCAGACAGCCTCTTGCAGGTGTCTTCTTTGCTTTTGTCCTTCACTCGATCAAAGCTCCTTGAGATCCCAGAATCCACCTGGCTTAACAACTCTGACAGGCTGTAGTCTTTTTCCGGCAACATGGCTGACTTTGGACGCTTGTTGTCTTTAACCTGTAGAGCACAGGGCCGGATAAGCATGCTTAGACAAACTGGTCTTTATCACAGCACCATTGCATTTACACCGAGGTACGCATGGCAGCCGCTCTATCACGACAGCTATTGAATGTTGTTGACATTATACTTATTTGCCGAACTTTTTGCTTTATTCAAAGTCACTTGACCACATGCGGAAGTTCAAAACAGCTTATCTTGTGTGTGACAGTGACAGACTTCCCCACGTCAACATTTAGGATGTTTGTTTCTCGTTAGGTACACCAGAGCAAACGCCACAGAAATGACAAAGCAGTTTACACTCAACAATCCCATCGGCCCACATTCCTCCTTTGTGATGCAACTTTTGTTCCAGATCAAATGTTTGAGTAACATATGAGTTGACGAGGTCATAATAATGTCTGGAGCAATTCAACAGTCACTGCTTCTGGGTAAGTAATTACCAATCAATGGGAAATGCAAACATGACGTTTCAAAGAGGAGTCAAGCAAAGCGCTAAAATAGGAAGTCGAATGGAGGTTTACATGCCATGTTTAAAAATCAACCCCCAAAAAGTTATCAAAAGCAAACGCTCTTCTGGAGAAGAAGACATTATTGGGAGCAGCTCACAGAGTGCCGTCATGTGGTACCTGGTCACTTGTGAGTGCGTTAGGCGACGTGGGCTCTGACGTCAATACGGTCAACGTCTTGGGCTCCTCTTGAGGTTTAGAGCAGAGCTCCTCGGCTTCAGATGTGATTTCTGTGAGGACAACAGCTCTGGGTCACGTTTCAGTACAAGCAGGGATGGATTAGGAAACACAAAAAGGGGGAGGAATGCTCAAAGTACGAGGCTTTTTAGGTAAAGGAACGTGATGGCTAGTATTTCATCCAGTCTTTTCAGTGTGACAGTGGCACAACGTACCCTGGAAGCTGGGTCTGGCATCAGGGTTACTGGTCCAGCAGCGCTGCATGAGGCTGAGGAAGCCTGTACAGGCGGAGGGCCGACAGCGGGGCACGGCAGCCAGGTCTGGACGCAACCCCCTCACCACCCGCACCATGATCTGAAGGATGTTATTCTCACCTAGGGGGATTATAAACATTCATAAACTTCGGTTTTGTCACCAATAAAATACAATATGCAATACAACAAGTCTAGTTTTTTTCCCTTTCCTGACGAGAACACATGGTTCTCGTCAGTTCTGATGGGCTTTATAGATAAAACAGCTATATTGGCATTTTGCCACGTGCTCAGATAAGAGTTATTATTGTTGCTTCTGAGAGCAAAAGGGAAACGCTCTAAAGACCTTCCGGTCAAGGCCTCCTTTCTTGAAGTGGGATTAGCTCAGCCGGTGGTTCAGTACAAACAGGTATAGAGGCCTTAATCACGGGTGCTTCGCCTCCTATTGTGACCATGATAGCAGTCACAGAAGAAGGGCAGCGATGGTAACTAGGCAATCGCTCACTTTTTAATTATAATAATAACAATGCATTTTATTTGTAATGCACTTTTCATTCAAACGAATCGCAGAGGGCTACAGAGCCAGTATATAGTAATAAAACCATTAGGTCTGGATAAACAAAAGTGCAGCCAGTGCCAACCTGGAAACCCTCATCCACGCACTAAATTTCTTGGAATCAACTGCTGCCTGATACGCCTGGGATGACTGGAATGCACTGAGTAAACAGGTAGAGTGCAAGACCTGTACACGTACACACACGTACACACACACCTCCAAAAGGTCTATGTTATGTCTTCATTGGAAATTATTAAGACGATTTCTGCCAATATTACAAAATAGATGACAAGTCAGATACATGATTAATGTTTGACTCAGTAGATAAGAAGTATCAAACGCCATGTCTTAACTCTGAGCGTGACGGGGGTCGTGGTTGAGGACCTTTGTTTTCATAGTTTTCACATCAATATTTCTAAAATGAGCAAATGTAGAATAATCAGATATTAAGGAAATGGCTGTTATGAGTCAGAGAGGCAGTACAAGCTTAAATATAGCACCTATTGAATGGATTGCCATAATATCGTCCTCAGACATCGGAAAAGGTATGCTTAAGCATGCTAAAATGCTAAAATAACATAGCGAACATTATACCTACTAAGTATCCCAATGTTAGCATTGGCATTATGAGCATGGTAGCATGCGGATGATAGTGTTTAACTTTAATCATCATTATAAAAAACTCAATGTCAGTGCTCCAAAAGCAAAAGCGTTTCAGACAGGAGGTTAATCCTAAAAGCAAAAGATTTCATCCATGGATAATAGTGCACGTCTCACCTTGGTAGGGCTTCTTCTGAGTGAGAATCCCCCAAATGACAATGGAGAAACTGGAAGGGAAACATGAAATTGAGAAATGTCAGTAAAGAGAGAAAAAAATACAATCATAATAAATAACTTTTGCTACGAAATCTATCCCCCATAAAAAAAACAACTACATTTACACAAAGAGCTGACTAATCCAACCTGTATACGTCGTGCTTGGTGTCCGACACTCTGTCCTTCTCAATGATGCTCTCGGGTGGCAGGTAGGCAATGGTGCCGCAGAAGCCGTCTCTGCTGATGTCATCGGCCCGTGACAGGCCGTTCCACCGGGCCAGGCCAAAATCAGATATCTGAGAGGGGAAGAGATCTGATAAGACCCTCAAAAAGAATTTGTTCTCATAGAGCTCCGTGACATTGATGACTAACGCTGAGTGTGACAGGCTGCTAAGCTCCCATTATGTGCACTCAGTGGCACCATGAGGGCAACGCAGCCGTGTTCCAGCCTGCCAGAGAGGAGAGGCCCTTCACATTCGTGCTGAGGAGTGGAAGCCCACGCTTTCTCATACACACGTTCACGGGAGGGAGAGCGCTTTAACTTGAACCTGTCGGGACAGGCCCGGGTGAGGTGTTTACATCCAAGTATTAAACTCCAGAGAAGACGGTTCCCACCCATCACTCACAGTACACTGGGCTGTGGAGGTTGGACAGGAGGTTAAGAAACACACCCGTTCGCCCTGAGAGTGTGACGGGCTGACATTTGTCAAATTTACTATAGAACCCCTAAATCGGACTTTCAACCAGCTTTGAATTAAAATAGTTACACTTCAAAAGAACTCAGCTTACATATGCTATCAGTGAGATGATTGAGGATTCTTTTATCACAGTTTTTGACCAACAATTTAGCAAGCTTGTGCGGACTTCCACTCAATGCAGGAGGGATTGGAAGCACCAATGACGGCACCATGTGACAAACGCTCTACCTTGACGTGATAGTGAGCGTCCAGCAGGATGTTGGCCGGCTTAAGGTCCAGGTGGAGCAGCGGCGGGCTCATGCAGTGCAGGAAGTTCATTCCCACCGCGGTCTCGTGTATGATGCGGAAGCGCAATTCCCAGGGCAGCTGCTCGGTGGCCAGCAGGGTCTCCAGGGAGCCGGTCTCCATGTACTCCATGACGAGGCCCTGGGGATCCCCGCAGATCCCGTACACAGGCAGGATGTACCTGAACTTGGCGGCCTCCATCTTCTTGGCCTCCTCCAGCAGCTCTGAGCGCTCCCTGTGATTTAGAAGATCATTTTATGGGGCCACTCGGCGAGACAGACTCTTCTGCTGGTGACTAAGCAAATTTCAGAAGTGCAAAAAAAACGCAGCTGAGATGAAACATTGTTTTTAAGCTTGTTTGTAACCAAATCTTCCACATCCATTTGCTAGTTTATCAAATTCACCTTCTGATTAAACATTAACCTGGTGATTCACTGGTCTTGCGTTGCTCATTTAGCAGGACCCTTTCGCATAACTTTTGTCCAAAGCCAAATTCCAACACATTACATGTAACCATTACTGTGCTCACAGAGATGTAAAATGTCACTTCAGCAGTGACCACTGCAGGAGTCTAGAACTCATTGACCACAGTTCAGACCGAGCTTGTGCGTGTCCGCACGCCCTTCCCAGCCTGGAATGCACAGGGAGGTTTTAACACAGCTCTTGTTCTCTGTTGCTCAACCTTTGCACAGCTCTCCCTTTATCAGTCCACCGGCCCCGCTGACATGCCTCAAACACAACGTGTGTAGGTCATCCATGACCTCAGCTCGCATATCTCCATTTTTCCACAAACACTTAATGAGGACAGGTGGGAGAAAGATAAATCCCTAATGGCTGCATTGGCAGGAATGTGCTTAATTAGCTCAGAGCCGGCCGGCAAATTCTGTTGTTGTTCTCAGACGAGGCCCTCTGATGTGAAAAGTGTATCAGGTCACTAAAAGTATCTCTAGCTATTGGGAGAGAGCCAGATTGTAATGGCTATTTAGCGTAAATGAAGGAGGCAAGCCCCCCAGTATCTGCCAGGCAGGAATGAACAAAGCACCTGAGAATGGGAAAGGATTTGTTAGATTAATCCACCGTCTAATCCCAAATGCTCCTCAGCAGCTCCTTTAAAAAAAAAAACAACAATGTCCCCACTTTAAGCGACAGGTCCGGTAAGACCGGTTCTACAGCTTCTTTTATTGTCTGTGCCACACAGCGGCCGCAGGGAGAAGAGGTAGACAAAGGTGTCTTTCAGTCCCTTTTTCTGGTCAATGGAGGCTCCAGTCAAATTAATGTTTATGTACTCGGAAGATGACAGATGATAACATCGTGGTTTGGGTTCAGCTCACGCCTCAAGTGGCACTACAGGTTCTGAGAGGGACCGAGGCGGAGAGTTATTGTGTGGCGATGTTGTCATTTGTCTCAAAACGACAGGCAATCACACACACACGCACGCACACACACCTACACAGTGTGTATGATGGTTATGCTAAATGCTACAGAATTCAAGATGCAGTTTGTGAATTAACACTTAATGAAATGCACATTTATTTAAATGATCCCCTCCCAGGGGCTCACAGATAAGAAGGTTTATTGGATAAGAAGGTTTATTTATTTATTGAACTTTTCTTGTTGGGGTATAGTTCGGATAAGTAAACAGCTGTGGGTCTCACAGTTGTCCCTGTAACACAACCGAACAGCCGCCCAAATATCTAAAAACGTTGCCTTCTGTTTGCTGCTGCGGCCGACTCAATAGCAGCACTGTGTGCCCGGACTAGCAGTAGGTGAGTCACACTTTGCCTGGTGTTCACCTCTCAAGGACTTTGAGGCAATAAATGGCTTTTCATCGGAATCCAATCCAAGTTGTAATCCGAACCTCAGTCTGTCTGCTATTTGTCATAAAACTGGTCATCGAGAGACAAACCACCAGACAAGAGCTGGGTGAAGACACGCTTTTAGATTTTATGATCTCGTACTCAAAACACAAGTAAAAAGCGAAATATCTTCTACATGAGCATTGTTTTAGTCTACTTTATAGAGATCGATTTATCTTTTTATGGTAATATGGTAATAATCCATAAGCTTCAGCAGCTGGAACTTACTTGTCATCCATATGAAGGCAGGGAGGGCACTTTATGGCCAGCCATGTTTTCCACTGTATGTGCCGGACTTTGTATACTTGTCCAAATCCACCTGAGCCTATTTTCTCCCAGCTGCCAAACTCAGGGGAGTCAAAGGTCCTCAACAGCCCCATGTTGCCATGGGGAGAGTCCGGTACGTCCATGTCTGCGCTGAGAAAGCCACCGGCTCGGTAAACTCCGCTTTTATATCCGTCTCCAAGGCTCAACCTGGGCTTGTGAACAGACACACTGAACTGCCTGCTTGTGAGCTCTTCCTTGTTTTTCCCCTTGTCACGCTCAGGGAGGCCCCTCCCTCTGTTCAGGTGCAGAGAGGGGCCGGGCCTGGTGCTGTGACACCATTTCCTGGTTTTGAAACACAGCTGAAAAGAAGAAGGAATGCTTCAAGGAAACAAGACAAGGCACAAGGCACCACGCTGCCACGATGTCCTGGCAGTCATCTCTCCAGACGCCCTCCGGTCACGGGCGCTCTCATGTGTCCCAACAACGAGGCGCATGAGAAAAGATCCACACTGAGCCGGAGCCCTTGAAGCGAGGAATGTGTCATTTAATAGAACACACCTTTGTCCCACTGAACACCATTATCCAGCCACAAGCCCCTCGAGGCACAAGGAGGGAATTTGTCGTAACAATGAGCGGGTTGAACAGATGCTTTGGGGACTTATGAACTGACTGTGCGTGTCCCGTTGTCCTTAACAGCCAGGGATTGTAATGATGATGCATTTTTTCGTTAGGTTCATTTAGTTCCCTGTAATGTTAGCTCCAGGTCAGAAGGAGGCGAGCAGGCGTGTAGCTGGTCCGATGGTGGGAGACGTAAATGATTGCTTTCTTTACTTATTATAAAACAAGTGTGTAAACCGGCCATATCTCAGCCTAGACTGTTTCATTAGCCTACATAAATGGAAGGAAGGCCCTGAATGTGAGACATCCAATGTCGGCCCTATAGCTTGTGAGAAACTACATTTAGATTGAAACATATACTTCATTGCAATAACCTGATCCTGTTTTTAAATTAGTTTTGGACCATCGCTTCAAAAAATACCCTACGCTCACAAACATATTTCTGCAAAGATGAAAAAATGGCAAACATTCCAGCCACAAAATGAGCGAAGCGAGCTCACGCATCCCGAGATTGGACCTGGTAAAAAAACACTTTGATCCAATGGTGCCAGCGTAATATGAATTAAAGGGTTGGACTATCCATCAAATAATTTCTTTGTGTGGCTCAGGACCACAATCCCGATAGTGTGGAGCACAAAAAGAACATGCAGTAATGAAAAAACACCTGTGCATGGCACGGACAGCATACAACAGCATGTGACAATAACATTCCTTGAAATGCCGACGTGTTGCCAAAAACTATATTCTTCATCTTTTCTTTAACAATACATCCCACCAGGAATAATCTGTAATGTGACGAAGATCCTATTTGTGTTTTTCAAATATTATGTTTTGTATCAGTGTCCAGGCAATAATGTTTTACCTGCATAAAAACAGGAAACTGTACTAGCAATGAGTGTAATCCAGGATCAAATCACAACCGAATGCACGGACACAACTATTCATTCTTTGTTGTTGTTGGCTCCAATTTAAACCCCCCAACTTCTTTATTTACCTCTGCTTCACTAGAATAACACATGAGCTCATCATGTCATCATGTCCCTGCTCCACCCTGCTCCACCCTGCTCTCCAGGTTTGAAGCAGGAAACTGGTAGGACGAGGCGTGACGGCTGAGTGTAAATAGGTCGTCTGCAAGGCCGATCTTATTGATCTGTGAGGAGCGAGGCTTAATTTCCAGTTGTTTGGTGGGCCCGCCTCTCATGTAAAGATGGCATCACACTTCCTGATAAACATTAAAGAGAAGCTCTGATCGCTGTGATAATTAACACCTTTCTACCTGCTTCGCTGCTCTGATAAGAGAACAGAAGAAATCAGGATCATCCACTTTTACCCCACAGACAGAAAAATATGTGCTTTTCTTGTTTTGAGCCTTGTTGGCCTGGAAGCAGCAGTCAGCATGAAGGAAGCTGAAGGAATCATGAATAGTCTCACCTGATAATCAAAAGCTCTTTCATAGTGCTCATTTAGGGAGTCGCTGTCCAGGGCCGGAGGAAAAGCAGAAAGTGTCAACCAGGCAGACACAGATCTGATAATGGATGAGATTTAGAGACACACCAAGCACCATACAACACTCACGCTTTGTTCGTTATGTTCACATATGTTAGAAGACCACACATTGCATGTGATTGGATCCTGTGTTGTGGCGAGAGGACCTCGACGCCAGTTTAGGGTCAATAGAAATACAAAATGTAATGTTTTTCCTTATGTTAGTCAGTTGTTCTTCCAGCCTGCGTGCTGCCAGAACTGCTCCTGCCTTTGCAAACGAAACGCTTATACTTGACCTGTGATCTGACAAATAAATCTACCAGAACGAGAGTTGTTGTTTGGCTGAATTCGTGCAGAATAACCCCAACCGGGCTTCCAATTTTGTTTGCAATCTTTCACACCAACTGGTTGAAAGATCTGTCACGAAAGATAAAAAGAAAAGACAACAAGCCACAATCAGTATCTAGTGTTTTTAGAATGTCATCCAGTAAATCTCAGCCGGTGGCAGCAGGCAGCTCAGATATGTGCTGGCATGTTATTTATTGTTCACACGGCTTTCCGTTATACGCTCCATCATCATTCGGTCGGTTCTCTCGGGGCTCCGGTGAAGCACAAGTGAGGACACAAACATGTGCTGGTTGCGTGGATGTCAGAGATCTGGATGAATTGTTACGTTTAAAAGAATGAATATTTTAAACTATCATCGTCATGGATACCGCCATCTACTGGTGGGTTCGGGTTCAAGCATTTAGCTCTATGATAAGACTTGAGTTCTTGGTGACATCTGTTTATGAAAATGCATGCATAGTGATAAAGCAGATGCACATGATGGCCACAACTGAGCAGTGGAATGTTTACAGCTTTGATAGTCAATAGTTCACATACAGGTGGTAAAGTGAAGAATCTGATCGAATATAAAGCTGAATATTTGAATGGATTTCTGTGACTCTTTGGCTCTCAATTCAAAATGTAAAAAAACAGCTATGGCATTGGACGAAGATGTGTGGTGGTATAAAAGCAACATGACTCATTCACAAGTAACAATGTTCAAAAAAATATTTTAAAGAATTTATACATTTCAGTTGCTGGAATGATCTTGACAGATATTTACAGTTTGTCCACAGATTTAAAAGCAAAGAAAGAGCTTTAGTTCCACAATGGATTCTATTTCAAGACAAAATACGAAAAGATGACTAATTAGGATTTCTTAATTATTTATATAAACTATTATTTACTCCCATGTATGGATTGAAGATGTGTTGATCCATGTGATGATGTGATCTCTTTTGATTTTGTGTATATGTGTAAATATTATTCATTATAAAAGACCTGTTGAAGGTAAAAAAAGATTTGACTGGTTGTTTATGTTGATTCATTGGTTCACGCGTGATGGAACAGCTTTTTAAACAATCACTGTGGAGAATTTATACATACACATGCAGTTTGTTGGTAAGCCGTCAGCTGCTGGCTGGAGGACAAACTGGAGGTCGGAGCCGATATAGGACAGATGGTCGTGTAAACTCTCAGCCCTTTTTATGAGGTGCACCTTGCTGGTAAAAAGGTTGGATCCCCCCTTTGCCTTCAGAACTGGCTTAATTCTTCGTGGTTTTCAACAAGGTGTTGAAAACATTCCCGAGAGAGTTTGGTCCGTATCGACATGACCGCATCACGCAGTTGTTGTCGGATGAGAAGCTCCCGTTCCAGCACATCCCGAATGTGCTCTGTTGGATAGAGATGTGGCGCCTGGAGGCCATTGGAGTTAAGTGAACTCATTCTCACGTTCAATAAATCAGGTTCAGGCTTCTGCTGGTGGGGGTGTAATGATGTGTGGGTTATTTTCTTGTCGAATTTTGAGGCCCTTGGTACCAATTGAGCATTGTTTTAATGCCGGTGCCTACCTGAGCGTTGTTGCTAACCGTGTCTATCCCTTTATGACCACAATGTACACATCTTCTGATGGTCACTTCCAGCAGCTTAATGCACCATGTCACAACGCCCACATCTCAAACAGGTTTCTTGAACATGAGATGGAGTTCAGTGCTCCAATGGCCTCCAGTCACCACATCTTTAGATGTGCAGCCAAAAAATCTGCAACAACTGCGTGATGCGGTCATGTCAATACGGACCAAACCACCTTGTTCAAAGTAACCACGAAGAAGAATATTTTACTAGCAAGGTGGACGTGATAAAAGGGGCCGGGGAGTGTGTGTCTGTGTGTGGGTGTGTATGTATATATATATATATACGGAGTGAAATTCCATGTATGCAGCCAATAAAGCTGATTCTGATTCAAACTAAATTCATACAAAGGCCAAAAAAAACAATTTCAAAGAGGTATTTTGTTAGAAAAATAACTGTACAAAACTCTCCAGCTCATCAGCAAATACAGTTTACAGCACTAAATGTGTCATTTAGGTTGGATCATTTTCATACTTTGAGCAGCAGATTTATCTTTAAAACGTGCATGTTTTAAAAAGACTGGTAAGGCATCTGAATATTCAACATGCTGCTTTGGTTTGAAATGTAAACATTTCAGAAGAGGGTTATTGATTAGGATAAATGTGCCATTTCCCTCCTTCTTTTGTTTAAATATTGTTATTGACAGCAACTGTGTTTGTGTCAGTATACAACTTCATTCCCTTCCATAGGGCTGGAGAGGCATCAGGGTGACATTGATCAAATCCATTCTACTATATTACAACGTCTGTGAGATGAGGCGACCAGCACCTCCAGTCTCTGCACTAGTAGCCGAACATCTGCTGCGCGGAGCCGCTCTGCTGCTGGGCGGGGGGCGGCGGGCTCTGGATGGGCCGGCCCGGCTCCGGGCCCTGGGCCTCCTGACTGCCTCTCTGCGCTCCCTCCGCCAAGGGGGTGACCTGGCCGCCTTCGGCCGCCGGCACGGGCCTCCAGGCCAGAGTCGGGGCCTCCAGCTGGTGGTCCATGGGGTTGACCAGAGTGGTGACATTGATGAAGTGGGCGACCGACTGCGGAGCCGCTCCCCCGCCAGGGCCCACCGTCTCCGGGACGAGTTCGCCGGGCCGGTTGTGCAGCATGGCGGAGCCGCTGACGGTGTCAAAGGTGACGGTGAGGATGGAGTTGTCCAGACTGAGGGGCCTGTCGCTGGCCGTCAGGTGGCCCACGGCAACGGGCTGCAGGCTGGTGAACTGGGCGGGGGCGTGGCTGGCGATGATGTTGGTCATACCCACCGAGCTGTTGGGTAAAGGGGCTGATGGAGCGCTGGAGTCGGCAAGCACCACCACCTGAAACAGCAGCAGAGATCCATTTGTACCGTATGGTCATGTTTGTTTTATCTAAGAAGCACGGAGCGCATTAAATGTGCCAGATTTACCTGTAAGGGCTGGTATGTATCACGTAAACAGCACATACATACATACATGGCAACACCCCCCTTTTGTCTTCAACATGAGATGATTCAACATTTTTAAACACATAAACTTGATAGAAGTTTTAAATTATATTTTGTTTACAAGATTATTAAGTACTATATACTATCATAACAACACATTAGTGACATTAGTTGGCAGGATGTAACCTTCTTTGCTAAAAAAAAAATGGAAATGACTACATTTCCGATTTACAGATATTACAGCATTAATTAAAGTAATTATATAATAATTTATGGTATTTACACTTATCTCTCTTGTGTTTTGTCAGTTTTACTGAATTGATTCATTTCTTGTTTCTTTTAAACATTAACAGTATGAAATGTGCCATAATTAGGGGCTAGTTTATATGACACATATGCATGCATACATACATACATAGCAATACCTCCCACAGCAACCTACATAATATACAGAAAATCATTTTTTTGTATACATAATTGCTAGTTAATGTTAATGATATTATGCTATTTGTCAACTTTTTCAAGTTTACCCATTGAGCATATATTTCCTTTTTACCCGTTTAGTGGGAGAAGTTATTCCACTTTAATAACTGCTGATATTGTAATTGCAATTATCAAATCATATGATTAATTTATTGTAATAAACAAAACAACCAAGAAGAAAGTCTGGCTCTCAGTAGTACAGAGCCAGATGTTTATCATCACAGCGCCTGAGGACTTGTATTAATCCTCTCTGGGCATTCGGGAATTCAGTAACCAAAACTTCTTATGGTCTTTTGAAAATACAAATAAAAAAAAGACAATAAAATGAGAACTTTTGCTAAAATCTCCCTGTCCACCTGTTGGATGCTCTGCACCGCGGAGCTGGTCTCAGTCTCGTCGCCCACGATGACGGCGCTGAACTCCATCGCCTCGTGCCTCGTCTCGGCGAAATCAGCGTATTCGTCGGACTCTGAGAGCTCCGGCTCAGACGGAACTCTCTGCCTCTTCTTGGCGTGGCGGAAAGGTCGGCCGAGCCTCTCTTGGGGCATGCCGTCCTTTTCCAGCGTCAGAGTGGGCTGAGGAGGGAGGTAAAACGTCACATTCGGAGGCATGTTCTAACAATTCAAAGCTCCAAATGTCGAGAAACATATTTAATATGAAAGTCTAAATGATTTAAGTCTAATTTAGAGTTAAACTCTGCATTGTGAAAAATCTGTAATCCAACCTGCACAATGCTGATAGACGAATCGTTGATTTCCGACGCTTCCTGAAGATCATCAAACTCATCCAATCTCGCAGACCCCACCTGGAGGCGCAGTGGACAACAATGACAAAAAAGCCTGGAAAAGCGACCTGGAGCGGCAAACACCTCCCTGCGGGGACTCACCTCCGGGTGCTTGCGCCGCAGGTGGCGGTTCATGGAGGCCCGGGTGGACACCTTGGTCCCACAGAGTTGACACGACTGAGCCTCCACCTTCTCGTGTGTGAGGTGGACGTGCTTCTGCAGCATGTACTCGGTCAGGTACTTCTTGTCGCACGTGGCACACATCCACGTCTTACCCACTGCAGAGAGGGGGAAAGAGGGTCAGTCTAATTTGGCTGAAATGCATCCACGTAAACACATCACACGGTGTTGGTCGGAGTATACGTTTTTGACAAAAAAATGTTGATTTGAAATGACAGTCTGGTAATAATGTGGTCTGGATGTTCTGACGTGAGACACTTGCCTGTGTGGATTAGCTTGTGTGTCTCCAGAGTCGTCCTCTCGCTGAACGTTTTTCCACACAGCTCGCACATGAAGTCCTTTATACCTGCAGGCAAAGGGCCACAGACAGACGGTAACACCAAGTTCTTTCCCGTCAAAGTTACACTGTTAACACGGCAGAACTTTGTCGGCTTCAGGTTGTTCTGGTCTTAACACACACGCACACACAACACACACACAAACAAACACTCTTTGTCTCACCTGTGTGTCTCTTGTAGTGTTTCAACATGTTGACCTTTTGGGCAAACTTGCGATTGCACTCTTTACACTCATACTCCTTGATGCCCTTGTGAAGCTTCATGTGGTGCCTCAGAGCGTGCTTGGTCTTCATGCCTGCTCAGGGAAACATCTGCTCAATATCGGGATGATACAGGCTTGTGAGCTAAAGTGAGGTGCTGGAGACTAGGGGGTTGTATTTAGTCTGTTTGATAATCATAGCTGTGTTTCGAGTGCAACATGAATAAAAGACTGTCATCTCCTTTTCTTGTTAAAAACCTGCAGCATTGCTTCTATAAATGGGAGACTCGACTAAATAGAAAAAGAAAGGCTTTTTTCTGCCGTGAGTGGTTCAAAATATAAATTTAATAAGAACATTTTGTTTTGGAAAATAACAACATCATTTTTTACTTTACCTGGTTGACTAGGAATCTACAACACCTGGAGTTATAAATACTAATAATGAGTGTAGCTTGATCTTACGTGCAAATATGCAAAATACATTAGGTCTAAATGAATGAAAATGAAGAAGAAATTTCCAATGTTGATTACAGCGTTTGAGTGAAGCTTCCAAATATTTGGTAGAGCCCTAGAAATACCAAATACTGATTTCATGATCAGTTCACTGGTAGGAGGGCACTTATTGTTGCTGTCTATCGACTGACTGTATGTGTGGGCACATTTTACTATGTGAATATTGTGCCTGAAACCCGAGTGTGTCGCAGCCTGACCTTTCCCGCACTCGGCACACAGGAAGTCCCGGATGTCGTCGTGAACCCTAAGGTGCTCTTTCAGCATGTCCTTCCTTGCAAATGACTTGCCACATCTATCGCAGCCGTGGCTCTTCACCCCTGGACGAACGAACACACACACACACACACACACACACACACACACACACACACACACACACACAGTGAACAGTTGTCCTATGTTTCTGTGAGTACCATATGTTATTATTCCAGACATGTAAGAACAGCTCATCTTTGTATTTATTTCTAATACATCTGAAGCAGGTATCTTGCCCTTGTATGATTAAAAATGATTAAAGTAAGGTGCACTTTAGATCTTCATAATATCATTGTGATGTTTTCTTCGGAAAGCACCTTTTAAACTCCACCAATGGCTAATTAGGCAGGACCTTTGGATCTGCCACAATGAGGACAGGACACAGTCGAGGTGCAGCTCCCAGCTGACTCATCAAGCCCATGGCAACATTACAATTTCCTGCGTACATCTATTCTCCAGGGGCCTCATTTATAAACGTTGCGTACGCACAAAAGAAGGCGTACGCCGCTCTCTACGCAATAATTGGTATTTATAAAAAGCAAACTTGACGGAAAAATGTGCGGTCCTTCACGCAAGCTCCGACCCATGCGTACGCACAAAAACGGGTGAAATGAGAACCGTCGGCAAATGCAAGAAACACGCAAACGTGTGTGAAAGTGTGTAAAACTAGACTGTTGTCTAAATGAAATGCTAATACTGCCTCTCATAAATAACACGAACACCCGTTTGATCGATCTGCAGCGTAAAACAAACAGAATAACAAATTAACACATTTTCAAAAATAAAAGTGAAATATGTTCTGCAATAATATTGGCATGTTATGCAATTCATCCTCAAAACACAGCTGTTGCTTGTCAGATGCAATCTAATGGATGGTAATAAAATGCCATGATGCCATCACAATGCGTAATGACGCGAAATGGCTGATCTTGCGCTCTGTGGCACATGGAAGGATTCGCGATGTAGTGCAGCGCACCATCGGCCTGTTTAAGGGGAGACGGCGCTGCCTCGACTGCACTGGAGGGACGTTATTGTTTACTCCTGAAAAGGTGTGCAAAATCGTGCTGGCATGTGCTGTGCTATATAATGTGGCACAGCTTCCAAATGTGCCTCGACCCCCTGACGCCGATGGCTGTGTTGGCCCAGACCCTGTCCTCGATCCCCAATCATTGCCGACAGTCTCTCATCAAGAGGGGACAGCTCCGGTGTCCCCTTTCCCCACCCGTGGCAGACCCACTTTGGCGCTAAACGCTTTTTTGCATCCACTTTGATGTCAGACCATTTTTTCGTTATTTCGGCCACGGCTCGAGGTTGTGAGGCTGCAGCGTTGCTCTGCAACCTTTTGCCACTCAAGTGCCTTATTGGCATTAGTAATGCCCATACTGTGCCCTCAAAGAGCATTTTACTTCTCCTTTCCACCTCGCCAATGATAATTTCGACTTCACACTGAGTGAAGTTATGTTTCTTCGTTTTCCTCTCAGTGTTTGTCATGATTTCGCAATCGATGAATATTAATTTGTGAGTGTTCCACAGACTATTTATGGGCAACTATGGGCGTGACATGAAGCCGCAAAAGCTGCGCTGCATTTAGAAGTGATTGTAATTTATTAAGGGAAAACCGCGTAGGACGTGCGCACGCACGGTTATATAAGTCTGAATATTTATTATTCCTACGTTTCATCCGTACGCCACTTCTGGCACAAATCCTACGCAAGGTTTTAAAAATGAGGCCCCAGAGCATTATGGGAAGTGAAATATAATCCTCACAGAGAGGAGAAAAAGAACCACAATAGGAAGAAAAATTTGTTCTCTTTGTCTGCACTATCAATCAGTTTTAATGTTACTCACAATGTCCCATCAACATGGCTTTTATCCCTAATAACGCTCTCCTCTATCTAATCATATACTGATATTTGCAGTGAGACAATGCGTGGATGTAACAGATTACTTGCAGCCCTCAGAGTCTCGCTTTTAATGGATGCAGGTTTTTTGTTTTATTTGTTACTTTTCAACAATTTAAAAAGGGGGGGACTCGGGAGAAAACTTTCAATGTGAAATGGTTCTGGATCAAAACCCCTACGGGGACGAATGTGTTTGCTCACCAGTGTGGATGATCTTGTGCCTCTCCAGGTTACCAATGCTATTGAATATCCGACCACAGATTTCACACGGATGGATGTACCTTCAAGCAGATTGGAAAAGATTACAATTATTGTGCAGCTCAAGGGGATTCGTTTCGTTACAGTCGTTTCGGACTAAATAATAAACATTTATGATAATGGCTCTTATCTATAGCAAGTTGTAGATCGGAATATTTGATGAAATTGCACTTGTTCTTTTGTGTCAGTATTCTTATGGTTGAAATGCACTTATTGTAAGTCACTTTGGATAAAAGCATCAGCTAAATGACATGTAATGTAATGTAATGTGTTACACATCCTGACCGGAACTCCGTCCGTAATGATTCCACAGCAGGACCGTACTCAGCTTTGAATGGACCCGGCTAAACCCGGCAACGCGAGCTGGCGTGCGTCTGTTGTTCTTACTTTTGCACTGCGGGGTCGGGCAGCTGCTCCCTGTGGATGACCAGGTGGGCGTTGTACGTGGCCTTCAGAGCAAAACGTCGGTTGCAGATCGCGCATCCGTAGCCTCTCTCCTTGTGCTGCTCCAGGATGTGCCGTAGGTACTCTTTGCCCTTTGCAAACGACAGCTGAAGACAGGGGAGGAGGGAACTCCGTGAATTTGTGTGACAAACAAACAGGTTTTTTATTACTCAATCTGCATCAGGCAGCCCAGAGGGTACAGAGATATGCAATCACTGCTGGAGACAATCAGACCCTCTCTATTCTGGAGAGAGACGTTAACCGGCTCTTTAAAAGAATAAACCCCCGTAAGGCAGCCGGCCCGGACTCCGTCTCCCCTCACACCCTGAAGCATTGTGCTGACCAGCTGTCTACCGTGTTCATTGACATCTTCAACACCACCCTGGAGACATGCCACGTACCAGCCTGCTTCAAGGCCTCCACCATCATCCCTGTTCCCGAGAAGCCCAGGATCACAGGACTCAATGACTACAGGCCCGTCACCCTGACCTCTGTAGTCATGAAGTCTTTTGAACGGCTAGTCCTGTCCCACCTGAAGACCCTCACTGACCCCCTCCTAGACCCCCTGCAGTTCGCCTACAGAGCCAACAGGTCTGTGGACGATGCTGTCAACATGGCCCTCCACTACATGCTCCAGCATCTGGACTCCCCAGGAACCTACGCCAGGATCCTGTTTGTGGACTTCAGCTCTGCTTTCAACACCATCATCCCGTCTCTGCTGCAGGACAAACTCTCCCAGCTGCACGTGCCCGACTCCACCTGCAAGTGGATCACAGACTACCTGTCTGACAGGAAGCAGCACGTGAAGCTGGGGAAACATGTCTCAGCCTCTCGGACCATCAGCACCGGTTCCCCCCCAAGGCTGCGTTCTTTCCCCTCTGCTCTTCTCCCTGTACACCAACAGCTGCACCTCCAGCCACCAGTCCGTCAAGCTCCTGAAGTTTGCGGATGACACCACCCTCATTGGACTGATCTCTGGTGGGGACGAGTCCGCCTACAGGTGGGAGTCTGACCATCTGGTGTCGTGGTGCAGTCAGAACAACCTGGAGCTCAACCCTCTAAAGACAGTGGAGATGGTTGTGGATTTCCGGCGGAACAGAGCCCCACCCTCCCCCATCACCCTGTGTGACTCCCCCGTCACTATTGTGGACTCCTTCCGTTTCCTGGGCTCCACCATCACCCAGGACCTCAAGTGGGAGCTGAACATCAGCTCCATCACCAAGAAGGCTCAGCAGAGGTTGTTCTTCCTGAGGCAGCTGAAGAAATTCAACCTGCCAAAGACGATGATGGTCCACTTCTACACGGCCATCATCGAGTCCATCCTCTGCTCCTCCATCACCGTCTGGTACGCTGCAGCCACAGCCAAGGACAAGGGCAGGCTTCAGCGGGTCATCCGCTCTGCAGAGAGGGTGATCGGCTGCAATCTGCCGTCCCTGCAGGACTTGTTTGCTTCCAGGACCCTGATGCGAGCTAACAAGATCGTAGCCGACCCCTCTCACCCCGGACAAAAACGGTTTGTGCCCCTTCCATCTGGCAGGAGGCTGAGGTCCATCAGTCGGGCTCATCAACAGAGCCCGGTCGCTCACTGTCTGACTCTGACATTCCACCGGTCACTTTATTTCATACTGCACATGTCACTTTCACTTTTTTTTGTTCTCTGGTGCACTTTATTTTTTAATTTTTAAATATTTTTTAACTTTAACTTTTATTCTTTTATTTTAAACTAACCCATAGCATTATATTTTATTCCTCTTGCAATATGTTGTCTTGTCGTCCATTGTCGTACTGTCTACTGTTACGCACCAACCGCCAAGTCAAATTCCTTGTATGTCTGACATATTACGGCAATAAATGTTTCCGGCTTCCTGCTTCCTGATTCCAGAAGGAGAGATGAAACATTATTCGCATTCTAAAGTGTGCTTCAACTCGCAAAAATGTCTGGATCTCAAGTTAATGAGATGTTAATGAGGAACATTTAAAGTGTGGAGGGGAACTCGGCACAAAGCTTACTTGGCATTTCTTGCAGTTGTACTTGTGGTGCTCGGGATCGTCTTCATCCTCCTCCTCCTCCTCCTCGTCCGTCTCGCCGCTGTCGCCAGCCGAAATGCCGATCTTCTTGATGAAGCCCTCTCTCTCCTGCTCGTCCATTAAGGCTATATCCTGTAGCAAACAGAGCGGTTTAAAATGATTCAGCCGGCTAGGATGTAGAGGGGGAGTCAAAACATAATGTAATGACACGTTTAGTCTTATTCGGGGAATAGATTGTACCCGACTATGAAAGAATAGCAAAGTCTACTTATATCTCTCCCGCTGCATTTTCATTGCCTGCCTGAGTGTCGTGGCAGTTAACGTGCGAGCTAAAACTGAACAAAAAGAACAACAGTTTGTTTTTTATTAAGCGTATTCGCAGGATTGGGCTCGTCACGTCGTTGTGCATAAGATAAATGGCCGAGGGGACTTCATTTAAAATTCAATGATGAACTACATACCTCAGCAAATAACTTTTTTTAAAAGTCTATTAAAAGTTTTAATAGACCGTTTAATTACAAGTTAAAAAGTTTATTTTAGTAACCAAGAGAAGCTAGCAGTATCACATGGTAATAAATACTTCTTAAAAGTAAACTGTATAAAATAATTTGCATTAACATCTACTTATATATGAAAAGTAAAAAGTACTCATTATTGCCGAATGGCATTATTATCTTTATCGAAAATGCAACATTGCTTGAACCCTTTGTGTTAAATGAACCCAACAAATAAAAAGTACAATGTTTCCATCCGAAATGTAGTTGAGTAAAAGCAGAAAATTGAAATACTCAATTTAAAGTACCTCTAATAGTACTTCAGTAAGTGTACTTAGTTACTCTCCACTGCAGTAAATATGCATCCCTGCTTGATGTCATACCACATTCAAGACAAGACGTTCACACTGATCTACTTTGTTGGAGCGGGTACACACCTTCTAGATGCTGGGAGCTACTCAATTGATTTTAGAAATAAAAAATAAAAAACTAATTTTTTACTTAACGGGAGAAACAGCTCAAGTCATATTTTTCTTGTAAACCTGCGCTCAGCCCCCTCTCACCTTGAAGTGAACGTGGATGTGATCCCGAAGGACGTCCACGCGGAAGAACTTGCGAGCGCAGATCTCACAGGTGTACTTCTTATCACCGTGAGTCAACAGGTGCTTGTTCATGTTGCTCCTGCAGGAGAACACCTGCGCGCACACACACACACGTCACAGAGTTAAGTTCTTGCTAAACACCCTCAGCGTACACCCGCTCCCCTCTTGTGTGGAGGGCTCACCTTGCCACAGATGGGACAGGGTGACGGCTCTTTCCTGTACCTGGTCCCCTCTTCTCCATTGGCCTCCAGCTCCTCTCTCTTCATGTGCTTTGGTCCTGTCAAGATGCATGCTTTGGCTTTAGAAGCACATCTTTCATCCAGTCCCCTCTTTCATGAGCAATTTCCCCGTTTGTTCGTTAGTGACGCAGAGAGGCGCTTTGGCTCCCACTACAGCAGAACTCACCCACGCCGTGCCTCCTGTGGTGCTCCTGCATCACGTCTTTGCGGTAGAACATCTTGTTGCAGATTTCGCACGAGTAGAGCTTCTCGCCGTGCTTCTTCTTGTGCTTGGAGAGGTTACTGTTGGTGGAGAAGAAGCGCGAGCAGATGTCGCACTGGAACGTCTTGTCGTCTGGAGCGGGAGAGAGAGAGGACGACAGGAACGTAATGGGAGACATCTTTTAAAAAGAAGAGAAGCGAGGAGATGATACATTGTGAGAGACTCTCCTACCCGTCCGACAGTTGTGAAACTTTAAAGCATTTTCCAGGCGGAAGGATTTCTCGCACGTGTTGCATTTATATTTGTAGTCCTGGTCAGGCTGTTGGGAGCACATGAGCAGAAGTTAACTAGCAGGGTAACCGTCGTCGTCATCATCATCATCTCCGCAGCTTAACTCACCAGATTCTTGCTGTGCTTGTATGAGATGTGCTGCTTCAGGCTCTCCTTGCGGCTGAACAACTTGTCGCATTCGTCGCATTTGAACAACTTATCGCCTGGGGACAACGCACAAGAAGGGATCGCTTAATGCTACGCATCCAATGTTAGCTGTGTATTAATTAGCCAATGAATTCTACGCTGCTGACGAGCCAGAAACCAGTTGTGGGTACCGTGAGAGCGGACGTGTCTGTTGAGGTTGCTGGAGTTCTGGAACACCTTGTTGCAGAGGGAGCAGCGGTACACCCTCTTGTGCTCTCTGGCTTTGTGTCTCTTTGGGACGGCCCCGCCGTCTGAGGGGCTCAGGAGGCCGCTGCTCTCTGCTGCCGTCCTCGAGCTCGCCACCGAGGGCTTCACATCTGCACACATCAGGAATCCAGTGACAATTCGGATCACAACAGCAATCATATCGGCAGAAATGATTATTTATTATTTACAAACAAACTCTTTTGTCAGGGACCCTAAATCCGGATATTTTATACTTTATATGAGACGGTCCATCTCACTAAAATGCCTCGGCCTGTCGGTTACTAACAGCAGCCAGCTGTGTACGTCAACAAGCTCACTACCCTCATGATGAGAAACATGTTCAGCAGGTTTAACATTTACCACGTTCAACTTGCATGCACAACTTAAAAACGAAGTTGACAGATATATTTTTCTTTATCTGATGCTATTGTTATTTCGCAACAACCATCAAGACAAATTCCCCTATGTGTAACATTTGTGGCAATAAATGGCTTCTGATTCTGATCTAATTAGGTATATGTACATATTTCGTCATTGAATCACTGAAGTTAGGATTCATCCTCTGGGGACCACGACTGCACAATATTTTATCCAGTAGTTGTGGAGAAATTTCAATATGAACCAGTGTGGTGGACTGACACATTTGTCCTCGGGATGAGCCACCAATCCAAGACTGCCTCAGTTAATCATTTGTACTTTTGCTGGAATGCCATCTGACAATCACAAAAAGTGTCATGAACCTGCAGCACAAGAAGGTGGTGGAGTGATAAGAACGTGCCCCGGACTCCTCCCCCATAGACACTCAACGTCTAATGCAAATTCTTTTATACTCAACACTCTGACTCTTTGTACAGTCACACTGATCATTTGTATAATCTCCAATCTTAATTATATTGATATATTGTACACGTCTTTATTGTATCCTTTCGTATTTTATAGCATTTTTTTCTCCACTGTATATTTATGTGTCTTGCAGGTTCATAGTATTTTAGGATTGATAATCAACTTATCATGTTCATGTTTTACACAACACTAAATCCTTGAACGGGAAAACAAGCATCTGATTTTAAACCAAGTGGAGAAAGAATTAAATAGAAATACTAAACATAAGCTGTTGAAAGCACTAGTGAGTCAAAAGAAGCTTGTACTCTGTCACGAACTGACGTTTAAAGTTGTGTGACTCACGCTGGCATTCTCTTTTTTTCCTCTCTCACCTTTGCTTTTGCTTGATCCGGGCCTGCGTCCCTTAGCCCTCCTCCCTCGGCCATGCCCTCTCCTGGGAGCCGGTTGAGCTGCAGGCGGGTCGCCCACCTCCTCCTCGTTGGGCTCCTCCTCTCGCGGCAGGATCGGATCTGCCGGGAGCGCTGTCGCTCCCTCATCCAGGTGACTCAGCAGGTTGTCTGCTATCGACAGAGGGAAGTAGACGGATCAGAGTATGCAACCATGATGCAACGTCGGTCTCAACTTGTTTTTTTTTTTTTGAACAGTCAGACCTCCAAAGTTCCCGTGAAAAGACACATCTGACTGATGACCCCAAAATGTAGCTTCCCTCCCAATGAAAAAGATTTAACTACCTAACTAGAGGGGATGGATGTCTGATCGTTCTTACCTGCGTTGTTTACTGCCACCGGGGACATGTGGGCTCCAGATTTCTCTGAAGTCTTTGGCATTTCTGAGCGAAAGAGAAATATAAGACACTGGGACACAAAGCGCACTGTTGCAATGACAAGAGTACAAAGCAGTGAGCTGCAATGTTATCTACCTGGGGGCGGTGCTGGTTGAAGTGGAGGCTTAAGCATGGGCTTCTCCATCTTCTTGGCATAGAAAGCTCCGTACCAGACCCTTAGCTCCGTCCCTGGGAACACGTCCTGGGGAACAAAGAGCGGGATGCCGCAACTTTAAAAGACGCCAATGTCCTGCTGACTGAACCCCTGAATTCTTAAGACCGCTGACGCTCGGGTCCAGGGCGGATGCACGTACCTGCGAGGTGTTGAAGTACACGTCATCGTCCTGCTGGTAAGCCGTCAGATTCTGGTGTGTGTAGTCGGCGGCAGGCCGCACCAGCATCATCCAGTTGCAGTCCTCTTCACTGCTGGAGTCGAAACACACCACCGCGCCGTTGTTCTGGAAGATCTGCCCACACGATGGAAATGCATGAATAACAATCACATTCATGCATTTATAATGGAGCAGAACATCGAGCGTGTGTGGGGTGCTCTACAAGCACAAACTCCTGGAACTCTTTAGGCTGCACCTTGAGAGTGAACGCTTCCTCCTTCTCCAGGTGAGGGACCCTTTTGGCCTCAAAGGGCCCGAAGCGGGTCCTTTTGACTAGCCTGCGCATCACAAACACGCCCTCCTGCCCGTCAGCCACCGGTCTGATCTCCAGGCTGTTCGGCAAAGACGACCTAAAACAAGCAGAAAAGAGCAGCGCGTTATGAAGTCGTACTGACAAAGGAGAAGGACAGAGGTCAGGGTCGGTCTACTCTTCCTTCTCCACCTCTCTGAAAATGGACCTAAGGATGGATGAAATCCCTCGTTGGATTGAGTTGTCAGGTCACTCACCGGGCCCGGCTGAGGACAAAGGAGTCCTGGACGGTCACCAGCGGTCCCAGCTCGGGACACTCGGAGTCATGGTACTGGCCACAGTCCTCGCACCCTGCGACACACACATCACACAGGTCAACGCCGGCCACAGTCACACTTTGTGAGCAGCAGAGATACACAACTGGATTCATACTCACAGATGAACTCATCTGGCACCTGCTCAGCCATTATGCCAACCTGCAAAAAGGATCATAATATCAGATCTTCATAGGGGATACGTGTCCTATAGAACACATTTATATAAACCAAGAGGTTTCAAGAGGGCGTTAAGAGTGTTTAACTTGCATACAAGCCTGCATGCAAGTTTAGCCTGGCACACGTGAACGCATCAGACCTCCCGGGGACCATGACAACATGAGCCAACGCCAGGTTTTAGGAATAAGAGGTTCAGTTGGAGTGCGTGTGTTGATGTTTGCAGTCCGGGCAGGAGATCCAGGATTTGAGTCGCTCCCAAACGCTAGCCGGGTTTTAACTCCGATCTGAGCGGCTGCTCTTCAGTAAAATGTAACAAAGAACAGTCGGCATGGCGGATGGACTGGAGACGCGAGCCGCCAAACCGGAGTCGATGCTCTTCAACGCCGAGCGCGCGGCGGAAGGAAGCACGGAGCGAAGCGGACTAACCGGCTGCACCTTTACGACGGAACTGCGTCGCCATTTTAATGGAATTCGGTTTACATTTACAGGGAAACACGTTACCTTTTCAGCAAAAGACCCTTCATTTAGCGAATCCTGACTCCGGGTTCCAATCCGCTCCAGAAACGGCGCAAGACCGGAAACGAGTCGCGCCGGGGGCATTGTGGGAAATGTGGTCTCGTATCGAATCGCTACGAAGCAACTCAAGATGGCATTGATCAGGAAATTAGGTTGTAACTTATTTACCTAAATATTATTTAGGTAAATAAGTTATAACAAAATAAAAATATGGAAACACAATTTAATGCCAAAATGTGGCCTTAATGAACTGAATTCTTATATAATAGAGTTAAACAGTTTTTAATTTATCAATGAAATCTACGCTAAGCAACAAAAGTATAAAGTAATTTTGCTGAACAGGTTTTAGGATGATATTAGAGTAGGCCTTTTTCAGTTGTGTTCTGCATAAAAAAATATCAAATGTCTGTATCATAAAAGAAGACTATAGATAGGAATAAAAATAGATTTTGGAAAATATTTGAGTATTAATTGCTGTAATTGCTGCAAGCTATTTGTCATGTAAAACTTGTCACAGTTCAGCTTCATCTCTCCTGCCTGTCTTTCCTTAACTTCTGTGTGAAGTACCAGGAGTCGAACGGCCATCGACGTGTACAGCTACAGGAGGACCGCGAAGAATCTGCTCCACATTCTCAGTTATTCGATCATCATTTATTGCTGAAAATGAAATAACTCGATATGTATATTAGTTACAATCCCTGCAGGGAAATAACTGAGTTTTTGTAAGAACAGACATGTCAATCAGCTTTTGTGCCCAGATCAGATGCCAATAATGAATAAAAATAAAAATCAGGAAGTAGTTTATTAATCACACACAGGCCTGCAGATGACTGTGGTATGCATGACACTAGCCGATGCTTGCAGGCTAATATAAGCTCTGACGCTGGCATGACTACCCCCCCACCGCCACAACCTTCCAGAGTTTAATTGTGATAAAATTGATTCTGTCTGAATGTTAACAGAATTTTCTTCATCCAAATACAGTTTTTTTCCATGTTTTCAAAACAGACTGCAGCCTTATGTCGATGGAAGAGCCGGATCACAGCTCTGCCATGTGCTTTAAATACAGACGACAACTTGTATCTGCAAGCCAGTGTCATAAACAACACGTTGAGCTGTTTATTCAGTTCTGAAGATAGTCAAAATGCAATTGCTCAGTGAATACGTTACGTGCATAGTCTTCTAGATGATGGGACATTGCCGATGGCTAAAGAAACACGGGGATGACTTGGTCTCTCTGACTGTTCGCTGAGGTCCTTCAACCCTCGGCTTGTGAAGGCGGATGAGGCCTCAGGACCCAAAAGGACAAGTCCTCCCTATGACGTGATCCTCGGACTAACTAAGGCAACCTGTTAGTTCAGTCCGTCACTGACGTATCCATTCTCTGAGCAGATTATTGGAAGAACAGTAGTTAATATTAAGTATAGAAAATGTCTTCAATGAGCTGCTTGCAAAAAAAACAACAAGTACAATCATTAGCTGGATAAAAACAAAACAAAACAAAAAACAGCCAAACCTTTCGTTTGCTCCCAAAGGTTTGTTTACACATTCTCCTGTTCATGTGTTCAAAACTACAATAAAACTTCCGATAAAAGAGCGGTTAACTTAATTTCGGATGGATTTTCATCGAGTATGGCTGAGTGTAACGTCACAGTCCCTGGATAAACGCCCTTCCGGGTTCCCTTTGACACATTAACAACCCTGCTGATGACAGTAGTGTACAGGGGGAGTCTTTGAGGAAGACAAAGAAGGAAGTTGCATATCATTTGAAGACGCTCTCATCTAGCTAAAGTTTCATGTAAACCACAGTGCTTTGTATTCAGATCACCAAAGACTGGTTTTGATGTCTTTGTTAGAAACAAGGCTGTGGACCCTTTTTATAACTCCAATGTACACATTACCTCCGGCTGTTGTTCTGATCTTATTTCACGTGGAATTTAAATCAAAAGGATTTCTTAAATTAACCAATATCAATAACTTTCATAGCATTAGTGTAAAAAAAAAGAAAGAACATCTCCCTTTCTAAATGTGACACAAGAGCAGCTCCTGTCATTGCACTTAAAGAAAAGTTACTAGAATTTTGTGCAAATCATACAAACACCACTCTTCCGTTCATCTTTGGTCCTGTTGGTCCACGGAAGGAAATGTATGGATCACAGGAGGGAGAGCTTTCTCTTTGTCCTCGGTGTCAGGGAGGTAAAGAGGGACAGCCGACATCGGTCCCTTCCCCCGGTAGAAAGGCCACAAAAGCGCTCAAATGATTTCAAACATGTTGCATAAAATTAGATAAAAAACATGCAAAACAATATCCCCCAAAAATGCCATAAATCAGACAGGAGACCTTCATTTACACATGCACACGCTTGCTTTTGGTGGAATATTGGCCTCTTGCGAGAAGCAGAAAACGGCAGTTGAAGAGGATTGTTTTTGTTGCACCTGCACAGCTTTCCCCATTCACGAGGCCTGACCAGACTGCCAGTTGGTCAGCCAGGAAGTGTGCCAGTGCAGGATTGAGGTGGAGATGGTGAACGGTAGTTGTTTGTGGGAGGGACAGAAGGGGTCACGCACAAGGGTCCCCCACCGAGGTAGCGCCGTTGGCCTTGCTCTTGCTCTTGCGGCTGAGCATGCGGCTGAGCGTGGGTGTTCGGCTGGCCTGCTCCAGGTACACCAGGTCGTTGTGGGATTGGCTCATCCCCGGCTCCTTGCGCTGGTGACGCCTCCGGAAGAAAAGCTTGGCGCTCTTCTGGAGGAAGCTGCCTGTGGTGTGGAGGATAAGGGCAGGTAAACGGGGACACCGTGAGATGAGGACTATGGTTAGGCAACAAGCCTGGTGAAAGAATTAAACTTTGGGCATAGACAATATTCAAGCAACGGCGATTTGATTTGTGTTTGATGGGAATTGTGCATTATTGGTGATGAAATGTGGCATGGATGGGACAGGTTGGAGTAAAAATTGTTTGGTTTATTCCTCCTTCTAGTTGAACAAGTTACTACTCCCTAAGAACTAGGGAACTACTTTTCACAGAAAAGAAGGTACATTTTGCAAGCTTAGCATGAATGAATGTTACCTTTTGGAGTGTTTACAACATTGCATTAGTTGATATGTTTTCAAATACTCCATAATCACGAACACGTTTCTCTGCTTTAATTTTTTGCCCTTTTAAAATCGCTCAGCAGACTGGAGAAGATCCTAATATGAGCATCTAAAAGGTACTGAAGACCAAATAGATTTTGAATTGAGACGATTATACTTTGAACTAAAAGACTCACACTTGTAAAAACAAAAATATTCACAAGACTTTGTGAATATTGCCCATGCCCTTTAAATCTGTAAAAGTGACTATTTGACCGGCCTTTATGGAACTGATTTGCATGAGCCGATTATAAATTTGACATGACAGAAAGACTAGGTTATATACTCTACAGGAGTGGATACTAGACACACTAGAGCACCATGGGTACTACAAGTAGCTCATGAAACAACTTACTCATGTGGACATAACGTGTGCTTAGCACTGCTTTCCTCTAAGATGGCAGTGACGATAGTTCCAAAAGAGAAAATTGAAAAAGAAGAAAAAAAAAGTGAAAGAGTAGGAGATAAAAGAACAAAAAAAACCCACAAGAGTGCAGTGAAAACAACAAACACATGAACATTTATCAAACTCAGCCTTTTAAAGTGATATATTTAACAGAATAATGCCGCCTTGTCCAAGATTAGCCGAGGCTTCAGGCAGTCCTCTCACCTCTTCTCTTCTTGCAGCTCGCCTCGGAGATGCACATGGACAGCGAGGAATTGTCCAGCCCCTCTCCGGTCTGGCTCTCCCAGTCCTCCACAGGCCGGCCTATTCCACTGGGGCCCTCCTGGTGCTCAGACGTGTCCGGAGGGCTACTGGACCCGGTCGCAATCGCTGCGGTCACATCCTGAGTGGAGCTGCTCTCCGACATAGAGGCGTCCATTGCTGCAGCGTAGCCCGCCATCAGTGCGAGCTCGTCATCCTGAGACAGGGGCGTCTGGGGAAAGGAGCGAATTAAAACATTAGGAAAATATGTTTTTGGTGTAGTGAGATTCTCTTTCTACCTCTGACTCAAATGTTGAAATAGTTAAACAGAAATAAATCTTCCATCTTTAAATATACCTGTGTTTACCTGTGCTACTATCATTGTTGAAATTATTCAATTAACATTGCTGAATATATATATATTCAGCAATATATATATATATATATATATATATATATATATATAGCAATATATATATATAGCAATATATATATATATATATATATATATATATATATATATATATATATCTGTGTGCCTTACAAACCTCGACCGAACTCGGGTCAGACCATTAGGGTCGCACTAATATTAATCTTTGATATTAAGGTGGGGGCCACAAAATATCGTCCTGTAATATCGGGCTGGACTTTGCGACGTCTGATATAAATATATGTGGCACACAGAAAAAAAATGACCTCAGATTCGCCCGGAAAAAATAAAATAAAAATAATAATAATGCCCATGCAAATAATAATTTGCATAACTTCTACAAAACATGGAAGGAAGACACCTGCAACTCTCCATATGATAACCTATTGTGTGGACAGTATCCGTGTAAAGGCGTCTCGTTTTGTTGTTAGCTTCTAGCTTCAATCGATAAGTACACAGATGTGTAGAGTTTGTTCAGTTGTGGTCGAGATTTTCATATGATATTTTATATCCCGTGGAATAACTTTTCTGTTTGGGTTTTGTAGTCCAGACTTTAAGCTTTCCATCGACGTATTAGTATATTGGTTCATGATGAGTGGCTCTTATTCGATGTCATGTGGTTGACATGAATGGTAAAATGTCAGCGTCTCGGGATCTCTAAGGGTCCTACGGCTAAGAGCTGTTTCTTCCCTCTGTCATGATGCACTGACTGGGAAAACAACAGCTAAAAAGCACTTGAGGAAAATAGTTTCCTGAGCCGGTCCTCGGCTCTGTATTACCTTGTATATTGAATAAGGGAAACCGTATACTGCACCAGTGAAGAGCTCCTGTGGTGCTGGAACGCATCCTTACTTTGGCGATGCCTGAGATGATGATTGTACTCTTCTTCACCGGGGACTTGAGCTTCTGTTTGGCGGATTGGTGGAGCTGTCTGATGGCGGCTTCGGCCACCAAGTCGGTGCCATTGAGCATCAGCAGCTCGGTGTCAGAGGAGGACAGGGCCTTACTGACTGTGGCCGCCATCATGGACGCCTGCTCGGACACACGCCGCTCCGACACACGCCGCTCCGACAGTTTAGACCTGGGGGCCACGGCTCTCTGGGTAGGGTCTGAGTTAGCACCAAGTAAGTTAAATGAACCAGTTCATGGGAAGTCCAAAACAAAGAATGGTTAACGTTACATTTCATGCGTGTTTAGCAGGTATAGTTTTTACATTGTCATCCATAGAGAAAATCTGCCAGCTGGTGTTTGAAATAGTAGTTTGTACCTATGTTGAATCCAAGGGAGGGGGGGCGGCCCGGCTTGCTCTTCACCGCGGTGATGGTGGTGACCACCGTGCCACAGGGCATGACTGTACGGTCCATCTCCACCCTCTTGTTGGGGGCTGGGGTGGGAGAGTGCCAGGACCTCACCTCACTGGGCTCCAGATAGGTAAACTGAAGGATACGACGCCCCCCGCCCCACACACAGTTACTGTTAGAGCTTTGTGCAAAGGAATGGTAAAAGAGAGCTCAAGAATTAATGTTAAAATGAAGGCAAACTGTGTGTGTGTGTCGTGTGTCATTATGTTGTTCTGGTAACTCGGATGTGATCTTACATCAGTAGTTAGTGATCCAGTCACTACGTCTTTGGTCATGAGTGCAAATGTTTGCTGCCCTTTGGGCTGCTTCTTCACAAGATCAAAAGGCACCGACACCCGACCAAGTAACGCATCTGAAAAGAAAAACACAGCTACTTCAGTCTGATAGTACAAAACATGTTGACAAAAGAATGACTCGCCATTATGTAAAAAAATTAAAATTAAAAAGGCGCCCAGTATTTTTCTTTTCTTACTTTCTTGAGGTTCTCCATCATTCATTAACTGAATATTGAGCTCTTTTGATCGACCATTTAGTTCACTGGCCAGAAAGAAAAAGAAAATGAATAATCAGAGAAAGAAATGAATTACATTACAGATGTTGGTGGATTGCAAAAAAAAAAAAAACAGTTTGCAGTAAACCTTACAAGATAAATGGCTGGTCCCAGGCAGGACTGGTTGTGTTCTTCAAAACAGAGGTGTTCAGCCTCTGTGGAGGATCGTCCAGCTGCATTACACACAAAGGACTCATGCTGCCTGCAAACACAGCACAAGTCAACATCGCACGCGCACACACACACACGTTGGATATCTAGGGATATATACATACATATATATAAATAAATCATGAATTATGCATAGACTCAAAGGACTGACAGAAAAAGAATTTAGGTTCCAATACTGGGAAGGCACAGCGACCCAATGAATACATCTTCAACCCAAAAGACCGCGCATTCAGCTCTACATTGGGCTTCTATGGCTGGCTAGGGATTCTGCAGGACGTCTAAGTGTTACACCTCCCTCGGAGGACAAGGAACAGATACGAGGTGTGGAACGCTCTGTCATGTCTCGGCTGTGCATTATCAAGGGCAGGCCCGAATACTGAAGAGGACGTTTGGAGTCAATGATTCACAGTTAGAGAGTGAGTCTTGTTACGGTTTAGGAATGGAAGATGATGACTCCTTTTCGGCAACACCTTGTTTTCATTCTCATCATAATAAATAATCACAAAATACTGGGAAACTTTGCACAAGCACAATAGGTGCCTGAACTAGTCAGGTATTAAAGAGACAGTTCAAACCAGAATGAAAATGGACACAAGTTCCCTTCTAGCTATAGTACAGTATACATCCGAAATATCAGGATGCACGTGCATCTGTATTCTGCCCTTAATGCTGCTAGCTCAGCTAGCCCCACTGAGCATGTTAAAGTTAGCGCCCACAGGAGGAGGCCGTCTATGTTTCCATTCCGGTATATCATCATGAGTGTAAACAGACTACAATAAACGTGTGAAATGACACGACGCAATGAAGATGTGAGGCAACGGATGTTGGTGTGTGGGCTCAGGAATGAATAATTAAACTAGCTACAGCTGCTTCATCTCTGTCCATTTCTAAGAAACAAGAGAGGTCCCACCTGCAGCACCGTCCTCCTGATTCAGGGTCACCCGGATGTTCTTCACCAGCAACTTCCAGTCGTGGGCACGGGGGGGTTTTGGGGGTGAAAGCACGTTGTTGCACGCCTCCTTTTAGAGAAACGAAAGTCAGAGAATAACTCGAGCTACTGGCCATAACATGAAAAGCAAAAATCCCCTTTATACAAACCAGGTATGTTTATGAGCAGTGTGTTATATTATACATATATTTACCAGACCAGAATGTACTCTGGTCGGGGACTTGCATTAACCAACAATAACACGTGTGTTCTTGAACTCATACTCGGGGTACGGTACAGGGGACGTTTAGGGGAGATAGCAGGTCAGGTGGAGATGGCACATAGATACAGTAGACATCATATAAGCTGGGAACTTGGCACGTTATTTTGGAGGCGGCTCAACACTGCGTCAGGTCGTAGTTGTGAATCACGTGGCGCAGGCACAGAGTCGTCCAAGCTGTGGGAGCATTTCACACAAACTTACTGATTGAAAACTCCAAGTCACCACTTTGGGCTCGGCTCATTCGCGCTGCATTTATAAACACCTGTGAGACTTGACAACAGGTGATCACACCAGGAACACATGAAACCCAGGAACGGCCGGGCAAAGAGCACATCAGAAATGCCTGTCAGCATAATAAACTTGTTACATGTTTGTGCAGGGTTGTAGTTGAACACAATCACAAATTCCCATAAGGGATCTTTAATTGTCTTGTGGGAATAGGGTGGCTTAGTAGGTTTAACATGGATGCAATAAACCTCGAGAAGCATCTGTGCTGCATCGCAGTAAATCTGATTAGTTGCCTTGAGTGACCTTGATAGAAAAGTAAAGACTAAACGTGCAATATTTTCTTTGTGCCACTAGGGTGTTGAAATCTACCATTACACATTGCATGAAGCAACAACATGAAAACATTGTTGTCAACAAATACACAGTACTTGCAGTGTTGCAGTACTGCAAAGAGCAACCCTGTATGACCAGCACGCATGAATGTGTCCGACGTTCTCGTTAAGCATCGGCTGTGACTCCTCCGCTCACCTTGACCTCTGAGGCCTGAGCGGGCCGACAGCTCAGCAGCACAGAGGGACGCGTCACACACAACAGCTGCCTCAGATGCTTCGTAATGGCTGCCACAGTGGAGGTGTTAACATGGTCCTGCAGAGAAAGAGAGAGAGAGAGAAAGAGAGAGAGGTGATCACATCAGACGTGTCTCGAGCATAGTTTATGCTTTGGGTTTTCAGAGTGACGCAGACGCAAGACCCCCTTGCGTGTTCCTTGCGTGCAAGCCTCCCGCAAAGCACAAGGCTGCGATTGGTCTGCTAACTACATCCTTTACGGAGTCTCACATGGCGATACCGCCATTATTAAAACGAAGAATGTTTACGAGAAAACGGATCAGATTGAATAACTTTTGTCGGAAGAAATGCATAAATATGACCACTTCTACAAGCCGTCATTGGCGGACTATAAGGACGCGCGGATGGCCTCTGATTCATGGAGGGAGATCTCCGCAAACGTCGGTTTGCCGGTCGAGGGGAACAAAGTTGTGGAGGAAAATACGGGACAAATGTGTCCTCGATGAAAAGCAGCAGTGTCGATGCACGGGGCAATAAAGTCTATGATAAATAAACAAACAAACCAACGACTTCCACACACAAAGACGTGACTCTCTAGGTCGTCTTCAACAGAAACACGTTACTCCACCTGTTGTTCTGGCGGTGAATTGCTCTGCAACACACGCAAGACTTTTAGAACCATGAATTGAAACGAGTGCGTCGACGCAGACACAGAAGCATGGGCCAGCCTTCAAATATTTAAAGCGTATCGACACTAAACCAAAAAAAGATTTTATAATTCTTCTTTTTAACTCATTTTGAACAACTCACTAGAATTTAAATAATACATCCATCCATCCATTGTCAAACCGCTTATCCTACACACAGGGTCGCGGGGGGGCTGGAGTCCATCCCAGCCAACTTCGGGCGATAGACAGGGTACATCCTGGATTGGTTGCCAGCCAATCGCAGGGCTACACAGAGACATACAACCATTCACACTCACACTCACACATCTACGGACAATTTAAAGTCCCCAATTAACCTGATCCCCAGAGCATGTCTTTGGACTGTGGGAGTCCACAAATAATACAATAAAATAAAAAACACAGAAAAATATTTTCACACAAACAAGATCACATTTGGTGGTGGTGTATTCGCTTGTATGCGAATGAGGGGCATCGTGCTGTTACATTACCTGGTTGAAGGTGGGGGTCACCTGCAGCTCCCCAGTCTCCAAGTGAGATACTCCCCAGCTCACATTGATCACATCTGCAGCGTCTTGCATCTGCAGGTTAAGCTGAGGAACACAGGCGAGAGGAAATCCGGTATCAGAGGTCCAACACCGTAGTATCGGTCATAATAATTGAATTCAAATATAAAACCGTCACAATATTAGTGCAGAGTTTCAGAACATTTTTTGACATAGCGTTGAAAGATTTTTAGCTTGAACTGCTTTGTAAAAGAAATGATATTTGTTCAATGTAACAGCTTTACAATAATGACCCATCAACGTTTAGATTTGTTCCCTTTAGCCCTTTAGACAGTCTCTCTACCGAGTGCTCCTGGGAAAAGGAAGGAAGTGCATCAACCATTGCTCCGCCAAAACAGGAAGAGGATAGCGCCTCTTTCATCCCAGCTAGCGTCCAGTAGCTATCTCCAGTTAGAAAAGATTATCAGTGGAAGGATCTTCATGGACAGAGCAAAGTCTAAATGCAGAATTCTGTCTATTCTACAGCTGCAATCTCCTGATGGGATTCGTTTGTAGATCTTGAATACCAATAATTATGACCATTTGGTTTACTTTCTTTGTTTCATAAAACTATTCTTTCTCTTACAATCACATACTATTCTCGGTACCAGGAAACTTTTACAGTGACTTATTTTCATTTAACACTGACACCGCGGCCGACGCGCTGGTCTCTACGGCCAACATTATGCACCGCCTCTCTAGTCAGCCTGACCAAAAGGAAAACGGCGAGGAGGTCCGCAGGCTGCACAGCAACACTCGGGCAAACAAAGTGAAAGGAGAAGAAAGCACAGAAAACAGTCCGGGCCATCCTGTCCCAGCATGCCTGGATTCCACTGAACAACCGCCTCTGTGATGCTGAACAAAGGCCTCATCAGATAACAATGAGAACGCTTTGATGGATTCAGCAGATTATCGCCACTGGTTGTGATGGATGAGACGCTGATCGGCTCCTGCAAACAGCTTTGTAACAATAAAACTCTTTGATTGGATAATAGAAGGTGTAATGTGGCCATTCAAATAACTTCACATCATCTAGACCAAAGTGCCCGAAAGATTATGCAAATGAGGCGTTACCGCATCGGGCCGACGTAGGTCACCTGTGTTTCCCTCTAAGTGCACTTAGCAACACAGCGCAGAGCACACGGGGTGCCTTTGCCTTCATGGTGTCCGTGTACCGTGAATGCCCGGGAAGGGCTTCTGCTGCGCACACACACACACACACCAGCACTCATCACACACCAGCCAGGACCATTCTAGCATGGAACCCCAGTCAAAAGCTAACAACTGTTCAGGTGGATGGATGTTTTTAAAAGGGCCCTCTGACCTTTCCAGACTAAGCTGGAACAATTTTTGGTGAAAAGGAGACAAGAGGCGCCCTCTATGTTTACAACAACAATCCGTAACCAAAACAAAACCGGTCAGACTTAAATCCCGACTTCGGCTTTCGAGTCACTCACTTACTTGGATTGTATTTATGGCACAATGAGATCAGCTGGGGAGACAAGCACCTTATTGGTTTAAAAATAGTCGTGATAAAATTGGGTTAGCTTGTACAGCCGCTTATATCCATACTTTGGTTTGGATTTAACACTGACACTCAGAGCAGGATGAAAGCTTACCACGGCTCAATGAGCCCGACCCGCTAAAGATCACCCTTGACTCGCTCCAATTGATGACTGTGATATTTTACTGAGACAACGAGTCAGTCGCGTCTGGGCATGATAAATAAATAAAAGAAATGGCAGTAATCTGTGTCACACCCGTATCAATCTAATACAGGCCCTTGACAAATATCAATGCAGACAAAGTGGGCCAGCCGCCGTCGAGACGGTGCCCGACAGTGATTTTAATGAGGTCTTCGGGTCATTCGCCAAGCACAGAAAGATATCCTATCATCTTAGAACCTGAGCCAGAGCTGAGCGGCACATCACGTTCGATAAAATCTTCTACTGAACTAAACCGGGGAGGGGGTGGGGGGGTGCTGCTAAAAGACGTGGCTTTCAAACAGTGTTGAAGAGATATGGAGATAAAAAAAGAATAGTATTGCTTACAGTGAAGCCACCTGCAACTTTAATAGATGCCTGAGGACAGACTAAAGAGTATTTACCTGCAGCTCCAGTGGAGCTATACACACAGTGTATTTACAAGGACCTGCAGCAGCTGTAGCTGTCGATGACGCGCTGAGAGAGAACCGAAGCTGCTCGCCGACCACACTGCAACGAGCGGCCTGTTGGGAAGACAAATTGAGGCGTTATCGTAGTGTAAATATACTGAGAAGGCCAAAGTTGCGCCATGACAGCATTCACATGTGAACATCTGCACTTGTTATCAAAGGCATTATCAGAAGATTCCATAAATAACTTTTCCCTTCAATGGAATGTATCTGGACCAGAATAAATCAGCAGTCATAAGTGTCCTCCTATTCTAAACACATCTATTCATTGTATTCATTCATAACTGGATGGGTGTGTTTGAGTCCTGTTGGGTATTAGATCCCGGTGAGGAGAAACCTAAGCATGGGGAATTTCTGTCCCTACTGCTCGTCCTTGCAGCTGAGCTTGTCAGCTACGTAAGCTTCTTAGAGCTCTAGCGCACGCTCACATACACAGCGAGTGGGCAAAAATAAACCTCTGTTCATTAAACTCCCCTCATCGACAACAGCGCACCTGGTATTTTTGCTCCACATCCTGATTGCCACAAAGAAAGGGCTGAGTTTGCATCGGGAGTCGTGCAAAGGCAATCAGGCCAGCAGCACAGTGAGCAATTTGTCCCTGTTTGACCTGCCCCCCCCAAACCTCCCAAAAAGCCCTCTCGTGCCAGTTTGTCCTCAACACGGCCTGGTCCACATACATCGGTTTGACCAATAAGAAGAAGCTGAAAAAGAAATGTTCATTTATCAACTCTTGGGATTTTTTTCTAATATGCAAGTGGACACGGGAAGAAGTGCGGCGCAGATTAATCTGCCAAATCTAAATGACACGTCTGTACAGAGGTTGGCCAGGTGATGGATGATTCGGTGCTTGTTCACTGCAGGCTGACGTGCAGCACTGGGCGAGGAGCAGCTCCCTCTTCACTGAATACGAGTGGGGGAGGATGAGATATAAGACAGTCTTTATCAATAAAGTACATAAAGAGAAAACTAGAAATCTGTGTGCCTGCTGATGCTTTTACCCAAATGAATGCTGAGGCTGCAATGAGAAAGAAAGATCTCGCCAGTGGTTTGGAGGAGGAAGAGGACACGGCATCTGCACTAAACATAGGATATATTGATCCAGATATCTCCCAGAAGAAAAGCCGCTCTACATTCCTCAAATACTTTATGATCAGTGTACCTTGCTTTTGGCAGACTTCTGAAAGCTGGAGACTTGGCTGACCCGGAGGTCCGACGCCTCAAGATCATTCTCTTCAAATGTCAACAGAACCGGACTCTGTAGAGGAAGGTAATGGCAACATTAAATTCATTAAATGAATGACTCACGGGAGCGGGGAAAGGAAGCTGTTGCCTAATACACGTTGAGCTTGGCAGCCATGCATCCCATTGGCAACCTCAATGCATGTGTTGTGACATGATTATACCAAGTAACAGAATGAAAACGCCAAGATGGCGCAAGTATTACACCATTGAGTGTAAATGCAAAAGAGTAGAGTGACAAGAGAATGTTGTGAGATCTCATTGAAACGAAATGGATTTTCACATGAAGTGACATGGGTGTTGTTTGAGGGCTGGAGGCTCGTGCAGACACTCACCCCGCTCCTCTCGGATCGCTCATTGAGAGCTCTGCACCAGGCTCCTCTCCACTGGCTCCTCCAGCTCCTCAGTGACAGCGCCCATCCCAGCAGAGCCGCGGCTTCTTCCTTCGCCGCATCGTCCCCGGCAGCGGCGGGACGCTTGTTTCCTGCACCGCTTTGTTTGAAGTACTGTACGAAATACAGTATGAGAGTGACGAGCGATGCGAAGAAAAGTGTGACCATGCACAGCCACCGCGGATCCTCCAGACCGAAATATGAACTGGAACTTTCTGAGTCGGACATTCTTTGCCGTTGAGAACGTTGACGGCAGATTTAACACACCTCCTGAGAGCAATGTCCCGGCAACCTCATAGTCTGTATTTGACCAAGGAGAGGCGAAATCAATGAACCCGATCGCACACGGCTGAAAGCAGCACAGATCCCAACGCCCAAAACAAATAATGGTTATTGTGATCCATGCTGCGGTGCTAGTTAGCAGCTTTAACCAGCGAAATGGAAGTCGGGAACTATGCGAGCTGCTCGTATAGACCTAGAGCATTGTTAAAAGAGCCAAAAGGTAGTCTCTGGATTCAAATGAACAGCAGATACACGCACTCTCCGCATCTCACTGAATATGGTTGTTAGCTTAGTTAGCTAATCTTCGCCACGGTTCGCTCAACTTGCTATTCTTCACCAGCTATGAAGCCGCCAAAGTTCTACGAATATGAGTTATTTCCAAAGTCTAGTCTAGTAGTTTAGTTCCGCGGACCGGTAACCAGACAAAGTGTCCCGGGGAAACATCCTGGAAGAGAAGCGCGCATTCGTCTCCGCGCTGGACTCGCTCGGCGGCTCAGGCTGACTGTACAAAGTTGCCGTTTCTAAACGGATATGTGGCACAAACTGTAAGTCCCAGAATGCACTGCGACACGTTTCGAGAGTTCGAGTGTGGTGGTCTCGCGAAACCGAACGTACGACCCGACTGAGGCTAAGTGTGGGTTTTTAGAAAGTGGTGTTGTGTGCTTTTAAAGCAGCAATGAAATTCGATGATTAATTCGATTTGACCACTCACAAAAACGCAGTTGAGGAAATTAGAAAAGGAATCCGAATCTACTGAACCTCGCGGCTTTCCGTCGTTTAGTACTCTGTCATCATTACCACATCTTCCTGTCCCGTTTGAGGCAAACACTTAGCGCTAGCTAGCTTTTGTGTCAACATTAGTGGGCTCAGTTCACATACTTTACATTTGGAGGTAGGTAAGGCTTTCTGAAAAATACTGTAGTGTTGTTTTCATTTTCTGTGTAACGACGTGTGGTTTAGGCCCCGCCCATCCGCAGAGGTAAACAAAGTATATCTCCGTCACCCAACACGAGCGAGCTGTTTCACAGCCGCCATCAACACCGGACTCCAGTTATCGCCTGTAAATGGAAATACGAGTAATTTCGCCATGAATTGCCGCTCAGAGGTTCTTGAAGTAACGGTGGAGGCGAGGCAGGTGGAAGAAGCTATGCTGGCTTTGCTGCACACCATTTTACTGCATCGCAGCTCCGGGAAATTTCACTACAAAAAAGAGGGCACCTACTCCATAGGCACTGTGGGTACACTCGACATCGACTGCGACTTCATCGATTTCACGTTCGTCAGGGTGTCCTCGGAGGAGCTCGACAGAGTGATCAGGAAGGCCGTATCTGAATTCAAGGTAACTGGTGGTTTCGACGTGTGGTTGTTGACTTTGATACTGCGGCAGGTCCATTGTTTGACGGTTTCATTACACGTTTTGGTTACAGGATGCGTTGAGCAACTCTGGCAGCGATGGCATGGGGCAGATCTCCCTGGAGTTTTACCAGAAGAAGAAGTCTCGCTGGCCCTTTTCTGATGAGTGCATTCCTTGGGAAGTGTGGAGCATCAAAGTCAACGTTGTCAACCTGGCCAATGAGCAGGAGAGGCAGATCTGCAGGGAGAAAGTGGGCGAGAAGCTGGGCGAGAAGGTGATCAACGTGGTCGAGGTCATAAACCGCCACGAGTATCTGCCAAAGATGCCCACCCAGTCCGAAGTGGACAATGTTTTCGACACCAGTCTGAAAGATGTTCAGCCCTACCTTTACAAAATCACATACCAGATCACAGACTCTTTGGGCACTTCTGTAAGCACAACAATGAGAAGGCTGATCAAAGACACCCTGGCACTGTGAGGATTTGCTCCAAGAAAAAGCAGAAAGATCTGGACGATCCAAAACCGTATCTGTAGTGATGCTTCTTATGTTCAAATGTACACATTTAGTACCTAATCAGTGTATTAGTTTGATGTCTCTGCTCTGGTGTCGATATTGCTTTTACCTTTTTAAAAATCTTAATGTGTTATTTAAATTTTGTTTTTTTGGGCGTATTTTATAGGAATGTAACTTCAATTCAGTTGCAAATAACACAATTTATCAGTATATTAAATTCTTTCTTAAATTGTGTACTGATAGTCATATTTGTAAATCATTGATATTCTTGACAATAAATGTCCATTATAACTGCCGGTACTTACCGTCAACAGTCACAACTCTTTCAAAGTAACGATTCCTTCTCTAAACCCATCCCAACCATTAGAGATAACTCCTGGGAAAGCAATCTTTTTTTTCTTTTCTGAGAGATATAGCTGAGTTTGCAAACAGATTTCCTCATCCATGTGAACACTTCCTCTCTGCACACAGTTTCATGCAGAGTGTGACCTCACACATGGGTAGGACAGGATTTCCAGTTTGCAATTTTTCCAAATCAAAGCACCTCCTTTTCACTCTCAAGTTTTCCAGCCAGAAAACGGTGGCCCCAAGCTTGAAAAACATCCGTGTTGACATCTGTCTGTCAGCCGAATAACGTGCTGGTTTCACATACTCTAGTCACACAGGTAGACAAGCTGTATCATCCTTCACACGCAGTCCCATTAGTGGGCTGTACCTATAGATATACCATACATTATCAGATACAAGTTTTGGTGACAAACAAGCTTCAGTAAAGAGGAACTTGTCATTCTCACGTTCAGGTTCATACATGGATTTCGGGTTTACATGCCTCAATTAAAAAAAACCTCATACGGTCTGTCTGACGAGGGTCTTATTGGACCTGTTAAAAACACTCCATTTAAGAGCCTGTCTCTTTAGGATTTTTTAAATTTATATTGCACGATATTGTGCAATACAGTGCACCTTTACAAAAGCTACTGTAGTCAAAAATGCATTGGGTTCTTATTTAAAAGTAGTTTAGTAGTATAATTAGTAGTATTACTCCAGAAACCCACGTGTTTGTGTTTTTAAACAACTTGTCCCCTTTCAGCTGCATCAAACAAGCTCAATAAGGGTTTATGGAATGTCCTGCAACTATAGTTAGATGTCTTTGTTTATACATTAGGGAAAAGATACATTTGAATACTACAAATGGTTGTATATATACACACACTTCATTTTTACTTTATTACAGGAATGAAGCACAAAAACTGTAGAAAAACCTAAACACAAAACAGCTGCAAGTTTCCAAAAGCAACATTAATACAACCAATGCTGATACAAATTTTAATTATTGCAGTGAGAGCACAGGAATACTAAAAAGATAAAACTTTTGTTTACTAACAAAATTGGTACAAAATTGAGGATACAAACACTTCCATGTACACAATCCTAATAATTTCTGTGAAACTTTTAGAACGTCTTTCATCACAAGAAATGAAGAACACTATTATCAACAAAGAAGTTCTCCAAATAATTTAACATCACCATCTGTGTGGAGCTGAATGCAACCTCTCCCAAATTTAAGAAATTGTAATAATTCATGACAAAAGTCTACTCCATCAAGCCAAAGCATAACTATATACTTGTACAAGAATACATTTGTGAAACAACTGGAATACAATCAACACAACAAATCTTTAGAGAGCCGGATCACTTTCTCACCATTCCTAGAATAAAAGATTTGCTTCCTCATGCTTCCCTCTTGAAAAGCCTGAGTCATAAATCATTTAAAACTCTGTTGTGCTTTTGTGTAAATTGATATTGACAAAATAGTTCCAAAATTGCATAAGGCCATCAAAGCGTTGTGAAGCTTAGTTAATTACCACACTGGCTTGCACTGGGAGGGAGGGGTGCACTTTAGTGATTCCGAAATTGTGACAAATTGTGATCATTAAATTTATATTACATGAGTATAACAATACTTCTGTGTGGTTTTTAAAACATTTCTCTTAAAAGTCCGAATGACATTATAGGATACTAATCAAATAAAATGCACATTATCTTCCCTGAAAATATCCTTTTTTATTACTAAGCTGGTCAAAGCACCTTTTACAAATGAGTTTTTCAGCATTTTCACCAGCAACATTTAAAATGATTCAGTCATTAACCTGCTGTTAAAACTTTTGATTGCACTTAACTCACTTGTGTACGTAGAAAAATATGTTAGTCTCGGCTAAAGTGAGGAATCCCAACGAAAATAACTGCACAGAGACTGTACGCAATTAATCAAGGCGCCATCTTGAAGAGGTGTCGGAGGTGCGTTTCATGTACAGTTTGTGACTGTTCATTATACAGATGTTACTTATTCAGTCCAGCCGTTATAAAAATGACGCAAATGCAATGGAAAACTCAGATGCGAGAGCGCTAATGCAGAGGAATGCTAAGCGTGTAGAGTCACAATTACTTAAAAATTACCTATTTAACATTGAGACTATTCAGCCTAACAACTATCAGTCGGTGAAAAGGATCCGATGGAACATTTGGAACAGTGCTGTCGAACAAAGTGCATATTGAGAGTCATTGTTGAGGCCATCAATGTTATCTTGAGGAATGTCGCTCACGCAAGATATAGATCTGATAGAGGGGTCAAAAAGCACAACTTTCTAATTTTAACTTTCTCACCTGTAACCTCCATCCAATCTGAAGCACTTTTTCCACTCTGAGAAAACAGTGCACAGAGCCGCCACTGTAAAAAAAAATAGAACAGCTGGTGCAACTCTGTACCTTGTTTACTCGAAAACACCTATATAGATAAATACAAGTAAACAACTGAAAGGAGATTTAAAATAGATAAATGCTATAACTCATTTGTGAAGAAACAACTAAAAGCAGAATCATCTTGTCTCACAGAGAAATCTAGCACTTGATTGCACATTCACATTTACACCTCTAATGAACATGACCACTTCAATGCAAACATTGGAGGCAAGCAAACAAGCTATACATTCGGAGTTTTGTAGGCTGAGGTGTGTTCATTCTAATGACATTAAGTATTGTCTTGAGGGAGTTGCACCGCCATAACGTGCTTACACGTGGCCGTGACTCTGCTCGTGGCTCCAGAGACTAAAGGCCGTCTTGAAGGTCCTGTGACAGAGTTTACACATATACTGCCTCTTGAACGCCAGGGCCGAGAGAGACGGCGCGTGATAGAAGAGCGTGTCGGATTCCTGAGGGCAGCCTGCATTCTCCACGCTGTTTGACCTGGACAGAGGACTGTGGCCGCCGTATTGCTGCTCCAGCTCAGGCATTTTTGACGTTCCGGCCGAGGCGCCGCAGGGCTCCGGGCTGCTGGACTCCTCGGCCATTACGGAAGCCACTGGGCCCGCCGGGGCGGACTTGAGCGCGGAGGCCTGAGGGGAGGGCCGCTCTGCGCTCTGAGGGGTCGTGGGCGGTGAGGGAGACAGAGACGACGGGTCCCTGTCGGCCTCTTTGGCTCCAGGCTCGCTAGCGGTCGACATGTGCGACTGGAAGTGGCTCCAGAGGCGGAAGTTGGTCCTGAAGGCTTTGTTGCAGATGTGACAGATGAAGGGCTTGATGTGGCACAGCAACTCCTGGTGCCGCTCCAGGTCTTTGCGAGAGCTAAAGAGGTTTCCACACTTCTCACACGGCCACACGCCGGGCTCCTCGGGCCCCGATCTGGCAGACTGAGAGTACTCCATCTCACTCACGTTCTCCTCCAACGGCTCCTCTTTCACCACCAGCTTTCCATGGTGGACCATGCTCAGATCCTCAGGCACATAGGATGACGAGTCTTCCGAATCGTACATGGGGGGACCTGAGGAGTCGCTGTAAGCGATGGCCTCCCTGGAGCTCCCGGGCACCAGAAGCTCGTCACTGTAATGCTCCTCATCGAGCATTTCAGTCGCCTCTGCATTGTTCTCCTGCTGCCTGAGCTGCAGCTGGTCTTTGACTGTCATCATGTTGTGGTTGTGGACCTCCACCTGGTGGCGCCATATGCTGAAGGAGGACTTGAAGGTCCGCATGCACTCCAGGCACGTCAGTTTCTTGTACTTACAATGGGCCTCGTGGTCCGTCTTGACGGTCGGACTGGAGAAGCGCAGGCCGCAGTAGGGGCACACAGTTGCGTGTCGACAGCCCCTCTCGTGGTCTCCCTGCTCGAAGAGGGAGGACAGCTTCATGTTGCAGAGTCTACAGGAGTAAACGCCGGCATCCGTCTTCTCCCGTTCCTGGTAAAGGATGCTCTCGGTGTCCTCGTCTGGCTTTTCAGCAGGGTGTGTTCTTAAATGCTGTCGGTACTGAGACTGGAACACAAATATCTTCCCACAGTAAGGACATATGAAGCTAGGCCTTAATCTCTTCTTGGCGAGAGCAGGAGATTGCAGACCCTGCTTATTCCTCTTCAACTTCCAAAGCAAGGCTTTCTTGATTTCCCGCTCTCGAACAATATCTATCAGCTTCTTCTGAAATTTCTCGTCCAGCACGGAGGAGCTGGAGGACGATGCTGGATTTTGCACCACGCCATGCTGAGTTTGGCAGTGAGTCCACACTTTAAAGTTGGTATGGAAGCGCTTGTGGCAAATGTCGCAAGCAAACGGCTTTTCGGGATTGTGATACATATTCACATGACGGTGTAGTCCAGCGCTGGACCTGAAAACTTTCAAACAGTTCCAGCATTTGAAAATCTTGTTCTGGGGCATCTCTCCTCTGTTTTCATTGGAGTCGCTGCCGGCACTCTGCGACCCTGTTTCTGACATGTTCACATCAAGTGGGAGGGTATGCTCCTTAAATATCTTGTTCTTTTTGAATGGGTATCTTCGGTTGTCTGCTCTATCCTTTCTTTTCCCAAAGGGATTGAAGTCCTGCGTAGTGTCTTGCTCGTAATTGGTTTGCAAGTCTCTAAGATTGACCGGCAACGGATCTCCAACTGTAATTCGAACAATGTCCATGGGGTCAGCGAGTGGACTGCTGGGCTCTCTTTTTACCTGAGTATTTTCATCATACTCGCTGGGGAACTTTGACCTGAGAACCAGGGGAGATGTTCTTTTTGAATCGCCATTGTGAGTTGGTGTTTCTGGCCCGGATGCTTTAGAGGCCATTTTAACGACCGACTGTTCGCGGTTGTGCAGCCCCTTGAGCTCCAGCGTGGGCGAGAAGACCGGAACCGGACTGTCCATGGACAGCGATCTCCGGAGTAGGCTTTTAATGAGCGGCCCGCTCCTGTCAATGGTCTGGCTCGCCTCAGTGGCTTGACCCCGGAAGGGCACTTTGGTGTGATAGTGGGGCTGCAGCACATCCTCCTCTTCCTCTTTAGTGCCCACGTCAGTACCAGACTGCAGCCTGGTGGGCTGCACTTCTGCATCGCTGAAAGACACCGATGACGTCAGCTGGGGCCGAACGGATGCGACGTGCGACGCGTTTCCTTTTAATATGGAGGTGTAGGGATAGATGGGCTTCCTGTCAGCAGCTTCACTCTGTTGTGACAATTTCCAACTGCTGGATTCAGAGTGTCTGGGAGCTTCATACGAGTTGTGTTCAGGCACAGCGGGATCTGGTGCAGAGTGGGGAGAATACGATCTCTCTGATGCTTTTCTCTGATAATTCGGGAGGGAGGGATGGGTAGTGTCATTCCGGACCCGACGCACAATGACGCTCCTTGTCTGCAGGTCGTTGTCCTCGCCCTCTGAGAACGAAAGCCTCTTTCTAGACACACAGTAGGAGGCATGGGGCCTTGTTGACACGATGTTGGTGAGAAAAGGGATTCCAAGGCTGTAACCCAGCTCTTGAATGGCTGCCAGGCTGCTCTTGTCCACAAATAGTGAGGAGGAGTAAATGTAATTCAGAACTATCTCAAAGGCGTCCGGCTCACAGAAGTCCAGGTTCACAACTTTCAGCGACTCAGCGTCCGTTTGAGTGAACATGGTCTGGAAATACTCACTGGTGGCGGCCAGCACACTCTTATGGGCCTGGTATCTCTGGTCCGCCACAACCAGGACCACGTCACACATCTGGCCCCGCAGGCGCTGCTCATTCAGAACCCCTAACGCAGAGAGGGCATGGGAGGGATTGCTGTAATGCACTAGGCTCTCCATGGCTGAAAGACAAGACGAGAGAATTGCATTTTAACGCAGAACAGTGTTTCCTCTCGGTCTACAACATTAGGGTGGGGTGGGGGATGGGGGGTTGTAGTTGGGCGAGCGCTTCGGATACACGGATATATGCGCGCACCTGTCGGGGTGGACTGCCTGTGCAAAAAACAAACAAACATGTAATTACAAAAAGCCCCCTGGTTTAATGGTAGGGAAAACACTGCAGGACAACGGCAATGATTACGTTTAGGGACAGTCATGAACGGGAACATGTAAACACAACAAAAGCTCTCGATGTCAGAGATACAAACTCAGGGAATTCCCATTTTATCCAAGTATATGATGGAGCATTTGATTAAAGTTCATCCAGCCTATAGCCCTGTAAAGTAGCTTTAGTAGCACCTCGGTTACGACATTACTGGGGAGTGTTGTCTAATCATCTTTGTTAATGAATGTGTAATCACATGCAGCTCTGTCAAGTCACCCTCAGTGACACAGAAATATGCAGGAAGTTTATCAACTTTGCCTTAAAAACAAAGGCTCCAACTCACAAGATTATAAATTACTTCCACTTAAATAATTAAAATGTTTAATAAGTGTTTATGAAATAAGATGTAAATCATCTTCATCAGGAAAATGTCTTGTATTTCACATGTGTGTTCACAATGGCAACTGTACATAAAAATGGAGCCTTAATAACGTTCTTTAAAGTGGAAAAACATGTCTGCAGTGATTTCCTTCAGGTATGTATGGGCGTAGACTCCACCATCAAGTCAGGGCTGCCTGTATGTAGCCTTATGAAGCAAAACAAATAAACACACATGGTGATTTCTTGTAATAAAAGCAGCCTAAAATATGAAAACCATGAGAGTAAATAAAAATATGATTTTGAAAAGGACTCATGGCCCCCACACCCTCTGCAGAATTCACACTTATGTTTAGCTAAAAAAGTTTGCATTACAAAAGGTTCTTGGTGAGGCTGATTTGGAGCACACAATGTTCCCATTTGCAGCAGTAGTTTTAGGTGCTATTAGGACCTTCATGGAGGTAGTGCTGTTGTAAGGGACAGAATTAGGAATACTTAAAACTGTCAACTGAGTGTATTGACATCCTCCAGTAACAAGAAAATAATTTATTCAATATTTGGGGTATTCGGCCATACAAACACATAAAAATCACCATCTGGCAATTATAATGCATTAACTGGTTTACAGTTCATTACGTGGGATGCCTCCATTAGCCGTATTGGAGTAATCTTCTATGAATACAATTGCATCTTCACCTGCAAAATGTGATATTCGTATTTTTTTGTTTTGCATAATCGTAGTTCCCTCCGACTTTTATTTTGAAAATGATGACCGGAAAACCATGCACCTACGTTGCTCCTATAGTGACACTAAAAAAGACAGTTGGGCGCTGGCGAATAGAAGCTTCATTCATTCAACAAAAACTAGGAGCTGCACTGTCGCCTCACTTGTTGTCCACGTTGAGAGAACACAGAATGTTCCCTCGTGTCAGTTTTCTTTCCGCGAGGGAGTCGAGAGAGGCTCAGAATGTGACGTGGCGTCATTACTCATGACACATAACTTCTCCAGCCGAGACGCTACTTTCGGTTCAGTTAAAATAGTCACGAGTTACTCATTTCGTGCGGGAAATGGCGTATGAGCCGTTAGGCTTTAACGGTTATGTTGTTTTAGTAGAGGGGGGGGGGCGCGTTTCAATGGACTCCACCGCGGCAAATCCAGAATGAAAACACAGTCGGTAGCGACAGAGAAGCTGTTTGAGTGTGATGGATGGGGAGGGCGGGAGGAGGATGAGGGGGGGGGGGGGGGGTTGTGCCTGTGCCCGCTAACTTACCCAACCCCCGGTGGCAGTGGTGTTTGTTTTTATTTGTTCCCCCAACCTGCCCGTAATCGGTTCATTGTCGGTCTAACGCGGCGTAACGACAGTTGTCGGCGGCAAAAATACGTTGTAGCTGGTCAGGTTTTACAGCAGCACGAGCCCCCTTTCGAGTTACGTCAGGGAGGAAAGGGAATAAAAGCTTCCCTTTAACAGCACTCTACCAACTATGTTTCCTTCTTCGTGCTAATAGAGCCCACGGTTAAGTGCGGTATTCTAGCTACACTTACCCTGCCCGTCGTCAATATGCTCTTTCCTCCACACAGCCGCGACTTTATTCAGTGTTGTGTGGATTTCTGCGCGCTGGTCGTGATTCCATCCATCTTGAATTTGACGTCATCCCACACTAGGGATGAGGTCATCGCAAAGAACGCTCGTCACGTGTGCTGCGCGCTGATAGGCCAGGAAAGGATCCGGAGGCGAGGCCAACATAAGATGACGCTCGAGCTAATTTAAAGGGATATGTCATATTTTTCGAATTAGCTCTGGCTTACAGGATCAGATCAGTCTCAATAATTGCAAACGGAAAGATGTGCACAGAACAATTCACAAATACATTCCAATGCACACAAATAAATTCAGAATATATTTATGCAATTGTATGTATTTGTGTTTTTTTTTAATCATTAAAACAGAGGAAATATAAACTTGAACATAGTAAGTGTTAAGTAAACAAATAGAGACAATAGATTTTGTTCTACATCCGTATGTCATGTAGAGCACTTAGAGAAACTATACCTGACAGTATGCAAACTGTAGCGCCTCAATGTCAAGAGATTGCCTCTCCAAGATTTGTACCAGTCTATCATGCATCTCTGAAAGATGTCACGTCTCAAAGACTCCTAGCGAGTAAACAAAGACAATAATAAAGAAATAAAGAAAAATGTGTGTTAACTGCTCCCAAAATGACATCACTCAAAATGAAAACTTATATATAAAATAAAATATTTTAAAACACTTATTTATCCACTCCAACGTTGACAAATTGACAAAAATATGTTTTAACAATTAAGCTATTTCCAAGTTACCGGTGAGAGTGTGTTGTGTTAGTTGGAGAAAAAGAAGTTCGTAAAAATGATTGTATAGTGACTTTAACTATCTTAAATTAGCATTAGCTCATGATCCTAGTTGTCTCTATGCATTATATTGCAAATCAGTTAGCTAATGCTTGTATTAAAATGTTTCACATCAAGAAGGAATTTTCGTCCTCATGACTGCCGCTCACTGGATATTTTCTGAAAATTCTCTGTAAACCCCAGATGTGGTTGTGCATGAAAATCATAGCAGCTCAGCAATTTCTGGCATTCTCAGATCAGACCTTTGAATAAAGGGAATTTATTCAAAGTCACTTAAATAAATGCCCTTTCTTCCTTCCCCATTCCGATGGTTTCAACTTCAGCAAGTTGTCTTGACCACAAATTATATAAATAATGCATGCATTATGTATAAAGTATACAATGTATATCGATAATACCTGTCTACCTGTAGGTTTGAACTGTGAGAAGTAGATGTAATCATCCCCCTAACCCCAATGAAACCAATTAGGTCTGTGATTGAATGTAAGCTACTAAAGAACAGTAATGAGTTGGTGTCATTACTGGCATCCAGTGGGGACTACAGTCCTATTCACAGAAAGCTACAGTACCATCACCCAATCACGTCAGCCACTAGTGGTGAAACACGTATAAAATAGCCTTAAATCATATTCTATTGAGCTGATGACTGACAGATGTTTAATCAAGGAAAATTTCACACCTCTTTACTAAAAAAGGAGCGAAACAATGCGAAAATATGCACAACAAGATTCAAAAGAAAACAGCACAATATGCAGAATTTTCTTTCACCAATCGTGGAATGGATATTAAAAGTGTTGTGCTTTTTTTGGTGCATATCTTTTAGCAGCTGTGGCTTCTTCATATACAGAGAAAGAAGTTGTCACTCCTTCTTACATGACTTCAACGGCTGACACAGGCTATTAGTGCCAGCAGCATGGCAAGCACTGCCATGGTTACCTGTGTGGAAAGCCAGTCATTGGGGACTCATCCCACATCTCTCAGCCCGGCATCATCAACATGTTTACTGATACCACGAAAGAATGACTAAACGTATAAAATCAATTCTACAAAGATAAGATCAAGCAATCATGCAAACGTTTTTCATGCTGCTATACCACATGGCATTGAAATGCATTACATTTTCTGAAATATAATATATGTAACAATTGATGTAATTTTACTACGAAGATGAATATAATTCCAAATGTTTTCATGAATTTGATAATTATCCGCTGGCTGTTGTGATTTTTTTATCCATCTGGGACTGATTATGGCGGGGGTGTTGGAGGGGGGAGGAGAATGACACAGCCACAGATAATTTTGTCTTTGAGTACGCCCTGAGCAGTGAGTCAGTATCATCTCAAAGAGGAGCATCCACGCACAATGTATGTTGGGGATTTTGATCTGTGGAAAATGATTTGGATGCTCTCCGTCTGGGTGGTGACGGCCCTGCTGGCTCTTTGCAGGGGACAAAACACTGCGCTTGAAGGTAGGCCTCCAGACAGATGATGAATTTAAACCAAATTAACATGAAAGTCACATCCAAATTAACTGCGGATGCTTTGCTTTAATTTCTGTCATTCTAAAGTCATTTTCTAATTGTAGAGGACGTCATGCTACTTTGGAAACCAACAGTTGAATTGACAAGCTATATTTTGTTCTAGGATATAGACTGTCTGAGTCTGGCTACCATCTATGTGTTCACAATGTGACAAGGAATGTCACTTTCCTGGTGATGCACACGGTCCCCTACGTCGTCACAAAGCCTTGTGGCGGCTGGCTCCCCTGGAAGACATGTACAGTCACACTTTACAGGATGACCCATCAGACCGAGCACAAGACAGTGATGGAGCAGGTGACGGGATGCTGCAGTGGCTACGAACAGGTCGGCCGTTACTGCGCACGGCGTGAGTGTACCGCACACCACCTAAACTTATTAAAGCACAGCACAAATTGCTCTGCGCCTTCGTAGGAGTGTTTATAAAATGTAGTGATATTGCAAAGTGTGGAAAGCCGGAGACTGACAGGTGATCTGCGTGACCTTTCAAAGCGCGGATCTGTGTGTGAGGCACCAGATGGGAGCACAGAAAATATCTCTCCACTAATATATGGCCTGTAACGTGTTATTTCCTATTGAATGAAGCTGTAAACTGGAGTGCAGAGCTCTCTGCCAAGCCAGGATCTTGTCCAACTACAGATGGATTGTGTCCCAGATCTGAGGACTGCGAGTGGGACATGGACTGCCCAGGCTGGCAGAAATGCTGCCCCCAATCGGGCCACTTTGTCTGCATGGATCCTACAAGTTAGTGGAGCTGATTTTATAGATTATTATTATGCTTAAGTGTGCTCTATTAACGGGTAATTTCACCCAAACCTTGAAAAAGTCTCACTTTATAAAACGTCAAGTATATTTAAAAATATATCCCAGTTATTTGGGGTATTCCTGTTAAACAGTTTTCCAGGGTAAGTTCCAGGGTTCATTAAGCTTATGGTAATATTTGATCTCAGCCTTAACATCAGCTGCACAGGGTCCTCAGCCAGCGCCTAAGTTGTTCAAAGTTAAGAATAGGGTGCATTTCATTATTTCAACCAAGCTGGATCTAAAAAAAACTCCCGGTGTCAAAACTATATCTTGGATGTAATGATGTTTTTAACTTATTTTTCAGGCACAGCTAATTACTCACAGAATGGAAGATGCAGATTTAATGCCACGGTGACGGTGAAGACAGATTACCAGCAACTTATTTCCAGTGAAAGAGGAATTCTGAATCACACGCGGTTGCTACAAGCAATGGTAATACTAATCCTAATAGTGTTTCTCCTGCTGCTAATTTATTTCTGTTGCTTGTCTGATATATGACTATGCCGCCAAGATTAGCCAACAAACAACACTTCCTCTGGCAATAATGTTGATTAATTGAGAGACAACATAGATGGGTATCCACTTATCTGAATCATTGAAGGTTTTCCTTCTGTGTCTCTATCTCTAAGGTGACTGGAGCTCTGCAGTCTGACGTTTCTGTTTATTACCTCAGCTCACAGCCTATGCATCCATACAGAACCGCCACCTCGCTGCTGATTGACTGCAACTTTGCTCTTTCACTGCACAATGTCACGTCAAAGCTGCACCATCTCCTCAAACACATCCAAGAGGTGACATCTGTCAGTGTGGAAGGTGAGGTGATACGGAGCCAAATCTCCGTAAAGCTGCGAGGGGAGATTTTTTCCCCCTCTTATGAGAAACTGCATTCTTGTGTAGTTTTGAGAATGATTCATGTTGCAGAGAACACAGTGTTCAGGAAAGAATGACTCAGTCGCACCACAGTTTCCTTTTCCCAGTGCTTCTGTTTGAGTGACAGTCATCTGTGCGATGTTTCCTGCAAACAAAACAACAGCAGAGCGAGCGCAGACACACACGTACAACCGAGCACAACACGTGCGCACACACACACACACACACACACACACACACACACACACACACACACACACACACACACACACACACAGTATTAATCAGAATTGGTCATACTTTTACATTTGCACAAGGCACAGTAACAAGCATACCTTATCATCTCATACCTTACTTATCACTGAGTTGCCTTCCAACCGTTTTAATTAATTTCCATCTCTACGCTGTAAACTAAAATATAATGAATTACTCAATCACCGTGATAATGTTCTATTATCTCTGGATTACCTTGCCTTTAAATAAAAAATATAAAACGACAAAGGAATTTAAGGAAGATTAACTTGTATTTCTGCGTTCTTCAGCAGCATAGACATTTAATTGTGTATCCTCCTCCTATGTCTTTTTGCAGATGTTGATGAGTGTGCACAGTCTGCGCTCCGTCAGTGCTCCCTTCATGCAGACTGTAACAACACAGTGGGCTCCTACAGTTGCACATGCCACCACGGATATATTGATCTAGACTCCAGGAAACCTGGAGCCCATTGCACAGGTTAGATTGTGTGCGTGTGTGTGTGTGTGTGTGTGTGTGTGTGTGAAGCAGCTGTAACTTCAAAAGTAGGGGATATAATGTCTATAATAATCAAAAATATTCCCTTCAGTCTTTATCTTATCTTACATTATCTTACACATTATATAATGCAACTTGAGATGTGGGTAAATTGTTATGGAGTTGATTTTAAAATACGTAAAGTGGGACGGATACACAATTTTTTTAGGGTAAATCATGTTTATGATGGTCTTCACTTCACACGCTTATCAGACAGACATCAAAGAGAACTACCTTCAGCTTCCCACCACATTGCCGTAAGGTGAAATGCAAGACAGGGTGTCAAGGATGCGTGGGAAGGCAGGACTCAAATGCAGAGTTTAAAGCAAAAAAGACTTTAATAGTCAAAATGCAAAAAGCAAAAGGCCAACAGGCAAAAACACACAGGGACAGGGGGCAAAAAGGCGAGTGGCAGAAAACTACAAAATAAGACAAGACGTGAACCACACCGTGACAGTACCCCCCCCTCAAGGGCCGAATCCCAGACGGCCCTCAAATCACCAATGGGAGGGTAGGAGAGGACCACGGAATGGGAGGGAGGGAACCTGAGTCGGGGAGCAGGGACTGGAGGCATCGGAGTCAGGAGTCTCGAGGCCAGTACCGGAGGGGTTGGGGTCAAGAGTCTCGGGGCCGGTACCGGAGGGGTCGAGGTCAGGAGTCTCGGGGACGGTACCGGAGGGGTCGGGGTCGCAGGAGCGAGTCGGGGAGCGGGAACGGGAACGGGAGAGCACTGCAGCGGCCCAGCGGGAACGGGAGAGGACTGCGACCCAGCGCGGAAAGCGGTGCACTGCGGCCCAGCGTGGAGGGAGTAGGTGGCCTGGAGCTTGGCTGCGAGGTCCATCACCCGCTCCCAGTGGGATCGGTCTCTGGTCGACCACGAGAAGGCCTCCTCTTCTGGAAGCGACGCGGTGGGCGGAGAACGGTGACCCGGGCGCCCTCTGGAAACTCCAGGAGAGCCGACGGAGATGAAGCCAGCAGGGAATCCGGGGAGAGCATTCCCCCCATGACGGGCAGCCAGCTGGAGACTGTGCGGCCCGCCCCTAGCCAGACGGGTTCCCCGGAACTCCTCCCGGGGAAAAAACTCCGCTGAGTACTTTCTGGGTCGCATCATTCTGTCAAGGATGCGTGGGAAGGCAGGACTCAAATGCAGAGTTTAAAGCAAAAAAGACTTTAATAGTCAAAATGCAAAAAGCAAAAGCCCGACGGGCCAAAACACACACAGGAACAGGGTAGTGTTTAGCAGCTATTTTTGATTTAGTCTTAGTCTTTAGACGAAAAATGCATATTAGTTTTAGTCATATTTAGTCATTTTAATCCTTCTCAGTTTTAGTCTAGCTTTTGTCGACGAAAACTCAGAACATTTTCGTCTAGTTTTAGTCAATGAAAACTAGACGAAAATGTAATTAGTTTTAGTCTAGTTTTAGTCCCATCTCAGGCCCAGGGACCCCCTGTGTTGTGTCTACAACTGCATAATAGTTTAGCTTGCAGTACTTGGTTGTCTATAAGATGTCCCTCCTAGGACACGTCTATAGCAGGGGTCGGCAAACTTTTTGACTCGCGGGCCACAATGGGTTGTAAAATTTGAAGGAGGAGCCGGGCCAAGAACAAATGGTTGAAGTGTTTGTGTGAGCTTATATAAATGACATGTGAAAAATCATTACATTAAAGGATTTGGATTTTAACAAATAGCAAAGCATTTATTTACAAGGCAATTTAACAAATTGGCAAAGGTGTAACAACTTCATGAGGACCAGGGATCCAAACGCAACACTTTGTTGTCTTTGTCTGTTTACTTGCAATGCTTTTGACGAGGCCGCCGGAAACTTCATGCTCCTTTATTGTTTCCACTGTCCCAACAAAAGAGACCCCTTAACGTCCTACAATCGTTGCAATACATTATTTTCTTGGCTTCAGAACCTGCAATGAGTTTATTATGTTAGACGTGTTTGGAGAAGCCGGTAACGGAGCATCTCATCCAGCCGAGGAAACCCTACCTGCCGTCGCCAGAGAACAGAGCAGAAAGGTCCACGTGGATCTCTGCTGGCCGACAGTCTGTTAAACGGGTCTTCATGTTTCTGTGAAGCACCGCGGCTTCAGCCTGCTAACAGGCAGCTAAACAGAGACAGCTGAGACATAGTCGGCGCGATCCGTAGTCGGTGCACAAGAACTACCGCTGCACCGCTGCGAGCGAGCGTTCTGGGTTCGTGGATGACGTCATCATGACACGTTAATAACCGCCGTACTTTGCCTGTCTGTTGTCTGTTAGCTGCGTGCAAATTTAGGGGGAAAAAGTATTAAGTACCACCAACATGTTTGTCTCGTTAACGAAAGTTAGAATCGATTTAGTCATAGTTTTTATTTTTTAAGATTGTTTTCGTCACGTCTTAGTCTCGTCTTAGTCATGGAAAAAAAGTTTGTTAACGAAAATTTCGTCGACGAAACACTGGAACAAGGGACAAAAAGGCAGGCAGGAACGAGGCACATCCAGGACGATAGACAATGACGTGACAAGTGACACAAGAGACACACAGCTTAAATACACTAGGGAGGTGCAGGTGATTGGACACAGGTGGAAACGATCAGACAATCACAGGGGATGACAGGACAAGGCAGGAAGTGAAGTTACCCGGGGACACGAGTGGCAGAAAACTACAAAATAAGACAGGACGTGAACCACACCGTGACACAGGGCTTCAAAGCACAGCAGAAGCAAGTTCACCACCCACACTGACAGCTGTGTAAAAATAAGAACAAGAAAATAACATAGTGTTTGATTAAAAACAAGTTTAGGATTATTTTGGTATGGTACTTTGCTCGACCCTCTCGTGTGACTTCTGGTTGCAATAAAACAAGATGGCGAGGCCTACATGCCCTACCCGGGGCATCTAAGCCGCAGTCCATAAATCAATGGGTGATGTCCTAATGAATGAGTTCACTTTTTATATACAGTTCAAGATATTAAGAGAGGCGGTAAAACTCTTTGATATCAGCCATGCTAAACAAACTCTGCTGAGTTTCTCATTAACATTTTTCCGTGACACATTCATATTCGGCATCAGAAGCTTTGATTTTGATATCAGAAACTTGTATTCTGTTTCCCCACCTGACGTGAGGGTTACCACCTCTACAGCGCTTGCTGTTACCTCCCATACGCCCGGTACCACAGCCTACACCACAGCCTCCAACAGCACGCTAGAAGACCTTCCAAGCATGAGCTTAACTGTAGAGCCACTTCTGCCAACAACCACGTGCTGTAAGAAACATTTAACATCTTCTCCTTTCCAAATAGAACATTGTTACCTCTTTGGATGAAATTAAATATTTTATTTGATTTCTGTATTTAGTCGAATGAGTGGTAAGTAAATGCTTAACATCTTTTGATCCAATTAATTCTCTAGCTGATAGATATATTCATAAGAAGGCTTTGAGATTTCTGAGAATATTTGTCCCTCTGTCACCACCTCCCAGCTCTTCCCAGCATCACTGGCGTGTGGTCGGCTAACGTCAGCGCAACCTCCTTCGACATCTTCTGGTCGAGCTGGACAAACCAGACATATCAGGTTGTTCTGAGTAGAAGGTCAGAAATAGTTGGGTCTTGGATGACCAGCCAGAAGATGGTGGAGGTAAGAGACCTGCAGCCAGGAATGCTCCACAACATTACCGTCACACCGTATTCCTGTGGAAACCAAGGAGACGCCCTTGGTATATTGGTCAAGACGGGTAAGACCTGATCAGTGATGCAGAAAGCCAAACGATAACACTGCCCTTTATGACTGGTGTGTGATGAATTTTCTAAAAAACAAAGTGTCTACCAAGTACATTTTTGTGTTGTAGATGCTCTGACTCTCTACGCCACAACGCGACTCACCAACATCCAGTTCACTGCCGATCTGCAGAACACCAGCAGCCAGGCATACGAAAACCTCACTGAGAGTATCAGAGAGGAGGTAGGAATGTCATTTCACCGACTGATTGTACGGTGGGAACTTTGTAGTGTTGTTTCATTCATCCATCTGTCCTTTTTTTTGACCGCTGGGTCGTTGCCTTTGTCACCAACAGATCTACCAGTCTCTGTCTGCAGAGATGAAGGCCATGATGGGTTCTGGCCAGGTGAGAATGGACATAAGAAGCTTTTCACCGGGGAGTATCGTGGTCAATTTCACCATCGTCTTCGCCTCCAATCAAAGCCAAGACATTGGTCATATGTCCAAAGCTCTGCTGGACTCCCTGATGAACAGCACCAAGTACAAAGTGGACCAAAACAACACAAGCACAAATGGTATGTCTCTTTACATTTTACTTTCTAACAATGTGTTTTGTGAAACTAAGGCAGGTAAGTATATAAATAGAAAGTGCTTCAGAGAATAGAGAAATGAAAATTTATTTTCAGCGCAATTTGAATTTTACACATCAACAATCAAGGTTAGTACCACTCAAAACAATTGTATATCTTCTGCGGTAGGATGATGTTGTTGTGGTTGTTTCAACCTGGACTTGTAGATTGTAGGGGCCATTATGGGTTGTTGTTGGCAAAGTATATTTTGTTTGTTAGACTGTATTTATATTGACACTTTGGACACTAGGTGGCGGTGATTAGGTGCACATGGGTGTACATAAGGGACGTAGGTGACAGGAAGCGAGGGCACAGGTAGGGGAGCACCAGACAGTTCTCACCAGACCACAAAGACAGACCACCATTAATAGGAGCACGTTCAACCGGTATGTTCATCTGTTAATACAATTACCTGCAATAAACTACAAACCTCAACCACAATCATCGCTGGAAAATCTTTTGTGTGTCTGCGTCGAAACATCACTCCCACCTGTGCCTGATGGCAAAGAACAATTTAACGAGCCTGCTAAAGGGGCAGCAAACCTAGGATTGCCTTTACATAGACTTTAACTCTTGACAGAAAGCCTCGTTGAGAACAGGGGTCAGGAGTTTGAAATATAAAGGTATTTACAAGGCCATCAGGGTATCGAATCTGAACTTGCTTGGGGCATCGTAGGATGCGTTTTTGGACCTAAAAGACACTAAAGAGAAGATAACTCAGTCTGTGTCAGACAAACTAAAATGTAATGCATTGTCTATACTGGTCTGGTTATCAAGTACAATCAATCTGTAAGTCAGGAATGTACAGTACAATGCTACAGGTTAAAACCTGTCCAATATATTTTGCCTTCTGCAGATTTTAACGAATGTGCTTCAAATGAAAATGACTGTTCCCAGTGGGCTACATGCACAAACAGCTGGGGCTCCTACTCATGTGTTTGCCTGGAAGGATTGATAGACATAAGCCCAAAAAGGCCTGGGCGAGCCTGTCAAGGTAAGTTCTCACAGTGTTGTATGGAGAGATTCTTTCTACACAGATCGCATGTACTAAACAAGTTTTTTCTTGTGCAGAAAATGCAACAACCCACATTACTGCCCCAACAACCACTATTACTGCGCCTGCAACTATCATTACTTCTCCAACAACCAATCTTACTGCCCCAAAAACTAACCTTACTGCCCCAACAACCAATATTTCTGCTCCAACAACCAACGTTACTGCGCCTGCAACTATCATTACCGCTCCAACAACCAACATTACTGCTCCAACAACCAACGTTACTGCCCCAACAACCAACATTACTGCCCCAACAACCAACCTTACTGCCCCAACAACCAACATTACTGCCCCAACAACCAACCTTACTGCCCCAAAAACCAACATTACTGCCCCAGCAACCAACCTTACTGCTCCAACAACCAACGTTACTGCGCCTGCAACTATCATTACTGCTCTAACAACCAACTTTACTGCCCCAACAACCAACATTAGTGCTCCAACAAACAACATTACTGCCTCAACAACCAACCTCACTTCCCAAAAAACCAAAATTACAGCCCCAACAATTAACATTACTGAACCAACAGTCAACTACACCTCGACATCCACCGTTGCCAGACCCATTATCACCATTACAGCTCCGACAACCATTGCTACGAGAACTGCCACAAATGTCTCTCTGCTGGGGGCAATATCGGTCCAGTGCAGGGTTGCTGCCATCACTGTGACAGTTGCCAAGGACTTTCTCCTGACCAACAAGATCAGGGAGCGCACTCTATACTTGGGATCCCCGGAATGTACTGTCAATGGAGAAAACGCCAGCCATGCCCAGCTGACTGTGGCCTGGGATGAGTGTGGTACTAATCTAGTGCATGTACGTTTTGGAAGTTTTTGTAATTGCCTACGCTCTAACACGTTGCCAGTTTTTCAGCATAACTGAATCGCATTAACTCTTTAAATTACCCTCACTGCATCATCTGGTGTTTTAGAATGAAAGCCACTACATGGCATCTGTAACCCTGTTCAACAACATGGAAATGTACACATCAGGGAACGAAAGAGTGGAGGTACCCAGAATACGGCTGGAGGCTCCCATCATGTGTACCTACAAGAAGAGCACGCTCATCTCTGCTGACTTTGGCTTCATGGGGTACTAACACGCTGTCATACTTGTCATACTTCATGTGTTATTCCATACAACCTCAGAGCATCTGAAACTGTTTTCTTTGATCTCTTGCCGAGACTTTTAATGTCATTACAGTAAATATGAAACTTGGTTGGTGGGTGGCTAGCTTAGCTTAGCTTAAAGACTGGGAGCAGGGGAAAACTGCTTGCCTGCCTCCGTACATAAGAAAAAAAACAATGCCAATTGGCTTTTCTAAATTTATATTACTAACCAGTAGCTCACCAGTAACATTCTCATTAAGAAGAACTTTTCATTTTTACACTTGGCGTATACACTTTTAATTAGTGAGCTTTAAGGGTGTTTGTGGGCTTTTGAAAAGCTTTTTGTTATGTTTTTCTGTTGTATTTTTGTCTAAATGTATTTATTTTATTCTCATCCATCTCCAGTTATGATATGAGAAGAAATATTATCACAGGCTTGGGATTGCTACGGGTGACATTGCAACTGATGGCCGGTACAGTGCCTCTACCCAACAACCACAGCTTATCCTCTGATGAGGCTGTAGTGGTGGAGGTCAGCCTCAACCACTCTTCAGAGCAGATGAAAGCAGTCATCAACAAATGCTGGGCCACTCCCACCCAAAACTCTGAAGACGCAAATGGCGTTACCTTCCTGGAGAACAGGTCTACTTCCACATACAGAACTATCATTAATATTGCTTTAAATCTTTGAGCTGAATTATCATGTGCTTTTTTTCTATTACTTTAATTACAGCTATTAATAATAATATTACTACAACTTTTACTGCTACCGTTACTTCCTTGGACATATATATATAGATGTAGAGGTTTATTTAAAAGAAGATCCAGAATATTTGAGGATTGGCCCTAATAGCAAAGCATGTAACCTAGGTATTTAGATAAAAGAGAATTATTGCTACTAAGGGGGCTAGTTTTATGTGGAGGTATATGTGTTTTTTACCCCTTTTAATTCATGTGAAGCTCCTTATACACTTTTACTTTTATACTTAGTAAAATACTAACGGAATGTTAATGACAACACTTTAATTGATGGGGTGATGAGTACTTTGTGAACTACAAAGTCACAGGCAAAAAGAAAAGTTTAAGAAACCGTTCAATACTTTTTCCAATCCTGTCAATAAAATGACTGTGATGTGGTTTCTAGTCAGACCCCTGCATGCTTAAATATAACACGTTAAAAATTACATCTATAAATTACCTGAATATTTCAATTATCAATTGCTCAATTCCTAGCTAAGAGTTCAACGAGATAAAAAATACAACTCACTATTTCAATTTTAAAGTTACAACCAGCTGCCTGTAAGCTAACATAGCACAGAGACTGGAAGCTATGGGACAAAGCTGGTTTTGAGATATCACAGTACGCCTACCAGCCACTTTACGTCCTTTAGCCCATTCATTTCGCAATCTAATCAAAGACCGATTCAATATTCAAAAAGAGAAATTGCTACAGTTTCTCGTTTCTGTCCTCCACAGCTGTTCACGGAACAACTACACAATGGTGTTAATGAACGGGAACTCCACCACATCTCGTGTGTCTGTGCAGATTTTCTCCGTCGTCAATGTGAATGTGATCTATGTGCACTGCCTGGTCCAGGTCTGTGTGGAGATCGGATCAGATACCTGTGTGCCCGTGAGTGCAACCTATTTATAAATATAAAAAAAACCTCGCAGCTTCTTCAGCATATAACTAATCCCCCACTTTAGCTAAAGCATTATATTTTTTATAATGTTGAAGAAGAGATGTTCTCGTTTGTCTTTGCTCATTTTGTCTTGCAGGACTGTCTGCAAAGAACAGCTCGGTCTTCAAAAACAATTGGCAATACTGTCACTTCTTCCAGGGCTCTGATGAGGTCCAATGATGGTGAGTACTTTTTTTACAGAATGACATCTACCTTTCCCTCTTCTCCGATGGAGGATTCTGTTAGAAAGTATGTGTCAGCTGCATGCCCATGCTGTGTTTAACTGTGAGACACAAAATGGAATTTAACTACAGCTGAAGTAACCATGACACTTCACTGACAAGCTGATCGGTTGTGAAAGCAGAGGCACTGTAAAGGTCTTCAGTATCCATTAAGAACTTGAGTGTCTACATTTCAAAATGTGGATGGGCTAATCTAGCTTTATTATGGCATCAGCGCTGTTCTCTCTATCATCAACATGGCGGAGAGGTCAGATTAAGTGGCCGTGATGGAAAACACACATTTCAAAAGCCCTGAATTTAGTAAAGTATCTTAATTTTGACTCACGAGTGTATTTCAACATTCAAGCTTTTTGTGTGCTGAGGCTGTTTTTTTTTGTTAGAGCCAGCGCTTATAAAAGTAGTATTTCAAATGAATCTTTGTCCATTTTTGCATTAAGTAATACTTTTATCTGTTTACTGGTTTGTGATTGTTCCACTCTTATTCTTGCAGAGTCCTTAGAGGAAGGATTTAGCACTCTCTACGTAGCAGGCATCTCCTGTCTTGGCATCGGCCTGACGCTGTTCATCGTCATTGGTTTCGTCTGCATTTTTTACTTCCACAGGAACCGCATTGGACACTACAACTTTAGCGCCAAACCCAAACAGGAGAACTTCACCTACATTGTCTTTAACACCTAAAGGTGTAGCAGCACCCGCTACCAAATTCAAAGAATTAGAAAAGATGACACTTTTAACAGGCCATCACAGTAAAGCTACCACCGAGTGGCACTGTTGTATAATTCACATATTTGCTCTAAAGAAACGTTGCAAATCTTCTCAATGAACGAAATACAGATTATTTATGTTTACATTTTAAATACCCATAACATTTAATATATTGAAATGATAGTAAAGATAGTTCAGTTACATACTGAATGTCGTATATATATATATAGAATATCAATAATTCACATGAAATAATACTTTAAATGTTAAAAAGTTTTAGTCTTGAAACGTGATGGTGCAAGACATATAAAAATGATTTGAATTGAATTGAATATTTCCTTACATGAAATCAAAGCTTTAATGTAGTGAGTGCAAGAAATTTGATTGTTTTGCATATCTGTCTAGATCACGATGTTCATGTTTAATACTAATCAAGCCGTAGTTCAGCAGCTTTTTTTCTACATTTACACATATTGTAATTGAATTGACCGTAACTGTACTATTCACTGTGTACCAGTTCCTCTTTTATGCTTAAAGCAGTGTAACAATAAACCTGTGTGAATCTAGACACTTGGTGGCGTTTGTGTGACAAGGCAAGATGGCCTCACGCATGCACAGAGACAACTTTAACCTTTTTACACAGCAAAACACAAGACATGACATCATACAAGAAAACTTTATTCATCTTTAATCAGATCATTGAGAAAATCATCCAAAGTGAGCGTTTCTCAGCCTGACACAGCGGAGGAGGACAATCCAGCTTCACCCCTTCTACATATCTCACACCGCCACGTTGTTGACTACATGGTCATAAATACACCTCTTGGTTTGATGGTGAGGGACTGAATACTAAGCAACAGGCTTTCTATTTAAGAGGAGGTCCCCTTGGGCCCGGCGGTGAAGGGGGCCTACACCCCCATCTGGAAAGCTGCAAACGCCCCTCCTACTAATTAACCCGTTCAACCTCACCGCCTGAGACCTGGCAACACGTCGCTATGGCAACAGCCCAGTGCAGGGAGCGATGGATGGAGGAAGGGGGCGAGAGAGAGCAACTGCGATCAAAGGAGAAAAAAATATGTCAGTTCAACAACGTGAAATGTGCTTTTATTCTCGATTGGAAAAAATACTGCAGCATTCAGATGTTGAGATGCATCTTTTGGGGTTTCAATTTACAGATAATGCTGCTTATAAATTGTTTTTTGGCAGGTAATGTACCGTGGACAGCTTTGATTGGACTGGATTATGAAAAATGGCAATGTGCATGTACTACTACTACAGTATTCCAACATCATTAAACACAAAACAAGTGTCTATCAAATTCTATCCACAAATACTCTGATGAGGTCTTGTGGATTAGGAGGGTGCTCTGGAGCAGAAAACCTATTTTTTTGCCCGACACCGTATATGTTTATAAACTCATTCATCCCTCGGTCCTCCCTCGTGTCGTCTCTCTCTCTTTGGTGGTTCAGGTCAGAGCAGCTCGCAGGCACTTGTTCTTCAGGCTCCGTGACCTCCGTGACCTCTTTTCTCTCACTCAGTTCATTACTAATTAACATCTTTAAAGAGGTGTTAGCGAGCATCTTGGGCCTTTATTTCCAGACACCAGGAATGCACTGGAATGAATTGTAAATGTGAGCAGTGCACCATGTGACTTTTAAAGCGCAAGTTTCAGTGGAGGATCGTACAACTAACAGTACTTTTACTTTACTCCAGTGTTTCCTTTTTATGCACCGTCATATTTATACTGATAAGATATTTCCTACAAAATGTATGATGGCAATGTGTTTCTATTTATTTGATTCACCTTTTGAAACGTAAAGTATGTTTTTAATACTTACTGAATATATAAAGCTTTTTTAATTATCTCTGGTAACAGAAGATGGTTCCCTATCTTTGTGGATACTCCTCTTTGAGTACTACATTAAGATGGCTGACTGGCTGATTAGCACTGACAGATTGAGAGTGACTCTGCCCTCCTGGTGCTCATTGTAGCATTCACGCTCTCCAATGTCAAACTACAAAAATTCATTGAGAGCTACAGCACCAATGCAAGTTGTGAGGATCTCAAGCTGAACTATGGTGCATGTGCTCATTGTGTTTATTGTGCAGGAGGCAATGTGAGGATAATCAGATAGATTGTCAATTACAGTTGGCAGTAATGACGGAAAAGCCCGTCTGATGAGGAGCAACATGCACTGTGACAAGGAAGCAGCTTCTCTGCACCAAAAGCTCAAACCAGCCGCTTGGGCTTGTGTCTTCTTTATCTATCTCCTTTGCTCCGCTCGGCTATAAGCCAAATATTGAATATGTGTATCTTCAATGAACAGTGTTACAAAAGATGCAGCTTGGGATTTTCAAAGAAAGTATAGGTAATTCATTGATCTTTTCTTTTTGTTGTTGTTTTTTTACACATGGTTGAACCAGCTGAGTTGTGCAGCGCCAGGCGTGTTGCAGTGTTGTTTAAATCTGAGGGGATTTGGTATCAAACCTCAGTACGTTTTTATGATGCAGACCGAAATGCATCCAAAGCACCGCATCAGAACTGAGAGCTACCATTGAAGGTCCGGTCTGAATCCTAATGTTGTTTTCTGATTTAATAAAACAAATATTGGCACTTTTTTTTGTTTGGCTGCTCAGGTTTAGACCACGGTTAAATATCGATTCCAGGACCTATCGTCCTGTTATGCCATGCGCTCTTCTCTTGATTGACAGATGTTGTGATGATTATGAAAGTGCCTGACCTGTTCGACTGTTTCATATGATGTCTTTTTACATGGCTCTTCATTGCACGCCAGTTTTTTTTTTTTAAGGCAATTTATCCGTCCACAAAAGGCTTTATATAACTGTAATCTTCAGTTGCTCTAAACACCTGCAACATACTGGTTGATTTCCCCTTTAAAAGTAGCAATTTATGGTTTACCAATTTCAGTGTATGTGCACTGGATTTTTCCACTCCATTATGCAAAATGCATAGTGGATCTGGATTGGTTTCCAATCCTGCTGGTAGATCTGTGATATCCAGATTTAATAAGAGACACGTTTCCCCTTCAGCAAATTAATGTAAAGTAAATTGTGCACACGTTTAGTGCTGCACATTGAAGCTACAAAAGACAATAAGGTCAACACTTTTTTTAAGAGGAGTTGTCTTCCTCACTCAATTTTTGAATGTTTCCATTCCATAGTGTCTCTCCTTTGTTACTCACTTCAACTTAACGGGCCCCTCGTCACATTGCATCCAAATGAGAATGCGGTGCCTTTGGTACAACTCCTTCATCTCGTCACACCATTCAGACCATACAACAAAAACTACAATACAGTGTTGTAATGTGCAAGCTATTTATTTACATTAAAACCGATCATCGATGTACAGCACAGTTTCTGTTATTCTAGTTGTATAAGCACTTTATGGTGATATATTTCTATTGATGTTGACATATTCTTTTAAAATAAATTGCATAAAACCAGAAAATGATATAGCACCTTGGGAATAATAACAGCTGTGACATTAAACTGTCTCAATCATGCGTGTTTTTTCTATTTGCCTCATAGATAGCTTTGTCCTGGGAGGGCGGTTAGGTATTTTAACTAAATTGCAAATACTAGATATTTACAGCACAGAGCATCAGTGTGTATAAGCATCTGCATCCATCCTCGCCGTGCGGAGCTACTCAGTCTGGTTGATATCTAGGGAAAAGCGAACAACTGCGCTGCTCCTCGCAGGCTCGGGTCTATCCAGCAGTGGTGGTACTGGTGGTGGTTCTCCTCCAGCAGCACCCTGGGTATGATAATGACCGGGTCGGAGAACCTCTTCCTTAACATCTCTAGGAGGCAGTACATGGTTAGGACAGCAGAGAAGAAGGAGACAGAAAGAAACACACAATGAAGCATTTCTCCCGGGCGAGCAACAACAAGTCACCGGGCTTGAGCACTTCTGAGAACAGCACCTTCTCTGTCAGGGCTCAACACGAGACAAAGACGCCACATTGCCATGGAGTCTGTTTGCCTGTAACTAATATTAGATAAACTCAAACTTTTATACTTAATAGGACTTTACATGACGCTGTGTTTCGGGGATGCACGTGCAAATCAAAGCTTTTAGTTCATTTGTAATTGGACAGCTTTGCATTTAGATGAGTACAGGTCCTTGGCTCTAAAATGTGTCACCGTGATGTTAAGAACTACAGGATGTGTTCTGTGACAGAATGATCTACAAGATGCAATACACATTTGAATGATAATAAAACAGCAGCACAAATCAAGAGCAAATATCATTAACAAGCACTTACAACGTCCTTTTGAACTGTGCGTTTCCAAAGCTTTCCTCATTCCATTCATACTCACCCTTCGTCTTATATCCAACACTCAAAGTCTAGACCAAATCCCTAAACGCCACATCGGATTGCAGGTCCAACAGAAAACAGTGGCAGCATGCTTTAGAGACGACACAAACGTCCACCCACGGATGGAAAGCTAGGATGCAAAGTGCGACAGTGCTCCACCTCGTAAATGAATAAAATAGTGATCTCAAATTATAACAGTGCAATAATTCAACAGTCATGCGGGTTGTTTTAAAGGGCCAGTGTGTAGGATCTAGTGGCATCTAGCGGTCACCCTGCTTTTGAGTGCCGAGCAGTTAATCCCAAACAAAAACACTTATTACAATTCATATTTTCAGGTGATTATACACAAAAAAAATATATGTATATATTTACTGATACAGTGATCAACTGCTTATTTGTATAACAATACTTGATATAGAATAATTTCCATACAAATGCAATAATCCGCTAATGGTAATACATTTTAAGTTGATTTGGAATCTTTTTGGACATGATAACATTTAGGAAAACATTTTAAAAGTACAGTGTGCTCATGCTATTTAAAGTTTTGTTCTGTTTATTACTTTACACCCATGATACTCTGCCTCTCTGTAACCCACGCGCTCTCTGAGACGTGCAGTGCATTAAAATTGAGTTATCTCTTGATAAAAAAAGAAATGCTGCATGAAAAGTGATCTCAACTGTATTACAAATGCTAAAGGCTAAACACTGGCCCTTTAAGAATGCTTGCATTTAGGCAGCTAACAGAAGTCAAAGGTTGATCAAAGGTGATGTCCGGATTAAACCAGGGGCCTCCTTAAGAACTGTCACCTTAAGGAGCCTTACATGTAGGATGGGACAGCAGGCAGTCAGATAGGGTCCATATGGATAAATATACAGGTAGGCTATGAACGCAGCAGTGGACTGAAGGTAAATTGAAGTCCATGAGCATATATGAATGGGAATGAGTGGCAGTTGCGGCTTGCGGTCGGGTTCCCTTTCGTTACTCTTGCGGTTGATTACCTTGGATCGGGCAGCGCACAGCCCCACAGGTGTTGCTTTAGAGTCTGCACCCAGCCAATATCTCGGATTGGCTGGCAGAGTTGTATGTAGTGGTACTGTTTTAGTACACCCCTTCAAATGAATCAGAATGTCACTCATTAGCACACGACAAATTGAACACAGCATGAATAATACGAAACAATACGATCTCAGCATATGTAATATTACACAATGGTGGGTGTTTTTATTCGGCATGAGCACCATTAGCGAGGACATTAGCCAAGAGCCTAAGAAGCACATGACATGTTATTCTGGAATGAGTTCCTGGAAGTCCTTTAGCACGCATGTTGCTCTACAAGTCGGGTGAGTTCTTGGAATATATCGGAGACACGATGCAAAAAATCATATATTCTTCAGTTCTCACGCGAGTGCATCATGCGGGCCCATGCGGATAGGACGTCAGAGCTCATGCCAGAATGTGGCGCAGTCTTGGATAAGCATAGAAAGAAGTTATGAGAGGAATACAATCTCTTCCATGTGGATGCATTCAATGTTGTCTGTCTCACAAAGACAAAGACAGGGACAGGAAAACGCAAACAGATACCTGCAACCGCTAGTCTTTTTTTCTTTAAGAAAAAAAAAAAAGCAAGAGGACACTGCTTTTTCTTTCTTTTTTTTGCATTTATTTGTAATGTTTCATTAAATATGAGCAAGCAAATAGAAACACAAGCACGTCACAGTCATTTTTTTTTACGGGCCCATGTTAAAACTTTCTTCATCATACTTTCTACCCTTATTTGCCTAATAGTCACGGAGATAAAGCACAGGGTGTAGTGTGCTAACACACGCTTACAAGCCCCCCCCCCCCCCCCCCCCCAGTGTTAGCATCCCCCCTCTGACCAAAGGCTGCAAAATGCTAATGAGTCATCCCCGATGAGGCAGCTTGGGTGGACATGGTGCCGATGATGTAGAGATGGGGCAGTCACTTACAATGGAGGGACGAATGTTGAGAAGCAGAACTAGAGGGAACAGTGAGGCGTGACTGTCTGTGTGTGTGTGTGTGTGTGTGTGTGTGTGAGAGAATTGGGGCGTTTGGGGGAAGGACTGTAGCCTACAGTGCTTTTCTACGCTAAAAACAAAAAAAAATCTCTCTCTGTGAAAAGCTGCTGTTATGAAGTGTATATTTACATAAGAGAAGTTATAATTAGTCTCAACAGATAAACGGTTACAATATAACTTACTGAACAAGAATTCATGTTGCTTTGCAATTAAAACTCTTCCACTAAACAAGGCGCCACCGTGTTAAACTCGCCAGGGATTAAATAGATGAACTACACCTCATCCAACCAACTTATCCTTCATGCTTTTTAGAATTTGGTCAAAACAAGTAGAATAACATGGATCCAAAAACACAGAGCGATGAACAGAAGCAGTTACACTTACCACATTATTGAGCCCTTATTGAGCCTATATTATATAAAATAAAAGTTGGTGCTAATACCAGATACAACATATTGCGTATGCATAAAAATGGGATAAAAGTCCTTTCCCTTGTAAACAAATGGCAGTGAATTCCTTATAAGGATTGTGAGCTGTGCTTCATCCACATTGCTCTCTCTTTAATTGTGAAAAGCTCTATTAAGCAGCAACATGAGCTGTCTGCTATCGTCCTCCGGCAGGCTAATCATATTGGTTACAGTCACTCTTGGCGGAGCGCAGTGACCCCCCATTACCAAGGCCGAAAAGGGGTGTGCGCGCTACTGCAATTGTGTTACAGCTGCGTAACCTTGCAGAGGGATTGGTCTTAGTAGATAAAAACCACACTGGATTTTTGGCTGTTGCTGCAGCCTACAGCGCCGCCCGCTGTGGGTTTCAGAGGGCAATGTTTATCTGCTATTCAAATGACTGGTGTTTATGTATAATCAGTTTAGTGTGACTTAGATGCTTCCTTAGCATCAAATAGTGTGTAAACAAAACTAAACTGCCGCTGTATGTATGAGCTTCGCATAAAAGTAACAATTTCTGTGAGGAATGAACAATTTTGTGAAGCCTTTGACAGGGTTCAGCTCAAAGTTTTATACTAAAAAATCACATCCAACAGAGCGCCGCATGATATTGCCCAACATGTACTTTGAGCTCTACGGTGAACAGAGAAGGTAGCAGGTACAAAACCAGCCGGGGGTTTGACACTCATGACTAAGCAAGCGGGATGTTTATCAAAGATTTTCAGAGATGTCGTAAAATTATTATTATATTATTAAGTGCAGAAATGACATCCAAAGTGCCAATTTGATTGTTTTTTTCCCCAACAAACAAAGAAAGGGAAGGGGCGGAGAATCCTTGATAAACTCAACAAAGCAATCTGCTCAGCTGATCAAAGGCGAGCCTTCAGAGTTGCTTGTTGGTGGACCCATGCAACGAGAGACATCTACTGCCTCGCCAGGCAGCCTGTGGCCATGGCAACCTGGAGACGGAAGCAGGAAGAGTGTGGGAGGGGGGGGGTGGGGGGGGCATCAACTGGCGGAGGAAGAGGATGCTCCAGCCGGCTCGTTACTATAGTGATCTAACATGGCGTGAGATGGGAGGAGTGATGACGTGTCATGTCTAAAAACCCCGACATCTTATCGTTATTATTGTACGAACGTAGCCGGTAATGAGAGAGAACAGAGAAGAAGAATGAGTGGATACTGAACAGAGGAGAAGAAAGAGACTGAAGGAGACATGACAGCCTTAATTCATTTTGCAGCCTCATTGTTTGTTGTCCCCCCAAAAAATAAGGAATAAAAGGAAGTAGTGCTAAATGATTTTTACTCTTTTGCCTCAGCCAGTTTGTTGTTCATCTCTTTACTTTTCTCCTTGTCCCCCACCGCAGGCCGGTTCTCCAGCTGGTTCTCCGAGGCCGTCTTCTTGGAGCCCCTCAGCCCGGCGCTTTGCTTATCTTTGGCTTTCTTCGCCTGCTTGACCTGGCCTGCTGCAGAGGCTCCAGGCTTTTTGGGTTTAGTGCGAAGGGCACTGTATCTGTCAACCTAAGGATGTCAGATAGCGGAAATGAGATTCCTGGGTTGAAATGCTTTGATTGAAATGATTTGTGGCTGGTCGTTTCTAAAACTGTGCTTGTGCAATGAGTCATGATGTCAGGAAGTTTAAATTACAGTAATACAAAGACTTTCTTTTGATACGTCCCTCCCTCAATTGATTTTGAACCTTGCTGCAAAGACGTGTTCTCACCTGTTTGATGGGGTCTATGTAGGGCTCGCTGTACAAGCTGCGTATCCTCCTCCTGTCCAGCGCCTTGTTGCCAGCAGGCCTCAGCGGGGCTTGACCCTTGTATGTGGCGCTGTAGCTGGTCTCTAGGCTGGTCTTCTCATCGGGAGGCAGGTACTGGGACCTGGCCCGGATCATCTTTGCCGGCTTCACGTCTCTGTAAGCCTTGTACTCAGTTCTGTGTGGAAAGAAGGGAAGTAGTGTATCATCATCTTGGGAATAGAGCTTAGAAATCCATCAATAATAATTAGCAATGAGGAGAATAGTGATCCAAAACACAAAGTGATCTTTTTAGTTTTAGGTGTCTCAAATTGATAGTGTAATTTTGTTTGGAGATTGATAACACTGACATGTTAAGAAGATAAATATGAAGCTACAGCCATCAGGCGGTAAGCTTCGAATAAAGACTAAAGAAACTCCCTTGTCGTCTCACTAGTATATGACATAGTGAGCTCAAAGTTACGATGTCCTTGCTTCTACTTCTTTATGCAAAGCTAAGCCAAGCAGCGATCCTAGCTTCCTATTTATGCTACAGACATTTTGCAATTTTGCATTTATCGTGTGGCGACTGTGGTATAATTATCCCCATGCAAATCAGTGATTATTTTGTGTCTCTGGTCTATATATACATATTTATTTTATTTGTATTTTATGATGTATTATGTCTGTGAATGTCTAAGGAAAACCTTTTCTGAATCGTAATCAAAGAAAATCTCTATAAAAATAGATCACACATTCATTGCAGACAGCGTGACACCAATGTTGTGATCCGCGTCTGGAAAAGAGGTGTGAAGAGAAGCGGTTCAGTACTGTGGAGTATGTCAGAGGTTTGCACCTCGGCCTCATGGTTTGATTTTCTGTACTTCTCACACAGCAGGTGTGCAGAAGGTCAGTACACCTATGGGTGAGTGTACCACGGAGGACAACCAGGCTCATATAGAAGTCATTTATTTTCATATGTCACACACGTCTCTCTCTTTCAACTTGACATTTTATTTTCCCTGTATAGTGCACCCTTTTTCCATTTGTTTTAACCAAACTAACACCGGTTACAGCAACGTAAACTGTTCCTCTGCGGCATCGTTCCAGGACAATTCTATAAAAATAAAAAAAATTAACTTACTGCGAATTTCCCTCAATTAATTGATTATTTCTCCAGAATGTACAGCGCATGCTTCCTCTGCAGTCTGATAAGTCGATGCTGGTGCTAATTACAAAGGCAAACAGAGAGCTCTGTGTTTTAGGCCAGTCACATGACACCTGTCAGGTGTCCCCTGTGGCTCCTGTGCAGTCACAAACACACACATTTCCCCTAACACAGCACAATGCAGCACAAGCGCTGAGACCCATGCATTTGTAGCCAAGGTTCAATAAAAGCTCTCCTTTCCCTTCGGAAACATCAGTGGAGCAGACAAGGCCGGGCTGCTGCGCAAGAGCCTCATCAGAACAAAATGTAAACCAGATTCATCTGTAAAGGTATCACATATCAAAAACTGGCATCCACGGAAATCCGCCTCAGAGGCCGTGTGTTCCTGTTAAATGCAATTACATTTCAGGGACGGTTGTATTGATTCGCCACCTTTAAATGTTAAACAAGAAATATTGTATTGATTAATCTAATTGCGCCACATGTGCAATTGTGATGATGAAAACCATTGCCATGAGTGCGGCACACAATCATCCGATGGGTTGAGCGCACATCTGACCTTTGGGGCGCTGCAGGAAGCTGTTTCAGCGGTTTTGTAGCATAGCTTGTAGTCAAAAGTTAGCTCACATTTCAGCTGTTACTTTTTAACCTGGGGGTTTATATGAAAAGCAAAGTATTTCTTATACTTGTGTGCCGGTGACATGGCTGCTGAAGAGGACGAAGTCACAGAGCCGTTACATAACCAGACCGAAGTCCATTTTAAATGCTCGGCTGGGCCTAGAAGCCACAAAGACAGGTTATACAACAATGTCCAAGGCCAATGGTTTTAAGCCCTCCCAGCCTGACATACAGGGAGTGTGTGTGTGTGTGGAGGGGGGGAGGGGTGGGGGTGACAGAGAAAGAGGCAGATTGTGCAGACAGGTTTCACAGTGTGAAACAAAGGTCTGTACTGTAACATAGATGCTATTCATGGACATACAGTATAACTGTGCATCAATAAAGCCTGTGTCTCTGTGGTCACTGTGTACTTGGTACTTATTTAAAAAGGAGTTATAAAAAAGCTTGCTTGCTTGCTGTCACATGCGTAACGGGCCGATGACTACGCAACACCACAAACCCAGCAGTTAACTGAGACTGACACCAATATACGAAGCATAGCCTTATGTTCGACTCTTTGCCTGTGAAGGGAAGCAAAAACCTCACTGTTTTCATGTTGTAGAAGCTGGTAGAAGATAGAAGGGCTTTAATAAAAATGATGCACTTGATCAATGACCTCAGTAGAGATTGTAAATGTGAGTTTTTGATCGAGATCTCTAGTTCAAAGTCTTCTTCAATACAGCATGATATTCATTTAGTAAAAAGCGGACTATGCTTTAGGGCGGGCTTACTTGGATCGACAGTTTGCTGCCACAACCAGAGCTGTATATGGCATATCTACTTCACTTTCCACATTCCATGGTCACTTCCGTTCATCAGTTGTGAAAACAACAAAGAGGGGACGAACGTAATCAAAGATGGCGAACTCAAGGCTTCAAAACTTCAATCCACATACCAATGGGTGACGTGATGACGAAGATGACTTCCTATAAACAGTGTACGTCCCCCAGCCTTCGGAGACCCCACTGTTGTGTGTCGTGGAGGTCAAGTGTTTGCAGGGTTGTGTGTGAATGCATGAACACGCGGATGCGTGCATGTACGAGGGCGCATCTATGGTTTCCTTATAGATAATTCCATTAGTCATATCACTGTAACAAACCTTGTTAAAGAGACGTTCCAGGTTGGAACTATGGTAGAATAAAAACAGTTCATAACAAGGTGTGTGGATTATCTTGAGTACCTGCGTCAGGATGTCTAAAAAAAAGTTATGGCGTTTGATTCTTCACAGTAACCCAATCCAAAAGACTAGTGTCTGATAACTAGTGCTACAGGTAAGAATATTTTTATTTTGGGGTATAGTCCCTTAAAAATGAACAACACATTTAAAATAACCTAATTTACTAATTACTGTTTTGTATTTCAGCCATGTTTCCTCCAGCATTATTCAGGACAGATGTTCTGTGAGTCCCTGCAGCTCAGGAAAGCTGGACAGCTGACTCTGCCGACCTGCTGCAGTGGAGGGGATGTGCGTAGCAAGGCTTCGCTACGTGCCAACACTGGCATGTGGCGGCGGTGGCCTGTTACTAGCAGGCCACAGAAAACCAGCCAGGAGAAAAGATCTGTTTTAGTCCATCATAGAATCCTCCTTTGAGATGATATTATCAGCAAACACAAAGTACAGCTGAGCCTGATGAGAATGACATTCCCTTTTCATAAACAACATTCTGGAGAGTTCAGGCTTATTGTGATTATGTCACTAGATGAAGAGTGAAGGGGTCATGAGAGTTCATCCTGAGAAGAACATCGAAATCTTTCTCTGTCTGAGGATTGACAATTTTCTGACATTTGAGCTAAGAATCTCTAGTGATCATATAATAACATTTAATGAAGTGCTGCAGGCCATGAATACGTCTGCGGACTAACATTGCTGGGACAAACCTCCGACTGAGGCAAGACCACCTCTCTCATGGTCTTTGAAGGAATCAATCTGAGCAGGAGGGAGGCTTCCTGTCCTCGCAGTGTTCCTGGGTGTGTGAGCGGGCGAGGGCCTGGCTCCTGGTCGATACTCCCTCTTTCCTGTGGGACCAGTTGGCCTCGTCTCTAACTCACGGCCTCTCTGTAGCTTCTCAGGCAGCGGCTCAATGGAAACAGCCAGAAGCTGAGAGCTGCATCGGTACATCGCAGTATGACTGGGGCCTTTTTTTTGGGTCACTCCAACTTTTTGCAATCGCAAGAGTGATGATTTCCATTAAGAAGACAATAACAAAAGCATTTCTTTTGTCGTGCTTTGTGAAAAAAAAGTGCAGGCTCTTAGCTTTTACCAATGACCAGAGAGTTTAGTCAGAACTGCAGGTTGAATTGGGTTACAGTATTTTACATAACCAGAATCAGATCTGAACTGTAATCAAATGTGAAAAATCAGATTAAATAGGGGAACTTTAGCTCTGGGAGCTTTGAATTGATCAAAAAATGACTGCTGGGTATCAGCTTCATTTCAGTATAACATTTAGGGGAAAAGGGATCTCTCATAACTACCCCATACTGGCTTTAACTCAAAGGGCATTTGAGTTACCTTGAGACACTTTTTTTTCAGAATGGTGTCTCTGCATTCACTCATTGTCAGTAGAAACATGAGACTTGGCTGACTCTCTAAGAGGATCATTTCTAAATCTACTGGCCTCTTTACAGCGTTTGGTCTTGTACCAGTGTGTTCGATCTGTAGACGTGACATAACAGACAATAGTTATTTTTAGCTGATGGATCAACCTTGTCTGTGAGAGGGAGGAGCTTAAGTGCAAGAATAAACCCAAAAGAAGAAGCTCCTCTCGGTCTCTCTCTCTCTCTCTCTCTCTCTCTCTCTCTCCCTGAACTCACCGAACCTGCCTTACCTGCCTCCCTGTCAACGATCAAAACCTCTCTGATTATTTATGCAATTGCTTCTCTATATTTGTTTTATTCAACGCATCGCATATAATACAAGATGAAGAATGGCTTTTGTCTTTTACAGCGGTGCTGGCAGTTGAATAAGAAGACACAAACAAAGACTCGAGCAGCCGATGACTTATTCTCATGCAGAAAATGACATTTCATAATGCAGCTGGTTGGCGGCGAGATAAAGACCGGAGGGGGCTGGTGACTGGGAGGCTGCTGGTTGAAAACGCTGCACCAATTCAGGCAAGAAGAGAAATAGCTAACACGGTGGTTGGCAGAAAAGTAGTTGCCTTCAGCATTTTGTGGGTGCGCTGCAGAAAAAAAAGCCATTGTGCTCTCTTCAAATGAATACAAGGTTTTTTTCGGCAAAAGCAAGATCTGAGGAAAAAAAGGTCTTCGCGTGTAATTGATCCGGTGCAAACCGGCACAGAGAATAGGCTTGAATGTGTCGCCATAATGAAAGTTGCCTCCTGCTATAATGTCTATAATCTATATACACTCTGATTAAGTATAGCTGCTAAACACATTACTGCAGCACATCCCAAATGAGACAGGAGGGTGGAGGCCAATTCCAATATCTAAATCTGTGAATGGTGAGTAGTGTCATCATACACAAGTAATCTACGTTTGGTCTCAAAATAACCTGTTGGAATAAATACATGTGGGTACCACAGGGTTCTGTGCTGGGTCCCTTTGTTATTTACACGTCACATAAACAACATCATCGCATAGACATGCTGAATATTTTCACAGATTATAATCTGCTTTAGGCATTCTTTTCTGAATTCACTTTATCTCTAAAGCAGAAAGGAACTGTGAAAAATATGATGCAGTTTCCCGCAGCAGAATGCAGGATTAGCTGTGAAAGAGAGAGTGGTGCACGCTTATTCACTCATGGACTCTCTTGTGCACACCAGGACACATTGCCTCCCAAGTTAACATATGACTGGTTGCTGACAAAAAATGTAGCGTTTAGAAGGCTATTTTTAAACATGGAACAGCACAGCGCTCACTCAATTAGGCCTACTTCGCTTCCAGCAAACTTCACAGAGGAAACAAAGAAGGCAACAAAGATGCATAATAGCATCAGTGAAATGTTTAAATGTGATATTCTCAATCCATCTGCACGTTAACGAGGTGTTCATTCAGAGCCACCGACAACTCCATTGGCAGTTTAGATAAGAGACCCTTGAGCGTACTGCTGTTATAACAGACACACAGACACTTGCCTCTTTCATGGACTCGCAGCAGTGCGCCGCTGCAAAAGGAACATACTGTATGAAATATACATATTTAGTGCCAGTGGATTTTGACAAGATATACAGTATATTTATCTAGTTTGAACTACGGCCACACAAATACCTGATACTGACCCCAGCAGTTTTCATCTTGAAAGGATATATTACTTCAAGGACTTTGTAAACAATGTCCAACAAAGAGAACATTGAGGGTGAAATGTTGTCCAAAGGTTATTGGTGGCATGAGCATGAACTGGGATGACAACTCCTCTTAAGGACTGATTTCACTGCTGCTATTTGCGGTTCAATTGATCACATGACCACTACATCACAAAGTTGAAAATATATTTTTCTTTTTATATGTCATTGTTTCTGTTTGTCATAGCACTGGGACATGTCTATTGTCTTGCATTAAGATATTATTATAGTGATCTGATCATTAAACTGTACTTTTTTACAAAATGATGTTGAATGAGTCCAGGCAAAATGTCGTAGAAAGGCGGTTTTGTTTTAAACCATTATTGTGACATTCATTTCAACAATATTGCCAAGCTTGACTGAGGATTCAGCCTTGTTTTTTGTTACAGTTCTCTTCATGGTAACTCAATAACAAAAAGTGATAAGAAAGCCAAAAGACACTGAAGCACATATTGTTTTTGAGCATGTGCTGTATGTTAGTGTACATGTGTGTGCTGTATTCACACTGTATACACACTACCCACAGTATTAATCACAGGTGACCTGCTTTGAGTCTCCGCTGGCGGAGAAGACAGAGCACTGACTGGGCTTCTGCTCGTCGTGGTGCAGCCATCTAATAGCCTCTGGTTGAGGGGGGCAACAACACCGCACAAAGCAGCTAGAAGACTCGCTCACCTTTACTTTTCTGTCTCAACCAGAATCTGCAGTCTGTGGTAAAATCGACTCAACATATGATTTTGCACCTTTTATTAGCAAAACTTTGTATCCGATGATAATTATTTATAGGTGGTTGTACACAATAAAAGTGCAGAGATATAACTAAGTAAAAGAACCACACTGAATGCCGTGCAAATCCCCAGACTACAGCAGCAGTAACAAAAAACAAACAAATAAATCCCTACACGCCTCGTGTGTGAAATGGATGTGGTATCTTACACTCTGCACCACCAGCCTCCCCAGGACATGAGTGCAAGCGCTAACATGAAGCCACAGCTTCAAGACACATACGTGCAGTGAAGAAAGCATGCGTGACATGATGCTCATCCATCCACCAGGCCCCATTATTTCTCTGGAACATTGCAATAATAGGACAGAGATTACTACCCTCGTGGAACAAAACATCAACAGTCAACTCGACCTCTCCATTTAATCAGATTACCGTCATTAGGGAGGAGAAATAAGATTTCACTGATCTGCAATGTTTTCACAAACTTTGTGTACATTTGTTTAGAGAAAACAAGCTTTCAATTAAGTGTGTGAACAACTGTTTTCAACAACAAAAGCATTTAGTAAATAGCTGGAGCATTGGGTATAGGATTACTGAAAAAATGATATATTAAAAGATGTGTTATTTTCTGTGCGTTCTCCTTTTTAGGTCCAGCAAAAAGAGCCAGATGTGCAACAAAACCCCTTGAGTCAGGTTTAAATTGAGTATGTTGGTTACATAATAAAGGCAAGTGAACAATGACTTTTGGTTTCACAGACACACAACAGTCTTCTGGGTGAAAGTCCTGTATTTCTTCAAACCAACCAATCTGCTCCCCGATCTCCTGGTCCTCACTGACCTTGACTCTCTTAGCAAGTCAGGCATAACTTTGCCGGTGTAAATTATTATTTACAAAGTAAGGTGTCAATTGACGTAAACACAGCTTAATGGTTTTGCTATTATAAGGAATTATTTCCCTTTGTATAGTGTGAGGTTGTTTTAAAATGGGATGGTCCATAGAATATATTATTAATGCTACACTCCTCCCAAATCCTTTTCGTACAGCCCCCACGCATTTTCCACTGACAGCAAATGAATTACTGTATGCAATACCTCTGATATTTCTGATAATCAACTGAATGAAGTTGAAGTGGTTGACGCTGTATTGTACCAATGGTGGCCCGAGGCCCCCGGACCCCCGCTTTAGCAGACCCCGTGACGGGCATAATGTGTGAACTCACTTGTACAAGCTGTCGCCCGCAATCTCCTGCTTGATCTGCCTGTTCACAGCGTCGGCCGCCGCCCTCCCTTTGCCCTCTCCTTCCACCTTCAGGGACACTTTCTTCGGCCCCTCCTGTTTACTGGACTTCTTTTTCCTGTGTGGCCCCTGTACGAGGTCTTTCTCCTGCACCTTGTCGGCGATGGCACTCTTCTCCACGCCGCTGTCCGCCTCCGCCGGCTGCTTCCTGTGGCGGGACCTGTCCGGGGCCCGCTCATCGGAGGCGGGTGGTTTGGGTATCCAGGGATGGTCGTACCTCTTCGGGATGGGCCAGGGTTTGAAGTCCTTCTGGTACTGGCTCTCGCAGTTGAACGGCGTTTCCGGCTCGTGGTACTCGTACTTGGGTTTACAGCTCGTCTCGGGTCGCACGTTCCAGTGCTTAAAGTCCTCGCGCATCACCGAGCCGCACACCCGCTCCTCGGAGACGCACCTGCGCGGCGGCCGCCCCGCCGCCGCCGCGGCGCCGGTCTCCGCGCGGGTCGGCTGCGTTTCTATGGCGACCCGGCCTCGGGGAGGGTGGAGCGGCGGCTGCAGCTGGATGTGCTGCATCTCGGAGACGTCCGTGTACTTGGTGAAGACCAAAGGCACCGCAATGTCAGCCTTGTCCAGCTGGTTCCAGAAGCGGGCCATGCAGCACGCCCTGCTGATACAGGGCCACGCCATGGTGGACCGTAGAGAGCTCCACTACAATGCAATCTGAACCCCGGGCCCGAAATGAACCCAAAATATGTCTCTAAACTCCGGTATGCTGAAATGACAGAAACAAGATGTCCGCGCGTCAGGTAGCGCGGAGAGGCTGCAATGCCGTTGACGGTTAGATGGTACTCAGTAAATCCATTTTGCTTTTAAAGTGGAAAGATTCAATGGGTTTTCATACGCTTGTCCTATAAGAGTCCGTGTCCACTGTGTCCCGTGTGTCCTGCTGTCTCACTCAGCGCAGCGCAGCATCCCAGAGACTCGGAGGCTGCGGCTGCTGAGGAGGGGCGGGTCAAGTCAGAGACGAGATAAAACAACTTCCGGTCTGAACGTTGGGTCCAAAAGACGTAATGACGCTCTTTTGAAATAGTATAACTTCAAAAGACGCCCCGACAGAAAAATAAATCCATACAAAGGAGTAGCACGCAGGTTAATGCGACCGAGGCGAAGTTTCTTCTCGTCACGTATCTCTAGCCACCTACACGGGGTTCTGCTGCTTTTGTTTTTTTGAATGAGCTCATTTCCGTTAAAGCCAATGAAGCAGCCAATGTGCCAGCTTGATGTAGACGGTTTGTTTTTCACGCACACTGCGTGATGGTCCAAGAGGAGACGTTTCGGTCGAGCCGTCGCTTTGGTTCCGTGTCTGTGTGAGGCTTGATAATGACAAAATTAGAGGTAAAAATCAGAGGCATTCTTTCCTGAGGTGGCCTGAATGCAAATTCATTTTATGTATATATGTATGTATGTATACAATCATAGGAGAAAAATGAAAAATGCGTACTAAAAGATTACATAGTTCATTGGTAAAAAAATAATAAAATTGTCAATCATGATTTGACTTCATACAATCAATCATTAATCAAAAGGTATTTTTCATATGGAAATTGCAAAGTAATCTTAGTAAATTCTACAGCCATAGAAAAAGGTCTGCAAAGTAAATGTAGGCTACTGATTCATGCAAAATTGCCTTTGTGATAAAGACACTGGCAGACTGTGCCAGCAAATAGTAGAACACATGAATAATGCCAACTCATTACAAACCCCACGGGCATGTTTCTCATTGGAATAAAATTTCAAAGACATCTGACAGACAAGCACATAATCTAAACCAAGGATTTTACAATAAGCTGGCTCATTTTAAGAAACACCTGCTCTTTCACAGTGGGATGCTTTCTTTTGTTTAAAAGACAAGTGTCTAGGATTTAGTGGCCAGCAGCAAGGTTGCTGTCCCGCCCCACCCTCCCAAGCATGGCCTTTCAGGAGAACCGGAAGGGGCCTCCGAGTACATTTACACTGCATTTGTGCCACCTACCATAAGATGCAACTATTTTTATTAAACCAGATGATATTCATAGCCTGTTTCACCCTTCTTCAACACCTTGGATACTTTTTTAGCCTCAGTGTGTTATGCACAAACCTTACAGGTCTCCTTGACAAAACTACAAGTGCTTTTATCACTAAATGCACGCTGAGGTGCAGTTACATGATTGCTCAACCAGATTTGGCTGCCTTTACAGCCATACTTGGAGCGATATATTGCCCAATTCCGGGTTAACCCATTAGTTTCCACTATGTGCGGGGGGGGGGGGGGGGAGTAATAAAGAATGAGGAAGAGCATTGTAAAATATTCCAATACAGCTCTTAATGTTTAAATGGAGTCTTGTGTTTAAATGGTCTCCTTCCATTTAAGGTCAAAAGTCAGATACAGTTACGGATTGACAAATCAAAGCCTATTTAGGGTTCTCAAGATAAGGCTGTCAGTAGGAGTTGATTGGTAGAAAGGCGAGAAGGGCAGACTTTGGACCCTATTCATTTGCTCCCATTCTTCGCCACCGGCAGCAGAACCTCGGTTTGTCTCACTTCTTCCTGTGGACGACATGAAGGTTGATTTTGCCCCCGTGGAAGTGCCCATGCAGCGCAGACTGCAGACGGCGGCGGTGGCGCAGTGGGTCTACTCCTTCCTCGGCCTGGGTAAGTGTGCATGTCTGCATGGACGTCCGCTGCATGGCACTGGTCACGAAGTACACATTCGTATGGTTGGTCTTTGTGTACTTACGGGTGCTGGTCGAACATGTCGGCCCTGCTGCCCTTTGGTAAAGTGTAAATGAATGTGTGAGGTTGAGGAATGTTGTCTTGAGGGATATAAACTGTTGGATAGCCGGAAGTGGGAGCTGAGCAGAGTGCGGCCCACGCCTGCTCACATAAGATTGCCCTCTGAACTGACCTCAGATCATATTCAGTGTTATTATGGAATGCTCACTCTTTCCGAGTATACAAAGCATACAAATGATTCTGTCCACCTGTATTTGTTTAGCTCTGAAGGGCAGTTGTTGTGTAGCAACAATCTTTGCCTGACCGAGCCTCACAGTCCTGTCACATTCCAAAATTAATCATGTTCAACACTATTAGTATAAAGGTGAGTACTAGTACTTCCTATACAAGACAAAGGGATTCAGCACAAGGTGTTTATCATACCGCCTATTGACTAAAGTGACAATAAATATACTTAAAAGTTATTTCACACAAACTTTTCTTCATATTATTTTAACTGTTATTTAATCAGAATCATCATCATCTTTATAATCATCGTCATCATCATTGCAAAAAAAACAAACAAAGCCAAAAGCTGTGTACAGCCATAAAGACAGAATAAACAACTAAACAACATCTAAAACTTGAAATAAACAAGTCAAGATGCTAAGAAGGTAGAGTGCTCAGACCCCCTTTTGTCCCACTAAAACGCACATACTTGATATTCTCATCACTGGCATCAGGACCGTCCCCTGATGCCAGTTTTGAATTGGATTGAACTGTGCACCCAGAGAAACCAGAGCGATGAACGATGAAGACCACAACAACACGGTCAAAATATGAAATTCCATGACATCAAACCGTGAGCACGGCTCTGCTATCAGTGACCATCTGAATGCTGCTGATGCTGAGAAGACGTGAGCCATTCATAACATGGTACATGCATAACAACGTGTCCTCTCTCCTCAGCACCCACCTGCATTGTTCTGTTCTTTTACCTGCCGTTCACCCGCTTCTGGCTGATCAGTGTGCTGTACGCCGTCTGGTGGTTCTTCGACTACGACACCCCCGCACGGGGAGGCCGCAGGGTGTCATGGCTGTGCAACTTAACAATTTGGAAATACATGCGGGACTACTTCCCCATCAAGGTGAGAGACAGACAAGGCGCATGCAGCATCACTAATGTATATGCACAGTCTTGTTCTGTGCCCTTCACCTCTTTGGCTCAGAGAACAGGGCATCAGGACATCAGGACATCAGCACATCTCGTTCTGCCAGTTGCGTTTATCTCCTCTGTGATCATACATGCGAGTAGCAGGCTTGTGTCTCTGAAAGCAAATGAACCGATGCCTGAGACCACTGTGCTCCCTGCAGGCATGCACTGTGTAAATATACAATCCCTAAATTCTGAAGAGTAGACATTTTATATTATGACACTTTGATAAAGAGAACAGATTAGGCTGCGAACAATGTGCACAGCCGAGCGCAGTCCAATTTCACAACTTTAAGAAAAAGAAAAGCATATGCTTCTGGTCACTTGAGAGAATAGTTTTGATGCTTTGATCACTTTTCTTGGCGACAGTAAGACGGGTAGACTGATACCCATATCTGTTGGTTAAATGTGGTTCTGACATGAAGCATCAAGTTGGGAAGCAGGCGTGAACAGCTGTTGGTACAGGTTTAATGGGGGTTATGATTGTGATTACAGCCCCTAGCTGGACAATGTTTTATTTCCTGGAGACACCAAACTGCTGTCTCAAAGAAACAATTCGAGGGCAACATTCAAACAACACACAATTACTTCAAAATGCCCCAGCAACAAAACAAATTACATTGATTCGGTTGAGTAAAGGATCCTGTTTCGCTTTGCTGCATCATTAAGTTCCGGACGTAAATTAAATGATGTCAATGCTGACATTTGGATTCACGTGGCACACAAACGGAAACGGATGATAATCAGTTTCATACAAACACGAGTTTAAACTGTGAACGACCTCCACACTGAAGAACAGCCACCTCAGCCTCAGAAAATGAGAAAGAATCATATTAATATCAATCGCATGAAATGTATAATGTATGCATAACCCAAGGATACGAAGGTAGATGCAGACAAATTATTATCAATGCTGCACAATTCTCTTACACAATCCTTCTTACACCATGGTGGTTAGCACTGTCGCCTCACAGCAAGAAGGTCCTGGGTTCGATTCCGCCCAGTGGCCTTTCTGTGTGGAGTCTGCATGTTCTCCCCGTGTCTGCGTGGGTTCTCTCCGGGTTCTCCGGCTTCCTCCCACAGTCCAAAGACATGCTCTGGGGATCAGGTTAATTGAGGACTTTAAATTGCCCGTAGATATGTGAGTGTGTCTCTGTGTCGCCCTGCGATTGGCTGGCGACCAGTCCAGGATGTACCCTGTCTATCACCCGAAGTTGGCTGGGATGGACTCCAGCCCCCGCGACCTGTGTGCAGGATAAGCGGTTTGAGATGGATGGATGGAATCCTTCTTACTTTGTAGCCCGTTGTGTCCCTCTTGTGGTCAAACCCCTGTAATGCATTCATATCATTTGACGTACATTTCACATTTGATCTAATGAAGCCCAGTACTTAAAATCAAAGTCAATGTAGCACTTGACGTTGGGTTTTTCAATTAAAATAAAATAAAAAACTAAGCCACTGACATCTTCACAGATAAGTGTTGGCAACCCGCGGTGGCAACATCCACTTTGTTACGTGGGTTCACATCTTGCCACGAAGTACGAACAATGTTTTGGACTGTATTGATAAGACAGAAAGAGGCAACAACTCCTGTAGCCGACCAGCAAACAAGTGATCATCACAATAACAAGAACAATAAATTGATTGAAATGAATCATAATCATACTGTTTGTATTTTAAAATAATATTCAATAAATTGGTATACAGACAAGAAGTAAGACAGACATTGTAAACTGCGAAAAGGAGATAAAATTCCGTTAACAATACAGAATTGGAAGCTTTTTTTGACTTTCTGTCTATGAGATTTCACCCAATGGGTGTCCATGATATTCTGTCCACACTTTTATACCAGATTGACAGAAAACATTATGAGCAGAGGTAGCTGGGACATGACAAAGTCAGGCTCTGCCCTTTTTAGCAACAAAGGGGGTTTATGGAGTTGATTATTATTGTGTCAGTATCTTATTAAAGATTGTGTGTGCCCATCAGACAAAGAAGACAGTTTCTACTTTTTGTAGTTGTTCCCCTGTAACAAATAACAAGTGAGGTCCTTTCCAACAAAGCCAAGAAAAGCTCCCCCTGGTTTGGGCACATAGAACGTATCCAGTTCAAAGCAAATCATCAGCGCCATCTGACTGTATGCCTCATTAAGTCTGAAACAAGGAGTCAATGTGCGGGTGAAGAGAACCACTGTCCTTCAGAGGACCTGATTAGTTTCATTGGTGCTTCTCTGCCCACCGTTTCTAAATACACCCTCCCCATCTGAGGCTGAAAGCCCACCAGCTGATATGTGTTTTAGCAGAATGACGCAACTGCCATTTAGACAGGGTGCTATCAATTTCCCTGTCTATGACTCTGCAAGAAAGGGAATAAGCCCCATTCCTAAAATGCCAAACAATTTTCTCTTTTTCTTTTCTTCTGTTCAGATTTTATATCTAACTCCAAAAAGAAACAAATGATTCTTTACTTTACACCAAAAGCCAAAAGTCCTGGAGGGATGGCAGCCACCAGGCGGCAGAGCTTTGTGATTGATCACCGTGAACACTTCTTCTATTTGCAAACAGCCGCGGCCCTCCTCATTAGTGACCAATGATTGGCTCTGTGATCAGCGGCAGCAGGCGCCCACAGGACAAACAGAGTGGACACACAGCAGCCTGGTGAAGGGTTCAATGTCACAACTCAGACTGCTCTCATCTACTGCGTTCTGCACAACAGAAAGACAAGATTATACATGTAGATGCCAAATGAGTGGACGCTTTCAATGACACCCGTGTCGGCAATGCATAATGCATGCTTTCAATAACTTGAAAGTATTAAGTATCATACTACTTCATAATCACTGATACTTGGTTTGCAAGAATCTAAGTGTTTAGAATTTCTCATGTTTGTCATTCCTAATCTAAAAACAAAGCTATTATGAAGTAATATGATGATGACTTTATAAGTAACAAAATGGATGCAACAATGTGAGAACTTATGAATGATTATAACTGAAGTTGATCATTGCTGTAAAGCAGATTTGAAAACATTATGAGTATGTTTTCAAAGCATTACAGACAAGGGCGTCATAAAAGATGTTCCCTTCTTTAAGCAACCTTTGAATCGCTGAGGAGAGAGAGCATGGCTCCCTGATAATGGCTCTGCATGTTGCCACATGAACAGCGGGATGTTAATCTCACACACAGATACAAACAGTGAAAGAGCAGATTTGTTTTTCAAAGAAGTAAGAAATAAAAAAAAACGATGGCAGCCCTTAATGAGCGACTTTGGAGTCCTGACGTTGACCTTTAGCGCCTCTCGCTATCTCCTTACTTTCCACTCGGGACGCTTATCTTATCTGGAGTTCTTTAAAGATGATTATCGAGAAAATGTTATTTCTGACTTTACAGGGAAATATTACTCGATATCTAAAACTTGTTCAACACTAGAATGGTCTTTTCCCGCCAAACAAAAAAAGAAGTGTTAACATTGATCGAGTTCCTGCCCAGTGACAAACAAATAGCACCTATTCAGATTATCTTAATTTCATTATGTAACACATGATCATTATTTAGATACTGAGATTAACATACAGTTACAGTAGCTTCTCTTTTCTTTGCCCAGTTGGTGAAGACGGCTGACCTGGATCCCAGGCACAACTACGTCCTGGGCTTCCATCCGCATGGCGTGCTGGTGGCGGGAGCCTTCGCCAACTTCTGCACTTGTTCCACGGGCTTCAGGGAGTTGTTTCCCGGCCTCACCAGCTACCTGCTCATGTTGCCTCTTTGGTTCAGGAGCCCATTCTTTAGAGACTACATCATGTGCGCGGGTGCGAGACCTTTCAGTCATGCTCAATTACATTGACCACATGTCCACCTCTTAAATTCAACTGAGTACATGGATAGAATGAATAATTTAACCTTAAAAGAATTGTACTGATTTCTTTTTCAATTTAATTACATGTTTTATATATACTCCTTCATATTTTCTGTCATGACACTGCAGGTCTGATTCCCTCGGACAAGGAGAGCGCCAGATATCCGCTATCTAAGAGAGGCGGCGGTAACGCTGTGGTCATAGCAGTCGGTGGGGCCCCGGAGGCCCTCTACGCCCACCCCGGGACCTACAACGTCGTGATGGCCGAGAAGAAAGGGTTCATTAAAATGGCAATGGTGAATGGGTGAGAGCCCTGGGGGGTTGTTGGGAGGGAGGGGCGGAGGGGTGAGGAAGGTTTTCTGCTAAATATAGCTAATTTCCCAAGGTCTCATCGCCGGGGAGAGGAGCACATGTATCCATTTATTTTAGGTTCCTTGCAGCACGAGAAGGGCTACTTTAGAACAGAGCCTATAAAAGCATGAAGAGTTGAGTTTAGTTTGAGGAACATCAGTAAAACTCTTCAAACACGGGATCATGTTAGCTAATCGATAAAACAACCTGTTCATTTTGACTTTCCTTTTTGCAGTGCTCATCTGGTGCCAGTTTACTCCTTTGGAGAAAACGAAGTGTATGATCAAGTGGGAAACCAAAGAGGCTCCTGGCTTCGGTGGACACAAGAGCGGCTGCAAGGAATCATGGGCATCTCCCTGCCTCTATTCCACGCTCGTGGCATTTTCCAGTACTCCTTTGGTCTCATTCCCTACAGAAAATCCATCAATACAGTTGGTGAGTTGTCTGTGCACATCTATCAGGTTGCAACCTCACCCACAGTACATCAAACAAAAGATTTGTTGCATTAGACCTTGGCAAAAGAGACGCTGAACTATATCTATTAATGTGGTTATTTCCCACCTACAGTGATTTGGAGAAGCACCGAGTGGTGAGATTTTTGAGTCAGACTGAACTCATGCTTTCGATAAAAAGGAATCTAACAGACCGTATTGCACAAACGTAAAGTAAACCGCGTGTGTTGTACTTCACCACTGCAGTTGGGCGGCCAATCAGAGTGCAGAGGAATGAGAAGCCATCGGCTGAGGAACTGAATGCCCTCCACCAGCACTACATGGATGAGCTCAGCAGTCTTTTTGAGGAGCACAAAGGCAACTACGGAGTGGACAAGGACGTACATCTCAACTTTGTCTAAACTGGACTGATTCAAATGCATATTTATTTGTGTAACACTGGTACTGCAGGCTTGGAGAATTGATCGGCTCTCCAACTGGCCTGTTAAATAAAGAGCAATGAACTGGATGATCTCTACATGAGAGAAAAGCGTACGTATCCATAACTGAGACTTCACTGTTCATTCGGACTGCTGTCGCTTGCAGGGGAAGAGTGGGAAGTGGTTCAGAGGGTCACTGGCGACTGAAGGTTTCCTCAGCATCTCCCAGTGGTGGTTTCTGTCTGGGTGTTGAGCCTTTGTGCAATACCTGACACTTTCTCAAACAGAGTCAGAGGTTGCATTTGGATTGCAACATCATGGAGACACTAATGATTTTAGGGTTTGGTATCTGCTACAAACAGGGGAAATAAAAATCTTTCAGACAGCACTCAACTGAATATTCTCTCTTTTCTGTCCACAATATGGCCGTGAAACATTAAAGGTATACTAACACCTCAGTTTTGGACAGTATGTATTTACATTTAAGTACTGTGCTTGAGTCAAAATTTGACTTTCTCATCTACTTTATAGTTTTTGGTTTCCCTTACATAAAAAAAGCTCCTTTCCCCATGTGTAATGTCTATGATTCTTAGAACTGAACTCTAAATGCGTCTCATGGTTTAATTTCCTTAACTGTTTGATGGCAGATGTGGTCACATTACCCAGAATTTCATAAACACCCAACAAAGATGAGCCCGAAAAGGAAAAAAATTTTTCGTCACTCCGTCTAATCATCTTAAGGCCCCTCAGATTTGTCCTGAGACTCTTTGGAGGAAGCGTGATCCAGTGATCGGAAACCATCAAACTAGTAGTCAATCACATCTTTAGTAGAGACGTGGGGCGGGAAGGTGATCTCTTAGCTTAGCACTGAAAGCAGCTATCCTGGATAGATTCACACATTCCAAGGTAAAACCACCATTTCTGCTTTTCCACTTTAGTCGGAAATGGATTAAGTAAATAATACATAACCTATTGTATGAACTTTAGAGTGACAGCCAAAGAAATTACTATTTGGACAGAACCAGGCAAGCTATTTCCCAGTTTTTAAGGTAAGGTCTGAAATCCATTGCCTGCTTATAGCTTACTATGAGGACAAGAGGACGAAGAAAGTGTCCTTTAATAATCCCCTTGGGGAACTCGTTTTCTGCAGGAATACGCAGATTATCCAGATGTTAAACTGCTACTTTAATATTTGCGTTGAAGATGCAATAGTGAGAAAATAGTGAGAAAACAAAGATCATTTATGTGGATTCATGAAATCAATGGCTCTATTGTGCATTTCCATCCAACATGATGTCTAATGTGTCAATTGTACTAAAGTGTGATTATCAAACAGGCTCAATGCACAACAATACGTGTTTTATTAGTTCTAAACTCCACCTTAAAAGTTGAGTGCCTGCTTTTGGATCATGTTGCCAAATGATAAGACTGTCTGTGAACTTTGGCAGGTACTTTATATATGAGATGGCAGCGTTCTGATATTTCCAAATGAAAAGACTGGCGGACTGACAATTGCCCAATCCTTTCAACACAGTCTAGAGGAGAGTTGATGTGTGTTTGGTGCTAATTAAAATGCTGAGTAAAAGACTTACTGCAGTACCATGAGTGGGGAAATATTATTTTGAAGGATTAAAAAAGCAGTCACCAGTGAAGCGCTGATTTGTATGTGGTGTGTCAGGACAATACTGGAGCAGAAAAGCCTAAAATGTCACTTCTCCCATCTTACAAAGCTGCAGCATTAACATTTATATAAATCAATGCATCAGACTTTGTGTTTTAGAGACACAGTCATCGATGGTAGCAGTCATTGTGATTTTAGGGGGTCATCCGTGACATTGGGGTCCGTTGTTCAGACGATTTGCTCTGCAGTTGTTTGTTCTCCGAGTCCTCACAGGTGGAGAGTGACTGGTTCGTCACTGTAACAATATTATTGACTTATTTTTCAAGACAATGGTCAAGGTTCAAAATAATCAAGGCTCTACATTAACAGTCCTTTGGGCTTATATCTTATCTTGTCTTTTTCTGAAAGGAAACACAAAAGATAAACAAAGTTTCGCTACACCCAAGTCATTAGAAGGTATACATATACTGTACAGCGGTGCATTGACATTATTTGAACGAAAGGTTAACCGAAGTCAAAAAACACTTTGTGCTTTAGTAAAACAAAAACTAACAAGTTTTCATGGTAATAAAACCACATCCATTAGGCGAACCCTAACTGAACTAAACTAAAACTAAGCCTGAACTCACCGCACCAAATTGGTACTTTAACCCGAAATAACGGGACGAAGGTTTCAGCGATGTTAGAAGTGGGTTTCTGGGACTGTGGATTTAAAATTGCATGATCAATACCAATTGACCAATCAGGAGGTGACATTTCTCAACAGCAGCGGTGTCAAGGACCGTGTGGATGATTTCAGCCCAAATAAGTTATCATTATTGGCCCCGGTCCCACCAGATATGTCAGTTCAACTTTTTGGACTTCAGTGCAAACTTTTTTTCCTCAGAAGAGTATAATATTGAATTTGAAAAAGTGCTAGGGGGCAAGGAGCAGATTGGGGAATGTATCGGCTGGTGTTAAACTGGTTCTGGCCTCCTGCTTGAGCCAGTGTGGCTGCTGTTTCTGCAGATTTAAAGTTGACTCGAGACCACTCGCGTTGTGGTATAAGAGGCTTAGAGCTGGGACTCGAAGAGAGCAACTAAGTGCAAGTGCTGCAGTAGTTTTCAGGTATTTGTAGTTATTTTTTACTCATGCCCTAAAAACCGGGCTAGTTTGTGTCCTTTGTCTGATTTAAGTAAATGAGTTGGTTTGTCTAAGAGAACAACACAGATTTCACTTTTATTTTATTAATGATCCAACATCCAACCACTTTAAGTATATTTTGCTGATGATACTTCTGTACTTCTGCTCATAGGAATTTAAATGTGGAGACTTGTTTATCATTGAGATCAAGACCCGAGCTCCTCTTCTGGTCTCTTGAAGCATCCATCCGTCAGTTTTCTGTCCACTGTTGGTGTCCTCCTGGTTTCATTGAGGTTCTGTGCGGTGCCAGCGTCAGTCCCTGTCAGAAGACAAACTTACCTGGAGACTCAAACAGGTGCAACGCCTCCCCTATGTGATATGAGCGCAATGATAGTTTTAAGAGATGCTTTTTTTCTCAGTCAGCCTAACAGCAAAGCTCTGGCAGTGTCACGTGTGTTGTGTAGATTCAAGGGACACAGAAACGTTTCCATCCCAAACAGCAACGTCCCCACGGGTAGATAACGCCATAGTTTTCTATTGCAGAGTGTGACTCACGCAGTGAACTTATTGTTAAACACATCAAATGAGGATAAGAAAGCAGCACAAAGTCAGAGCAAATTCACAAGAATATATCACACAGGGTGACTATACAACAGTTGCATTTATGGAACACACACATCTATCTGTCACATCCAACCAAGCGAGGAGGGGCAGGAGGGGAGACAGGAGGGGAGACAGCGAGGGGAGGCAGAGAGGGGAGGCATTGGGGGTCAATGGTTAAAACATGCTGGCTGACCCACGTGACAGCCCAACAAACACCGAGAGAGGCTCAGCAGCACTACTGGTTCCCACCTCCAGGCCCTGCGAGTTGCTGTGCGGGAGGGAGAGAGACTCCCCAGGTCTAGACTCACAGTCCAAACATTATCGACCCACTGTCCTCCTCTCTGGTGGCCGACTCCCTTTGCTCCTCCCCGCGCAGATTAAATGATGGCGCGGCGCGTCTGCGCGCCGCAGTTGACGGCAGCCGCGCCGGAGGGTTCAGACCAACATCCTGACAGCCCGCACACATCGAGAGGTTTTGTCGCTGTTGAGCGCCTCGCTGCCTCCCTCTGTCCACCCAAGAAGGCTCAGATATGAAGACCATTCTTGCTGCGTACCCCGGCGTCCTCAAAGGTAAGCGGGGTCCGCGGCTCGGGGCGCAGTGCACACGCAGAAATCAAGTGCACACACACACACACACACACACACACACACACACACACACACACACACACACACACACACACACACACACACACACACCACACGCGCCGGTGTTATTCTGGGGGAAGATGCATGCAAACAAAAGTGTAACTTTAAAATAGCTTCATTATTATTGTGACGGAAAACTTTTTGAAAAACCGATATATTTTCAGTAGCAAATAATCTTACAACTCCCACACAAACACTGCCTGTACGAGGTGACACTAAAGGGGAAAAAGATTTACTATGTCCTCATCACAAGGTTTGGGCTCTGTGTCTCTCAATACATCTACTTCCTAACAAACAGCAAGCTTTATTTTTATAATGTTGAAATATCTAGAATTTTAGGGTAAATTATTAAATGAAAAGGTGTCAAGTTATTTCTTCAGTGAATCTGCACCTGATGTTCTCAGGGAAGGTCGCTCTGCCAAAGCGACAGAAAGTCTAGAAGATTTTGTTACTTATCGGTTAAACTGAAGTTTTCAGGGCCACTGTGAGGAACCTTGACACAATATAAATATAACACCCAAATCTCTTTCGATGGGTAGGTGGGCATATATCTACATCTATTCATATACACATCTACATGAACTCTTAAGTAGTTTAGTCTCTTTTTGTGGTTGATTTTCTTCTCTTTTCTTAAGTTGTTATTTTGTGTCTTTGCAGATGTTTGTGTCTTTGTGGTGTTATGTCTTACTGTAGTTGTTTTGCCATCTTTTGTATCTATTTTGTGTCTCTGCGCGGTCATTTTGAGTCTCTATCTGGTAAGCATGCATTTCTTTGAGTAATATTTTACAAATTAAGGCATGGGGGGCCCTAGAAACGTTGGGTCCCTCAGTTATCCATCCATGAGCACATGGTCCACCTTGCTTCATCCGATCGTGTTTGTTTACCTCTCTACATGCCGACCAGTTTGATCTGGCTCCCAGCCGGACTCTGAGATCACATGCTGTATGCAGGTCCGTTCTGCCACGATCTGCGGCTGCATCCCGACCGAGTGTCCGTCCCTCTCCTGGTACCGATCCAAGCAGCGACAGCCTTTAAGCCGTCATAGCATCATAGTTTAAGGCATTACCAGCAGCCCGGTGCTGGGTTATTTTCAGTGTGCATAGGCGGGATTAGGGTGTAGACGGCCGTCCTGTCCTGGAGAGGAGATCTCCTCCTAATTGGCTCTGTGGTTCGAGCTTGACTTGCCCCGGAGCCTGTTAACGTCTTTGTTGCTTCGTGCTTCCACTCCTCACATGCGTGGTTTTGCCTTCATGGTCTGGGGACTTAAAAGAGCTGGTGAGTAGTTGAGGCTATTTGCAGCAATGCGAGGCTGGCCGGTTGTTTTTGTTTGAAGTCCACCTTTTGGGTTTGTTAAACTCAATCCAGGAGAAAGAAAGCGATACCACATCGTGTCACTGCTTAACTCTCTTAACCGCTTAAGCGCCCGTGCCAACCACTCATATCGACATTTGACTATCTTGAGAAACTCTGCTTTTTTGAAAATCGCTTTGTCATCTATTTGTTTCCAGGCACCGGCTCTAGCATCCTCTCTGCCCTGCAGGACCTGTCCGTGGCTTTTTGGCCCTGCAGATACAAGATGGAGAAACATCTGCAGGTCATCTCGGTGCTGCAGTGGGTCATCAGCTTCCTGGCCATGGGTGAGTGAATATGTCTGTGTTTGTAGGTGCTGCCGTACCTTTTGTTGTTGAAGCGGAAAGCAAGGAAAGCATGAATATTTAGAATGTGGTCTTACCAGAAGGAGGTTGGATCTCTGCGCTGTATGCAACGCTCTCTTAGCCCATAGCAGAATAATTCAGTCTTTAGTTTTGCCTACATTTCATTTTATTTGTGGTCCAGTGCTTGATTGCACAGCCTCTTTTCTCTCCCTCCAGGTGCTGCTTGCACTGTGCTACTGATCTACATGTTCTGCACTGACTGCTGGCTCATTTCTGCCATATATACCGCCTGGCTCATCGTTGACTGGAACACCCCAAAAAGAGGCAAGACAATAAAAGCTGTCTATCAACAAATTACTGTTGCATTGTAGTGCAATATTGACCCCCAACATGATAATGGGGCAGTTCTATTCAATCAAATTGTATGTTCATATACTATATACATTGCATTATTCTATTTTACATTAAATACTTGTTTAAGTTGGCCAATTTGCTAATGCGTTAATAAGATGTACACTTGAATTGAAATGTCTGTACATTTTGGGGATTTTCTACGTTGCTGCAATATAATTACTCTTTATCTGTAATTCAAACGTGATGTTGCCCTCATTACTCACTCCTCAATCCATTTCGCAGGTAGTTGGTATCTGAAGTGAAGACACATTTACTGCGTGATGCATTTTTGGGGGGTAGAAATATTACACAGAAAGATAAAGGTTTACAGAATAATTACTTTAACAGCACGTGAATAATCTGTCCTTGGTAATTTGGTGCTAATTGGCATGGTCAGACGCTGAACGTCTTAAACATATGCTTGTCAACATTATGTTAGCATTCTAATATAAAATAAATATAATATTTTGCTTCTCGAGCAACATTACCCACCCTACTTTTATCGTAGTCTAATAAAAACAATTGTTGGTTTTGTTTTTGATTTAATGACGTCAGTTCTAATCTCTAATGTCCTCTTCAGGTGGCAGGAGGTCCTCTTGGGTGAGAAACTGGACAGTGTGGACTTATTTCCGAGACTACTTCCCAATCAGGGTGGGTGCATTAGTCAAACTCCTGATGTGCCGTCGCTGAATTGATCCCACCCAGAAAAAACCCAAAGGAACAGTAGATTTGTGGAGTATGGCACCTATAATGAGATGGACCATGAAAGCGTCCACGGCTTCGCCGTTTCCTGCCTCCACAGAAAAACATCTAGTGTATAGTAAGATTCATCCTATTCATCGATCTCCGGCCATGCAGAGGTTCGACATTGTAGATAAGCTTATCAGGAGGTATCAGCTGGCAGCTCCATGCTGCTCCTTGTCCCGTGGGGGATTGAGTCGTTCAGAAATTTTAGACTTTGTCCCCTCGGATAGGCCAAGGAGCAGTGCTAAGCTTGTTTGACCCTCAGATATTCCCCCCAGCATCTTTTACATGAGAGGACAATGCTGATAATGGCAAATACGCTTTGCATTCACGGGCCGTTCCAAACTGTCCTCATCAAAGCAAGAAGTCACGGGTGGAGTGAGTGCTGCGTGATGCAGCGAGTGTCATGAGATGTACAGCCAAGGGCTGCAACAGTTAGTTGATTAATTAATTCGATTGATTATCGTTCTTTACTAAACCCTATTCACCTAATGTGATGGACATTTGTCAGTATTTTGTGGCCTTTTTATCGACAACACGATTGAAAATCGAAGCTGATCCATTATTTTTATTTTTATTTTATTATTTATATTATTTATTTTATTTATTTATTTAAATAAATTCCTCTCTGATGCTGATGAAGCTTTTGTTTGCTCCTCGTAATGCTAATGAAACATCCTGCTTTCACACATCGTTTCCTTTCATTACCTGCTGACTGGGTTTCACAGTCGTTCATCCCTTCACCAGGTGTGGATGAGGTTATCTCAGATAACCTCAGAAAAGAGGTACAAGGGATAGAATTTGAAGTCCCACTCTTTGCGGTTGGACTTTGTTCATCTGATTTGATCTGAAAGTAGCCATTGGTCTCAGGTCTTGATGAGATCATCCTTTGTCACCCACACCCCTGAAGCCAGCTGACCCTTCACGTCGCTTGTTTCAATGAGTACCACGGTGAACATAAATGTTTTTTTGTGGTTGTGTGAAGTTTGAGCTTTCTGTCAAATGTTAAAACCTCACTTATTAGCTTAAAGTGTAGTTGAACATGTTTTATTTGCAGCAGAGTCTCATAGCTCAAAATAAGAAGAATGCTGGGCCATAAATTGATTGTGGGCCAACAGTTGTTTATCGCTCATGAGTGTCTGACTATTTTTTTATATGAGTTGGAAGCCAACTGGTCAAGGTCCAAACCAGCCTTAAAATCATAGTAAGGACTGTTGGAAGATGAATGTTGCTTCAACGTCTGCGTCAACGTAAGCAACCCAGTGACAGAATCTGGACTCATATTTGATCAATGCTGCTTAGTTTGATCTCAATCTTCACTACCAGAGATTGGGAAATGCTTTGAAAGATTGGCTGGTTGCCTTCTGGGACGGAAACACCATCGCTAGCACTGAGGGGAGAATTCCTTGTTTTCCACAGATGTGTGATATATGTCTCATGATGACTGAGCTTTTGTTTGAGTCCTGCGTTACTATGGAGATCTTAAATGTTGCTAATGTGGTTATGCAACAGTTGTGTTTGACACATGGTGGTGGAATCAAGTCTACAGCGCAGATCAGAGAACAGTTATAGTCTCTAATGAGATTCTTCAGTTTTACCACTTCAACATCAAACCAAGAGTTTTACACAGAATGTTAAAGTGTTTTGGTGCCAATAGAATATACACAAACAACTTGAGAAGCGGGCCATTATGTCATGATTGAGCAATGAGCCACAGGGTCATGTTGGGTTTGAGCTGATAAGGATGTCCTCATTCTCCTAAAAACATGAGCTGTATAGCCAATTCATCCCACATGCTTATTCTAAGCTGGTCTGGCGTGCGGCTCTTTCCCAATGCGAAATGTCTGATAGTCAAAGTCTTCACTATGCATCTATGAATTTAGGATTTCATGAAAACAGATGCAAACATCATAGTTTGATCACATCCCAAAGAATATAATGATTAACAAGAGGATAGACCAGCTTGAATTATATTAATCTATTTTGTTGACGTAATTATTCAAATAAAAATAAATGACAGATTCAAGGTTCCTATGAATGTTTAAAACCTTGTAAATTAAATATTCATTAAGTATGTTCATGTATTGTATGTCATTATAATAATATATACTACTAACTGCAAAAATGAATGTACCGTAAAGATATAGATGGTAATGTTAAAAAGACCGTTGAACAAAACAAATAGCTTTAGGGAATAAACTGAACCAGACGGGACCCAGTGAAATACCAAAGAGATTAGACTGTATTTTATAATGTGTGTATAATGTATTTAGTGTGGAACTGGTACACAGCTTCTGTTCTCAAGCCCTTGAGCCATGCTGGTCACTAACATGACATTTCTCCAATCAGATGTTCTGGCAGTGTGAAAATCAGCCTCACACTGGTCCTCTTTGTCCTATTTTCCTGCAGCTAATTAAAACCCACAACCTGCTGCCCAGCCGGAACTACATCTTCGGCTACCACCCACACGGCATCTTCTGTTTCGGTGCCTTCTGCAACTTTGGGACGGAGGCAACAGGCTTCACCAAGAAGTTCCCGGGCATCAAGCCCTCCCTGGCGACCCTGGCGGGAAACTTCCGCATGCCTGTCCTTCGAGACTACTTGATGTCTGGAGGTGAGACGATGAGGAGCACGGGAGGCTTCGAGAATCAGAATGCTATATTTGAAAGAGAGTGGACCTTTGTCCTCTTACACAGCCAAAATAGCTTCTGTTTGCATATATCTGCTGATTTCCATGAGCGATAAGACTTTCACTGTTTTGTTCTGACGGGCTGTTTGCTGTTCAGCTTTACCCATGGATCCTGTGCATGCGGCCTTAGGGTACCATAGGTCATCGCATGTGCTGTTTACGCTTCATTGGTAAAATAGGCCCTAAAGAACTTTCTTTGGTAGATTTTTGTGTCAAGCAACAATCTTTGCAAAACTTTAAAAGGAAAAAAACAAACATTTTTTCAGCTGCTGTAAACCAGCTATTCACATTGGATCTTTTGAATTTTACGCCGGTAGTAGATCCATTTGTTTTGCTCTGTAGAAATGAAATGGAATGAGTGGAGTGTCTAAAATGATTGAGAATTACAATATTTGCATCCAGTATTTGTAATAAGATTAGGAAGATGTTAACAGTATTAAAAGGCTGTTGGGCAATGCTTCTTTACTGGACCTTTAACCATCTATCTACATTCTTTCTTTGTTTCTTAGGTATCTGTCCTGTGAACAAGAACTCCATCGACTACCTGCTGTCGTGCAACGGGACCGGAAATGCTGTGGTCATCGTTGTGGGAGGAGCGTCAGAGTCTCTGCAGTGCGCGCCGGGTTTGAACACAGTCACCCTGAAGAACCGCAAAGGCTTTGTGAGGCTGGCCCTGCAGAGAGGGTGAGCTGGCTGCACAACACCTCACAGACAAAGACCCGTACGGTCAACGCTTCACACAGGCTTGAACTAGACCTAATTTGAACGTGATGCAAAAGATTGAGTAACCGATCGATGCTTATGGCTGCGTGCACCGCCGCTAGGCAAGGTTTGTCTGAGAGAAATGATACTTATATCTGCGTCCTCAGCGTCGTCTCAACCTGCTCTTCTGTGTGCTGTTTCTTTTGTTCACCCCTTGAAATGTTACAAATGCACCTTTGTGGGCACATCATGTATTTTATAACTTGTTTGAGTGGTGTTTGGAGGATTATCAAACTGATTAGTGCATATTGTAGCCAAGACTTGTTTCGAACGGTGTGAAGCAATCACGTAAGGTTTTATTTATTAGGCTTTCTGTGAGTTATTTTCTTATCTGTTATTCTCACCTATAAAAATAACCCAGGAAAGCACATTGGTATCCCTAAATGAGTGACACCTTTGTGCGGCTCATTTTCTGTAACCCGTGTAGCTTAAAGTATGATGGAGTCCTCAAGCTAACTCACTGCTGGATTGTTAGCTTGCTTTCAAATTCCGTTTCCAATTGTATTTCTTCTTTCTACGTCTTTACAGCTACACACCTTTTGTATATATTTGACTTGTTTCCTTTAATGTTTTTGCTGATTTTAGATTTTAAAATCTTGAAACATCCCGCTTGCCATTGTCCTAGAAGCAGACGGTTTTGTTGAGCTACCACCTCTGCGTGTCCTCAGATCTGACCTGGTTCCAGTGTATTCCTTTGGAGAGAACGATGCCTATAAGCAGGTGATCTTTGAGGAGGGCACCTATTGGCGGACTATCCAAAAGAGGTTGCAGAAGATCATAGGCTTTGCCCCGTGCCTCTTCCATGGATGTGGCCTATTCTTCGGCAACTCATGGGGCATTGTGCCTTATGGCAACCCGATCACCACCGTAGGCAAGTTTGTTCAAGTTAATGTTAATGTTGACATATTAGGGTTATCTATAAAAATGCAACAAACTCCGCTATTTGAGCATGGTTAACTGTATATGTATTATCCAACCAGCACGCTGTATTAATGGTTAAACATACACCGAAGTGATTTTAACCCTCTCTCCTGTTGTTAACGTAGTTGGAGAGCCAATCACAGTGCCAAAAATTGAGGATCCAACTGAGGAGATGGTGGACCTGTACCACGCAATGTACATCAGGTCCCTGCAGGACCTTTTTGACCGGTACAAGACCCGCTTTGGCCTGAAAGAGAGCGACGTCCTGTACATCCAGTGAACGCAACCGGGGCCCTGTTGACGCTCTGAACTTTTAACAGCATCTACAGACCCCCGCACCCGCCCCCCCTGCCCCCTACCCTCCTCCCCACCCGCATCCTATCTGGATGCTTGATTTTGGATTATCTATGTAAATTCTGCATATGAGCCTGTTTGCCATAAACCTTTGCTCTCTGCATACTTACATACAAACACACACACACACACACATTGGCATAGCTCCTTCTCAGGTAATGGTAGGTTTGAAGAACCGTTAGCTTTCCTTGCCGCTGCAGTGGGGATTGAACCGTTTTAGTTCTTTCACCAAATCCCACGTCACAAAGCAATGCCATTTGTGCTTCCCGTGTCTCATTGAAGGCATTGGATTCAGACTGTGTTTATCAGTGCAGAGGGGGGAAAAGTTCCACTAGGTGAAGCGAGAAGGTAACACTGCAAGACATTAGAGAAGTGCCAACGCTTTTGACTTTTACTCACGCAGCAGTATAATTCTCCCCAAGATCCTTTAATCCCTTTTATATACTAAATGCACAAACAATGCAAATGGAAAGTACCACTTCATTATTGGGATGATAAGCCTAAAGTTTAATTGAGCCAAATATCTAGGTTGTCCCCACACAGGCATGTATTTCTACTGTACAGAAGCCAAAACTGAAGGAATTGTACAGAATGGACATCGATATAGATAGATACATATTTATCTATATAGATATACATATATATTAGATGAATGCAAGAATGCATACATATTCATATGTGTGCCTGTGATTGTATAATGCCATAAAGTATTCATTTGTATGCTGTAACAATGCAGGAACAAGCCTTTTTTTCTGCCCTCCCTTCGAGGATATTTCTGATGCACTTTTCGTATTGCTGATCACGTTCTGAGGTTTTTGTGCCTTTTTGTTTGTTTTTTTAAATATGAGAAATTCTCCAAGATGCTCCCAATGCTGCTTGGCTTGATTTCCCTTTCTGGTCCTAAATGGTATCCAGCTCTGGTCGGGTGTGTTTTGTCTCTGCAACAAAAACTGCACTGATGTCTTCTAACTTCTGTAAGGCTGAAGAAGATTTTTTGGGGAAAATCCTAAATGTTTGAGGATTCTGGTGTACCGTGGATGTGTTTATAACTGTACAATGGGTGTTAATTAAAAAAAGCACGGGATTATACCTATTACTGGTACAATGTTATGTTTCAAGGGTCCCACAAGTACTTTTGTGAAATCTGGGTATGTGGTTATGGAACAAATCCTGGGAATTATCAAAGGTAGTAAGCTTGTGATTATCCTGTGTTTTTCCTCTTGTGCCTTCTTACAGGCTGCAGTGTAATCCATGTGCATTTTATAAGAAATACATGGCGAGAGAGATCGGTCAATATGATGAATGGCATCTTCCGCCAATATTTAAATAAAACTTTTTTTTTTTTTCAGAAGGGGATGTGAGTTTTTGTACCTGATTTAAAAAAACGATTTACCCAACACTACATTTGTTTATAGTGTTGCATCATTTTATTCATTTACCTTTAGAGCTGTCTGTTTGAGTATATTTGACATTGCATACAAGGCCTAAACATATAACTGCCCTCTTGTTAGTTTCTAGTATATACCTAAAAGGTCTGCCCATACAAAAAACCCATTCACGATCCAAAAAAAACCGAGGCAGCGGTGGACAATGGTGGACATGTGGACAGAACTTTGGTATTTTAGAGTCAACTAAGTGAGAAAGCAGATATGAACAAATGTAGTTTGAATTCACTTTTAAATGAGTTGACAGAATACAGAATACACCAAAAAGCTGTTTTCCAAACCATGTTTGAAATAACAAGAAAGTGAATTCTGAAAAGCAGAAAGCGATCAATATTTTATTGAAGTGCAATAACCCAGAGGAAACAGAACTGTGTCTGATGCTGCTCTCTGATGGATGCTCAGTGTACTGCATCGATTCGGAGTTTACACAAATCCTTCACACGGTACAGTGAGAGGGGCTGTGGATTATGCAGTAATGGAATGTAAAGGCCATTTACTCAAGTACTGTACATAAGTACAATTATGATGTACACAATGTCACACTATGCTATTCAATGATTTTAATACTTAGTTTAGCTTCCATCGGTTGTTAGGTATTCTACGGCAGGTTCACATGTTACATCCAAAACATATGACCAGTTTTATATTTAATAGTATGAATCTAAAACCATTATCATCTATGTATAACACCATAGATGTATAACACCATTGAATTTGTCATTTTTCATTGGGACAAAAACTTTAAGTACATTTAGCCGACAATTATTCAGCAGTTTTGTATTTATTTAAATGTTGATTTTTTCCTGTTATTGAGTTATTTTACATTGGTATTGGCTGCTACTTTTAGTCAGTGAAAAGTCTCAGTACCCCCGTCTTCTTCTAAAGATGACTTAAAAATCAGTGACATAGATTAAGAGCCATGTTGTGCTGGATCGCGTCAGAATAGTTTTTGTCATTTGTGCTAGGTCTAATGGAGAAGATAAAAAGTGAGAAATGGTGTGGGTGCCAACTCGTAACTGTTACCTACAGGTCACGTTGTACTGTGCAATTTCCTTAAATTTTGCAGTTTTGACAGATTTTAACGGATGCTCCCTCCCATCCTGGAAGAAAAAAATAATACAGCGAATAGGAGCACGATTTTTCAAGGGAAGGCGTGTCCTTTACGTGACGGACGTTACTCACAACCAATCAGAGGCTTTAAGGTTGCGCCTCTGAACCGGAGACGGATTTCCTAACCAAGTGTAACGTAACAGCCTGTACTTTGTTTACGTCCCTTCGGTTAGCTGTCAGCTGCTGTTGCAGCGCTTTACCAAAACACACAACCGTGTCCGCGTGTCTCTGGTGGTTGCCCGGAGCTTCGCGAACTTTAAACCGAGTGCTCCGGATGTCGTTGATGGTTTGTTTTGTTGAATGAGGGGGACCCGCTAGATGCCGACAGGAGGATGAACTCCATCACCGGTCGGGTTCTCGCCATCCCCGCCGCCTCTGTCACCAACTCTGGAGCTTCATCCTCTCGAGCCTTGCATGTAGAGCTCACTTCCCAGCAGGTAAACGCAAAGCCCCCGAGTCAAGCTTAACAGGAGCGTCTTTTAAATAACAAAGGAAGACCTTACCCGGGCCGCCTCTGTGGGTTTGTGTGTTAGTTTACAGCGTCAGTTACAACTGCTGCCCGGAGGAGCACGGCGGGCCTGTCAGGCTAGCTTGTTAGCTAGCACCTGCTAGCTAACAAGCTAGCCTGCTTAATGTCAATTAATGTAACAGTTAAGCTAACTTAAATTACACCAAGGGCGCAGGAACCCCCAGTCGGGCGAGTGTTATACAATTTTGAACTCGCTTTAGTTAAATTATGAGGATATATGTCTTTCTCCACGTTTAGTTTCTACTTCGAAGCTGGTGTGCTTTCTGCTAATGGTAACTTGACTTGGCGTCATGTCAGCACGGAGGTGACAGCTCCGCCAAAGGGAGACGCTCTCGTGTGCCTGATGTTATATTTTCTCATAGTTATTTTGCTGATGTTTAGAAAATAACAAGGGTATGAACTGATTTAATTTGTAAATGAGTCTTCATAATTAATTTATCCATTCATTTGGTCATTCATTCATTCATTCATTCGGTTCAGCTGGTGACAGTTCATTCATTGGGGCTGCCAAGCTCGGACAGTGAACTCGGCCCCTCTCGGACACACATGCGGGGCACTTGTTTCTGCTAGAAGGCCACATCAACTCCCTCTAATCCACGTGTGTGATGCCAGACTGTACAGCAAAGAACCTTTGCATTGTGTTGCTTCACAGTTACGGCAAAGTTGTGATTAAATGAAACCCTTTCTCCACACAGTAGGCCATACTAACAGACATTTTATATTATTTGAGCCCACATTTATTATATTCCTTTGCACCATAACTACATGCTTGTAGCAAGTAAAGATGCAATTATAATTTTCTACTCCCACTTGCTTAAAAGGTTCAGTTTAAAAAAAAGTTTCGTAATTTGATTAATTTTAACAACATTACAAAGCTTTTTTCTCTCTGCTCTCTGACCACGTAATTAGGTTTAGTTTAATGTGTCAATGTGTAAGAAGGATACCACAATACAATGGAGGGATGAATGGGCTTTTATTAGTGTGCCTCAAAGCTCACATTTGAAAGATTTGTCTGCACTGAAATTTCATATGTTTCCATCAAATTGGCCAGACACCCGGCAAGATCTCACAACATCATCAAAAGTAAATCTTCTAGACTTTATTATATTACTGAGTAACTAGAACATGTTTTTTCTTTTGTATTTAAGTGAACTGACCATTTTAAATAAAAACAAATGTATTTGTTATTTTTTTAAATCAAATATACACTCTGACACAATTGAACTCTCATGGAAAAGACACACGGTGTTGACCAATGCATTTCTGATGACCGGTTTTTATGTATGTTTTGCATGGTAACGCTGTTTTTCTCCCTCATCGTTCTCTAGCTTCACAGACAAACACTGTCCCAGCAACTTTGGTCTACTGGCTCGCTGGCTCATAGGACCACAAGATAAGCCCTGTAGAGAGATGATTATTGTGGGATTTGTCAAGGATGACTTGGGAATTCTCTTAAATACCCTCAGACCCACCTTTTTATAGCTGCACCAATACTAAAAAGCTTAACAAGTGCACGCTGAGAAAGTGGTGGTTCTGTATATCCTGTTATGTTACAATATCGTAGTTGAATAGTTTGTGCTGAGTTAAAGTGTAATATGACAAAGTGCTTTCTAGATATTCTTTGTATTACTTTTATTATCAGATTTTCTATGTGAAAAATTAAGACAATTTTTTTCAGCTTTGTTACCAAATGTCACATGTGTGACCTATTTAAAGGTCAGTTAATGTGATTTTTGAATAAGTCAGTTTCTGTAATTGGTCGAGCTAGCCATGGCTGAGTTTCCTCAGCTCTCAGCAGTAGTGGAGGGATTACACACCCAAATATTTCATCACTACTCTCACGACAGTGTTTCTGTGATGTATATTTGCTACTACAGGTTTCCTCAAGGCCTCGGCTCTGCTTCGCGCACCAACTGCAGAGTGTTTAAACCTGAATGGACCACCGCAAACCTGCCTTAAGGAAGACAAAGAGCACCTGATGGTGTGACACCATTTAGACCTGTCAGAGCTTCCACGCAGATTACTGCGTGGAACTACCTGGGCTGAACTTTGTCTGATCTATTTTTATTTTTAATTTCAGTCTATTATGATTACTCTATCATATTGTTGATGAGAACCCGACACACAAGAGTGCTTCTATACTGCAGAAGTTTACTCGCACCCACTCCTCTCTGCCACTTAAGCCCATTCAGAAATGTGCACTGAAATTGTTAAAACGAGAAGTGAGAGTTGGAGGAGGGGGGGGGTAAAGTCCCATGAACAATTGGGGTTTTTGTTTGCCAGGTCCTTAATCTTGATGGGGAATCCCATGATTTGGATTTGGTGTCAGTATGGCTGCAGGAGGAGAGGTCTGCTGGTCAAGAGAGAAGTGTGACATGTTCGCCCAGGGCCTCTTTCTTGGGCACATTTTTATTTTAGATAGATATTCTATTTTTACTAAAGGAGATTTTGGAAGCAGCTTGTTTTGAGTCTCCTAGTCATGGAGGTATTTTTTTTTTTTAAAGTCGTCTCTGGTATTCTGGCTTAACGATGAACTTGTTTCCTCGCTGACTCGTTCTAATTGTGGAGTCTTTGTGTTGTTGTGCACCTCTCATGTGACTGTCATGCCTGCCTGAGTTAACTTGCTGACATCCAGCAGACTATTTAAAGCTGATTATGAATGGATCACAGAATGTGGTCCTTTGTGGCTTTTCGCTTGTCTTGAGACCCACTCAGAATATTTATTCATATAATATGTTTCTTCAGGACGACCTGGATAGTATTTGCCTGCAACGGTCACACGATCAGAAAAAAAGTGAACACATAAGCCCTAATATCTGTTTTATCCTCTATTCCCCCCCCCCCCCCCCCTCCCACACCTGAAAAATAGAGACGACTGCGTCATCTCCGGAGCATCGCGGCCAGAAACATCGTCAACAAGAATGGTCCTCCACTGCTGGACACTTACTTCACCCTCCACCTCTGTATAGCAGATGGCATATCCAGAGGTCAGTGTTGGCACCTTTTATCCTGTCGCTCCTCCCCTGTGTGTGTGTACGGCCTTCTGTATCTGCTGATCTGGACTCTCAAGGGGGGCTTTAACCCTGTTGGTTGCACATGAGCATGTTTTGAACTTCTTTTAACGAGCGTTCTTTGTCCTCTTTTTAGATTTTTACAAGAGTGAAGTCATACGGGACTCGCTGGTGAGTATACCTATTAAAACCATCAGACTTTCCCCGTCACTCTACTGGGATCACAACATTGCATCGTGTCCTTTACACCTGCCGCCTCTCTACCACTCATACATTTAGACAACTTTTTGTTTCTCTCTGAGCTTTGTTAATTAAACGGGTGTGAAACGCTCTGCGTCGACAGACAATGTCAGACTGGACCCAACGTGAATGTTTCCATACGCAACTTTTAACGAAACATGATGTAAAGGAGGAGAGATTAGGAGAGCGAGCCGTTACTGTTTGACTTGCTGCAGAGTCATGAGCTGACCTAAGCTGCTTTCCAGGCCTGCTGCCCTCTGCAGACAGTAACGTTCCTCCTGTCGCCTCCCGCTCGCCCCGCCCAACTTCCTCCTGTAGAATTTAACATCCTTTGCTGGCGTATGTGCTCCAGTACTCTTGTCTGGAAAGGTTGGTCTTCCTGTTTCCGTTCTGCAATGCCCCCCGTTGGTTCCTCTGCCGCCTCTCACTAGTTCTGTTTTCTACCCTCCCCCTAACCTGTGGAGGATACTTCTGCTTTTGACATTCCTCTGAATAGCCGGAGATCTTTTTCCTCTGCGATGGGAAATGACACGTCATATAATAGTAAATGGCTGCAATGCTTTGTAGGCCCGGTACTCAGTGCTGTCAGTCTGGAAGTTCAAGGATGTAGAGCGAGCTGCAGTAGAGATCAAAACGTTAAAGTTAATGTGGAACAGGTGGCTTCAGTTACTTTGTAATGTGTGGGGATCACATTAGGAAAATGGTTTAAAAGAAGTACAGATCCTTTTGAAACTGAGATCTGAAATCCAAACTCTTGGGCATGCACTAAAACCTACTCTTGCATATTATCTTTACTTGTGCAGCATAAATGGTAGTTTCTGTTCAAGCTTGAGTGTGATTATCTACTATGTTCTCATACCAGACTTATTATACTCAATCATGGCCCACCAAATCCTATGTTGTGTGTGTCAGAATCCAACTTGGCGGAGCCTGGACTTTGGCATGCTGCCGGACCTCCTGGACACCTCAGTGTCGTGCTTCGTGGTGAGAATCTGGGGAGGACAAGAGGAACAGTACCAGCTCCTCATAGAATGGAAGATCAACCTCGATGGCCTCCGATACACGGGACAGCAGGTCAGCAAGCGCACGGTCCACCAAAAAACGTCCAGTATCTGATTAGAAAGTCATTGTTTTGGTATTTGGGGTCCAAACTTCTAAGGTGCAAAGTTTTCGGTCCTTGAATCACTACATTTAAGAATCAAATGATCTTAAGCAGACAAACATGAACACTTTATATCAAAATAGAATCTCTTTGACAACTTTAAATTAGGAAAGGGCTGTAATTGATACAACTCTCGAATAGTGTTGTATGAGTATAAACCATACGTTGATTGACATTTTTGGTTGAGTGTGTTTGACTGAGGCCGTCTAAAGCAGCAGACCCCCTAATTAATATACATTTGGTTGCATATGTCAGTTTGATAAGTTACAGTTGAGGTAGAAGTGGAACCTTTGAGAGTAGTCGCTCTTATGCTACGTTCACTCGACAAGCGACGAATCAACATTTGAAAAAGTAATTTCCAATGGAGCTGGTGACATCAGGCTACGAGCTGAAGCCCGACACTGCAGACAAAGAGTGAAAGCTACTCCTTACGCGGGGAAGCCTCAACCAATCATATGATTTAGTCTTATGTTACACACACACTGCAACAGGCTCCGTTCAGGTGTGTTTTATTCTGCAATAATAACAGACAGTCAGCAACAATCAGAATCACAACGACTGTCTGTACTTCCCGACGCGGAGTCACTTGCTCTGCGCAAGTGTTACAGCGCCCGTCCGGCCTACTAAACCTGCTACCGCCACCTGTTGGCGGAAACGAGTGCTGCCCCACTGCCACTGCAGGGGGAAGGAGGCAGGCTCAAAAAGTCACATGAAGGATTTCTTTACACAATTATCAAAACAAACACAATGACAGGGGAATGGCACTAAACAATACAATTCAAAGAAACAATGGAAGTCCTTAAAAATGTCCAGGGTGCCACACTTGTTCCCTGTTCTGCTACGTCTGACATTCTGTTAGCTAGTTGACAGAGCTATCGAACGAGATAGCTCTGTCGACCAGCTCTTGAGCACCACTTCAGGCTTTTGGCCTGCTTCTAAACTGAATAAGATAGTGACAATTATCCGTTTGAAAGAGAAGCGCAAACTAATTCTAATCACTTAAAAACAGTAAGCGAATAGGCCGTTGCCTGTAAACATCTTGTCAGTAGTCAAAAGGAAAGAAATCGATCTTCCCCCTATATACATTTACGATGTACGGTGATCCGTAGCAAGCTGTGATACTCGTGTTGACGTGAGGCGTCCTTATTCTGAAGTAGCAACAAGTTGCAAATTTAATTTAATTGTAGAATAACAATGGGAAAGTGTTTGTTAAACTCTACCATTGTAGTTCTAACTCCACCCCCGCCCCCCCGTGCCCCCTCCCGCACCACTCCACGCTCCCATCAGTCCGCACACACTAATCCTTTGCTGCCATTTCTTTGTCCACAGATCCGATCCCGGAATCCCAACGAGATAATATTCGGGTTGAATGACGGCTACTATGTAGCTGACTTTGATCATAAGGTACTGCCTGTGTTTTTTTTTTTTTGTCTGGTTTTCCAAAGCGCCAACATCACAATGCTATAATGCGGTGCTAATCTCATTAGCTTTATTCAACACGCCGTTTGGCCTCTGCTCTGAAATACATCACGTGTATCTGTTGCAGGATCGGTCGGAGCGGAAGAAAAACAGTCTGCTTCAGGTCGACCAGAGTTCAGTCAGGAACTCCTACAGTGTTTTCTCTCTGCTCAGGTAAGATTCATGTATTGCATTATTACACCGCAGCAACTTTAACTGACAAAGAATGCTCTATAGTATGTTGGATTCATGCGAACCCACCAACACAAAAAGATCTTTTATTTAGTCTCTTTATTTTTTCATTTCATTTTTGTCACATGAAGAGATGTTTTTCCTAAAGTGTTTTTCATTTTTCTCTTTGGTATACGTATTCCAGCAGATGGCGCCACAGGGAAGCCAAAGTTTTGTCTTTGTGGGACAAACGTATGATTAGAATTAAAGTACTCGGTGCTATGGGTGAGAAAACGTGTGCAATACAAGTTTACACCACAGGAAGGAGTCAAGCGATTTTCCGGAAAGAAATACCGGCCGTACACTTTTGAGAAGCGGAAGCCGGTGATTACGAGCTTTAGACGACACAAGGCAGTCCCGGCATCTGTTGACAAACATGGCCTTGCCGTTCCACATTTATATTTATATGCGGTAGAATGTAAAACGCTGCTTTCAGCATAAGGAGGGCTTCCCCAGAGGGAAACCCTGTGTTCATGGTCGTATCACGAATCAAAGTAATTGCACCCAGTTTTAACTAATTGAACGTGTGGAACGTCTGACCTTTCCAAAATAAGGTAAGCATCCTGTCATTAAGGGCATTATGGAGGCCTCAACTGACGTTTTCCTACTATAAGAATTAAATGGGGGGAAGATAAACGTATCACAGCCCTTTGGCGCGTCATGCAAAGTGGACTGAGCTCAAGCCGCCTCATCCAGAGACGTCATGGTTTGTGTTCTATGTTGGAGGATAACGTTGCCTCCCCAGGAGCTCGCAGCAGAAACAATCCCAGTTCCAATCATAACTTTTATGAACTCTGCTCTTGCTCCTTTCTATTATTGCAGCTTTCCTCCACATCCTCTTCTTCTGCGGGGTCCCTGTGGGACTCCGTCACACTGCCCCCCCTCCTCCCCACCTCTCTACCAACACACTGCTCTGCCTGCAGCTCTGTCAGAGTGGTTCCTTTGCTCTGTGCACTCATATGCACATAGTTTATGATTATGTTCTGTTGAATGATTCATCAGATACTGAACACTCCAACAGGGATTACCCCCCCCCCCCCCATGGTGCGTAACCTTATATACCAATCAGTTGCTGCGCCTTTTTTGAAGTCTTGCTCTTTGAGCTGCTCTCGGTGTACAAATCTGTGCGTGTGTGTCGGCCCACTTACGTGGTTGAATGCATCAAATAAGTATTTGATTTTTAATGCATGTCAACCTGAGACGCCCATACTTTGGGATAAACTTCCCAGATTCGCTCCCACTCGGCCTTTGTCCGGTGCAAAGCGTCTCTCTGTGTCCCTCTCTCGCTCTCAATGTCAGCGGAAAAAAGGGAGGAGAGCTGGTTTCGATTTGTGGCTGTAATTTGTAAGCAGATTCAGGGTCAGCTGTGTCCGCCTGGTCGACAAGGAGGCCGGACCCATCCAGGCAGCGTGAGCTACGCGGCGACGTGGGCGAGCAAACACGCCACTTCTCAGAAGAGGGAGAGCACAGATCGTGGTTGCTCCCAGAGATTCATGGAGGACGGCCGCCCCCCCCTTGTCTGTGCAGACGGTGACGAACACGCTTCAGCTGTTTAACAACGTTTTGTTTCCCTGTGGACTTTATTAATGCAGGGGGAGGTATGCGCCTGTCGTAGCAGGGAAAGGTTTGATGTTTGAGCAGTGAGAGAGGAAGGAGGACCTGACAGGACCGGGGGTGGACTTGACTTATTGACATCACATTACTGATGTTTAGAACGGTTATGGTCTTCTACCGCCTAAAACGCTCTTGAACTTCACATTGAAGTGGCGTGCAAAAGGGAAACACTTGAGTGGCCTCTCAAATTCTTCTTGCAGGTCTCTGAATGCAGAGAGGCGTGCGCTTACTATAAAGTGTTAAATGATGTTCACAGAGTAGTAGCAGTGGGGTAACGGTGGCCCATGTGAGGCGTACTAAACATCCCGCCGAGGTGATAATGCTTTGTGGCCGAGGCTGCTAGTTGGACGTCGCCCCCCTCCGGCTCTCTCGTTCTTGTGGTCCCTTGTGAACCAGGCAGCTGTGTTGGAGTGTACGTTTGACCCCGGGGTCTCAAGCAGCAACTACAAAAACAAACCCAACGGCCCAAGCTCTAAATCAGCGGGGAGAAGAGGGCCGTGGATGCTCTTGTTTAAGTTTCACACCTCTTGAGAGGACTAACGCAGAGACAAAACAAACCGCCAGATACAGAATTTTTTTAAATGTTCATTTAAGGTGTATTGAAACATGTGCCCAAAGGCTTTAATCTGGTGCAGATGCATGATCTCCTGTCATGTCTTCCTCTGCAGCATGTCTACCTTCCATTGTCACTAGCTGCCCTTTTCTTTTACCCGCTCGATCTCTCACACAGGTTCAGTCGTGCACGCTATGTGTAGCCGTCTGTTATCATCTCTCAGCTTGTTGATGTGGCGTGCGTTACTCCCACCATTAGGATTACTCCCAAGCCCTCGCCTCACTTTGTGTTCCGGCCCAAACAAACGCCATTAGGCTTTGACTTGTAGCGCGGCTTTGTGGTTCTGTGTTATTTGGCTTACCCCAGCAGGCCGTCTAAGTCACCATGACTAACCGTTTTTTAGTGCAAGACCATGACTCGGGATCCAAAGCTCTATGATTATTTAGAGAGGGCGTGACCTCGCTTTAACCCTTATGGATCCAAAGAATAATGTCTCTAAGGATCTCTTTGGCTTCACGTAAAGACGGCTCATGGCAATTCACCAGAATAGAAGGATCTTATCTTCTATTCGACAAAAATGGAGACAGTTAGGCGAATAACAGGTGCTTAAAAGTGTTGACATTGTTTGACAGTGAAACACAGGGAGAATCATGCGGATTCTTCTTCCCCACTGCGGTGGCGTCTCGTTTCGTGCGTGGCAGAGGTGTGATAGCAGGACTTTGCCCTCAATCTGTTGACACAAATGCCCCATTTGGCCGCCCAGCTCCCTCTCGTTGCTGGAAAGGAATTCTGCACAGCCTCAGGCGGGTTTCGTCCTACCCAGGTTTTTTTGTACGAGTGCATTGGGCGCTCTTGTTTGTGATGAATAGCTGAAAGTAGATCTCAAATTCTGCTTTGGTAAGCAGCCATCAATATTTCTGCTGAGTTGGAAGCAGTCCATTAGCCCAGCTGAATTCTAATTTTATTCATATTCCTTGTTGGTTTACTAGATCCTGCCTATTTTCTGTCTCACGCACGGTATGTTCCAACCACTTTCATTTTGTTGATGGTAAATCCTTTATCAACATTTTAGCATTGGAGTTTTTTCTCCGCCTAAAAGCCCCTATTGAAACAAATTTTGGAGAGGCCAATCACAAAGAATCTGTTGGTTTCAAAAGCACAGGCTTCATCCGACACCCTTGCAGGATCAGAGTGCCATGGTCAAAGGAGAAGATGTTATTGTTTTTCTGATGTTTATCGGCATCAAGGGTTGAGTGCTCAGGCTCAGTCATAACTTCCTGTGAATCCAATGGATCTGTAAATGAAGCTAGAAAAGCCTCGGAAAAGGAAAGTTGTCCGGCCTCGTCAGAACAGGTTTTTTGGACAGTCAGAGAATAAAATTAAACTGTGATTAAACTGTGGGTGCCCGATGGTGAACACCCTCCCCCCAGCTAACGGCAGGTGTTAGGCCTAGACTCAAGGTGAGGTGGGCAGATAAGGGAGGGACGGGAGGGTGGGGGGGGGCAGACATGCGTGAAAAGGAGAGAGAAGATAATTGTTCTCACCCCGGGGGGAAAAGCATATCAGATTCTGGCTTTCCAATCACCTAAACAGATGAAGCTGTCAAAACAGATTTGCCCCCCATGTTGTTCCGAAGGGCTATCTCCAAATGCTATCGCTGGAGAGAAAATATATATCCGTTAGGGCTCCTCCACAATACTGTCTTCACATCGTCATGGAAACCACACACACTTGGAAGTGAATTGTCCATGTGATTGATGGTCTAAAAAATGCGCCACATTTTTCCACCGTGATGACGGGGTCTCTGTGGTTTCCATGAATAATTTGTTAGTCCGCCTCCCGGGACTGATGGGTTCGTATCTATCGGACAACATATGATCTCACATTGCAGTCCGGTTATTGGGAATTGCTAGTGATTACACATTGTGAAGTTTGTGGCTTGTGGCTTGTGGTATTCAAAGACTGAATGAGGGTGGTCAAATGAACTGTAGATAGTTTATAATTAATTCAAAAAATTTTGTGCCGTTGACTTTTAGAGACTCGTTTGTTTGGGCAAAGAAGGTCACCCCTGGAAAATTAGACCCGTCCGCATGGGGACACTCATGGAGTTCACGGTGCCCTTCCCACAGTCCCTGCTGGATGTAATGAATTGAGCGGCCTGTTGGAGGCGGGGTTTCCTTCCGGTCCGGTGTGTGCTCACAGACTATGATCTGCATGGTCACCATGTCTTCTCCTTCCCCAGGCTCCACACAGCCCAGAGAGCCATCAAACAGACCCAGGTGACTGTGCAGAAGATCGGGAAGGAAATCGAGGAAAAGCTGAGGACGACAACAACGTGCACAGAGCGGGTGAGCGCGCTCCACCACTTGGCAGTAACTTTTCTTTTTGAGCGAACAATCAGCCTACACACTGTTTACGTTAATTTTCACTGTGTTCTCGAAGAAGGTTCTTCAGCCAGCAGTTAGGGTTAGGGGGGGTTGCTTCGATCAGCAATAAAAAGGCCCTTAGGCTTCCACACCGACAACAAACACATGCAAACTTTTTTGAGACTCAAAATCTCGCATCACCCAAATCCCATGGGGTAATTGCAACGTAAACCACCGGCAGGTGTGATTACACCCTCTGGGCAGTCATGGCATCCTTTTTGTTTGAACGGCTCAGCTGAAAAGTGGAGACAGCGTTTGACGCTTTGACCTAAACCCACTGTTTGCTTTTCCTTCTCCTGTCATACATCCCCGACAGGGATCTGCAGCAAGAGCAAGAGAGCATATTCAACATTTTTGGAATTGGCAGCCGCACAGCTGTGAAAACGCGGCGCTGATCCCGTGGTGGACGTGGTGTTTGTTGTAAACATTCACTTTAAAAGCGGCGTGTATCTCTGCTGTTCCAAAAGCCCCGAAGCAGTGACACTTTGCTGTTTTCCATCCGACAGGTAGACTTGCCTTTTGGCATGCAGCTGGGATGTGTTCGTGTCCACCCAGTGTTTTAAATCGAAGGGACGGTGTGTGTGTCTGTGTGTTAAGTGTGTGCCTTCTTACCGATGCAGACCTAAAGGTTCAGACAGCTGTCACATCTTTCACGCTCTCATCGTCTTTTGATATGGCTCTTTTTGTATTTTCTTTTTGTTCCTCTCCCGACCTTTCACCCTTTCACCCCCCCCCCCCCCCCCAACAAAGGATCTTTTTAAAAAAACTCCTGATATTTCCCCCTCATTGAAACATTCCTTTGAAAAACAGAGCTCACATCAGCTAATAAATCACATAATCCTCGTCCTCCACTGGTCTGTCCAAGGACAACCCCCGGCAGGAGTGAGTGGGGCATTGTGTGGCTCTTCTGAGGGTTCCCCTCTTGGCCCTTTTGGAGAGCTCAGCACTATCCCTCTGTGTGCGTTATAGTGAGCGCGGATCAAAGTGGAGGCCACCAACCCAAAGCACATGGCCCTTTTCCCCTCTCACCCACACTGCCATTAATCTGCTGGTTTATATCATCGTATTTACTCAGCTGACCCCAGTGCTGTTTGATGTTCAGCAGAAGTCAGACGGGCCCTGGTGGTCGGTTACAGACACACACACACACACTGACCCACTTGTCAACTGTGTCGCTCAGTAAAAGTGTAGGAGGCTGGTGGTTTGTGCCAAAGCCGGCAACAGTTAACATGCAGGCTTCAGGGAGAGATGGAGGCTCTATCAGTCTCCCCTCAGTTTTTTCACTGCGACGCCCTGAGAAGTCTTCAAAACAAAGCATATCTGTGATTTCCTCTGATCCATGCCACGATCACTATCTTAAGTGTGTGATGCCACAGCCCCTGCTTGAAAGCTGCAGGGGGAATAACAGATGCTGGATTATCTGTTAACTTTCCAGCAAGCGCTTTCTCCCTACCAACTCATTCATTCTTTTTTTTATTTTTATTTTATTCTCCATTCTCATCACCCGTAAACGCCGCTCTTAAATTGTGTCTACAGGTTTTCTCCTCATCCTCGTCTACTGTTTATATCAACAACATCCATCCATCAGTGAGTGCATCCCTACTGCTGCTCCTCAGCAGATGGTGAGCCCACCGCAGGCTGCTCCTCCACCAGATAGAGACATGCAACCTAATGCAGGGACACCCTTTAGAGAGGGCAAGATGCCGCACACGGATGGCGATTAGTGACTCCTGCCGAGACGCTCGTGCTTTATTGTTGTTTCCAGTTTGTACACCTCCACACATTTGCCTGTGCGGTGGTTCTGTGTGCTTGTTACCAAACCTTTCCCCATGTGACACTGATCTCAGGGCTCAGTGAGATGTTTTGAAATGTCAATTCCATTAGCCGATACCAATCTGATAGTGGTGTTAAAGGTTTAATAACGGGTGCATAAAACCACGGCAAAGGCAAATGTGTTGATGTGCACACAGTGGACACAACAATACATTTATTGAATTATCATAAATTGTTAAAGTTAAAAAAATGAATAGAAGGGAGCCAACTTGACGTACATTAGATCAACGTTGCATGGGAGCCAAGCTTGTTTTTGGAGGAGCTTCTAGGAATTTGGGGGTCGTTATGAGGGGTAATAAACACTGAAATCGCTTTGCCGGCACACCTAAATATTTTCCTCTTTACCCTTTCTCTGGTTTCTCTCCTCTTTGGGTCGGAGCAGAAGAAGGAGCGAGAGTGCATGCAGCTGCGCATTGGCGTGCTGCGGAGTGAACTGCAGCGACAGAGGAAGGCCCTCGGCAGGGAGATGGACCTGCGGCAGAAGGACCGAGCACAGCTTCAGAAGAAAGGTAAAGCCAACAGGAGCCCATGCGACTCCACAGAACAAAATCAAAGTGTACACAATGTCTGCACACTCTCTCACTTTTTGCACATGCTTAAAGTGGCATTCAGGCTGCATATTGATTCATGGTTTTAACCCCCAAATGATGCTAGTTCTAGCAGCATACATGGCAGCAATCTGAGCCTGTCCTTTTGGCAGTGTAATGTTACATTGGCGCTGCACGATAGTCCTGCAGTTTGTTTCCTAGCTGCTGGTTACAGTGTTCTCCCTCAATACGGGAGAATTTTAAAAATCGTTGTCCACATTAGTTACCTAAAAGATAAAACACAAAACATGGGAAAATAGAGTCTAGGTGGAAATGACTTAAGATATCACTTATTATAAACAAATTATACCAAAACCTGCTAATTACCAATGATATAAAAAATACAAAAATAACAGACAATGTTGTTATGACAGTTTGTAAATAATTCTACATTAAAGATGATGTATTGCAAAGAACTGTAATAAATTTAAGGATTTTAAATGACACACATTAAATGTTCTCCTGTTACTATTTACTCCCCTTCAACGTGTGATATTGTTGAACAGGAAACTCAGATTTAGACCCCCCCCCCAAGGAAGGTGTCAAAGGCAGCAGCAGGTAGAGCGTGTGAGCCACACTACCGAGCGTGTGAGCCACACTACCTGCTCACTGGAGTACAGTGGAGAGCGTTGTCACACACAGGAAATGTCTGTCAGAGGATGGGAGTCACTCAACACACATGCTCATAACGTACGGTAAATAGAGCCCTTCCTGTGGTTGCTGTAGCCTGTGCCAGGCCGCTAACGCAGGGGTGTCATTTATTTAACACCGCGTGGTCCGTGGCACATGAACTTTCAGCTCTTTCTTTTCTAAACCGCTTTTTTATATTTAGTTATGTGTTCCTCATGGTGCTCATAAAAACGTACACCGACTGCTTTAAACAGGGAGTCTGTTTATGGCTTTACCGCATGAGAAGGGCTTTTTTATCAAACCACAATAATAATAATAAGAGCAGAAGTTCATTCTGACCAGCAGCTTGAGTTGAGTAAGTTGGACATCCAAACTGTTCCTGTGCAGCTTTTTAAGCTGCATTGTACTCGCTACGTACGACATCAGCACTGATGTTTGTCTTGATGGGTGCTGAGGGAAACCCTTAAAAGCTTTGAGGATCGTCATTGGTTAGAATCCAATGGGGTGGGTGTGGCTTCTGGTGCTGTCCTAGGTGCTGAAACAAAGCCAAAATCAATAGTCAGGTGGTCTCAACAGGGCCAGGTATTTGGTAAGTTGGCATTGACTACAGTCTATGTATGTATTTAATACTTATTAGGCCTACATCAACAAATTTGGTTTTATTTGTAATGCGGTTATTTGCGCATTTACTGAAAACATAAATCCTTGGATGATAACAGCAAATCAAATAGGAAAATAATTCACTCTCAACTTTATGTTGCAGTCCTGTCTGAACACGATGCAGGGCTCTGTGCTATCAAGCGTAAAGACACAACTGCAGAGAGTTTGGACAAAAGCACCAAAGGTTTTGTGGTAGCTATATGTCCGACTGAGACCTCGTAAAGAGAAGACTCGTGGACAGCCTCTTTGCCTCACTTGAATGCATGCATGCATGTAGCAATATGCACGCATTCTGTGTGAGGGAGAAGCAGTGCGTCAGGCCTGTACCTTATCTCTAACGTATTGTGCCACCATTTCTCACCCAAGCTTGGAAGCTTACCAAAGATGGTATTCAGTTCAGCGCTAATTGGAACCTTGTGTAATGGAGATCACCTAGATCTTTGGCCAAAAACGTCAAAGCCACCAAAGTTAACAGTTGGATTGCTAATGGCATGCTTTGAGACATTACACACGCAAACAAAAAGAGCGCACTTTGGGTGCAGCACAAGTTTTCTTTTTGCTACGATTTCAAAAGGAAAAAAAAATTAAAAAGTCTGTTAATCCTCTACCTTTCTACCTGTCACCACTGCGTCCACAGCCAAAGGAACTCGCTGCTCTCCTTCTCAGCAGCTCGTTGATGGCTTTTTTCCCCTGACTGGACAAGTGCTTATTAAGAAACAAGAAAAAGTCCTTCAGCGAATTTAAGAGGAGAGAGGAATTTTTGGTTAAATTGAAATTCTCCAGCTGAATAGGGCTCGCAAAAAAAAACTCCAAAGCTAAAAGCCATGTGCTGCCGAGCTCCGCTGTACTTCAAGCTTGATGTTTAACTCTTCTAAACAGCCCTGCATCCATTACAGGTAGGATGCTCTCTGAGACAAGCGTTTAATGCAGCACTTGATTTTGTTTGATTATATTTAGATTTACAGCACAACTTCTTTGTTTCTTTTGATCTCATCTCTCTTCTTTTGGCGTTTATTAATTCTTTTATATAAAAAGTACTCTCACTAACTAAAAAAGATGACGTCCCATTTTAATCCCTATAATTTCTCCTCAGACAAGCTGGCGAGGAACTAATGTTGATTCAATTAGAAGCGTTTCATTTGTTTTTACGCATTCCAGCGCTTATTAGGTACAGGTTTCTGTAGTGCGTTATGCTTAAGTACTTATGCATAAAACCTAGTCACATTGTCGAGCATCTTGGTCGGTACCTGGCTGTGTGGTCCTCCTGTCTCCCACGCAGTCCTGAGGCCACTTAGCGAGCAGCTCTTATCAACCGGTTATTCCCAGGAAAACCAACCTCTTAACAAGTGCTCCAGAAAACCCAAACATACAGTCGGGGTGCTGCAGGTGCAGAACGTCGACATGCGAGCTGGTGAATAAAGGTGAAAATTGGACGTCTACACAAACTTTTTGTTGTCGTAATGTAACCGCTAGACTGTTTTTGCAGACTTACTGATCTACTCTGCTCATCTCTCGGTCCTGCAGGATGTTGGCATAATAAAGCACAGCTATTCATTTAAAATAAAATTTTAGTTTGTTTACTGTGCTTGGTAACGGTAGTTATTCTCACGCTCTGTAATGCAGCCGAGACTTCTGACCAATAAACGTCAGTGGTCAGGGTCTCGGGAGTTCTCTGCGGGGGTTCGGGTGTGAGGAGGTATTTGTCACCTCGGAGAAGGGGGTCTCATGTTAAAGCCATCATCATTAGGGCTCTTTTTTAGTGCTAGATTTACACGTTTTACAGTGAAACAGGCGGTCCAGTCAACCCTTTTATCCTCCAGGATAAAAGGGTTGACTGGCCCGGCTGTCACACGCTGCCTAATGACTCCCTGTGACGTTATTCTACCCCCCCCCCCCCCGTTACATCCCGCTGGCTCTGCAGCTCACAGCCAACGGTTTCCTTCATGTAGCGGGCCCAGCCATGTTTGTCTCTCCTAATGGATTGATCTTCAGCTGGAAACAAAGGCTTACTCTTCACCGTTGTTTTGGAGCGGTCAATAATGTCTTTGCTGCTGCTGAAATTTTTCCCCAGACACTTTTATTCCTTTTGAAACGCTCTTCATCTCATTTCTTGTGGTTCTTTGTGGTTCTGTTTTGAGTTTATGTTGTTTTGCACTATATTCCTTGAGTTTTTTTTGATAATGATGTCCCGAAGTGAGGCTGAACACCACAACACTTTTCAAAAAGCTGTAAGATCATCAACTGTTTTTTAATGTGATCCAGATTATATGCGCCTGCTAAGGATTCTTGTGGAGTTTTCTCATCAACATTTGGCTGTTCCAACAATGACGATAATCACAGAGCACCTGTATTTTGTATATTTTTGAAACATTCTTCTCTTTTAACTGTAAACTCAAGGAACTCAAGTAAGAATTTAGGTAATTTCTGTTCAGCTTTTTCCACATTTTGCATTACACTTGTACACTTTTGCAGCTCTTGTACTCGGGAGTCAAGGTGGTATTTTCCTGCCAGTTTAAGTGAATCCGGTGTTGCTGCTCTTTATGTAATAATGTGTTCCACTTTAATGTCCTCTGGGACTCCAGGGACACTCAGGTCAGGCCAGTTTGAGCAAACCCTTAAAACCACACCACTGGGGTCTTATACAGAATATGATATTGGTGTGCTGCGTGTAACCTGGTTTATTAATGGCTGTGTTTTTTCTGTCCTATACCTTGATAGTAACCAAAGCAGGTTGGAGACGGATTGAACAGATGAAAGCAGCTCTGCTTGGTACAGGCCCGTGCTATCTGTGTTAAAATATGTTTTCATCCCCGTCTGATCTGTCTGACAATATCTGTTTTCCACTCTAATCTGATGGGGATCGGGTTGAGTACCCTTTTTATTTCTCCCTCCCCCCGGTCTCCGTCTCTGTCAAGGTATCTCTTCTTCAGCCCTCATGTGGTGTTGGATGTGAATGAAAGTATGTGATTTCAAAAGCAAGTCCTGTGATCCCGCTGATAACAGATGTGATGTGATCATTTCATTCTCCCCAAAAAGCCGGTTCTGCCAGCTGCTGTCATCACATGCGTCTTTTTGATAGTTGATTGCCAGAACTCTAACACAGTTAAACGGTTTGAGATACACTTGCTGGCTTGAATGCATGATTTAAAACATCTCCCATGATTCCTCTAGAGTCTATGCAATATTTTTGAAACTGGAATTACATCATCACTGACCGGGCTACAGAAAACAATAGGAAGTCTAATGTTTGCATTAACAGAAGCTTCATTACTGATTTCATTACAGCTCTGGGCTCCAAAGATAAGTAAACCGTGTACCTGTAATAATGTTGTCTAAAGGAAATGAGTGTATGCTTGGTTGGAATATATGAGGAAACACTGAAGAATCACAGAATATCTCACCATTTATTGCTGCTGTTTTTCTGCTTTTTTTTTTTTTGTTGCTCAAAATCTGTAACCAGTTATTGACAAGCAGTTTTAAGCAGAAGCAGATTTGGAATTTCTTCCTTTTATTATCTGTAAAAGAGTAATGTACGGACGGAACGCTCCCTAAAGCCGTAAACAACGGTTTCCTTGTAAATAGAGTGTGCTAATGTCAGTAGTCCGCCTCCCAACGCGTTGTTATCAAAGTTCCTCCGCTTTGTTGACCGAGCTGCGCCGCCCACACATGGGTTTTAGTGGTCGTGAGTCTCCCGCTCTGCCCTGCGCAGTATGCCGTTACAGAGGATAACGGGCCTCCAGTAAGGGCGCCTGGCTTCGAAGCTAATGGTCAACTGGTAGATTTACTTCTGATGTCCTTCGCCTTGTCGCCTTGTTTTTTAAAGAGCTCGGGTCCAAAAATAAAAAAATGATCATTATTTTTGTCATCTTAATGGTGTTAACCGACGGTGTGTGGCAAGAAGGTGGTGCTTACCCTCCGACTCGCCTCAAGGGCACATCGGTAGCTTGTTTGTGCCGTTAGCTGCTAGCCGCATTCTCAGCGGTCGCCATGTTGAGAGCTGTTGGGACGCAACAGACATCCGCTCAATTTTGTATTGAGCACCTTTTTTTGTTTCTAATACAGAACAAAGGATGACAATTGATGTAGCAGAGCCGGAAATTCAACACACTTTTTTGTCAAGACCAGCCACCCACACTACCCACAATGCAACACGATGGCCCCCGCCCTTCCCCTCGTCGTTGAAAGCGAGGCCAGCCACCTCGGGGAGAAACCTCATTACCCATGTTTATATTCACAGTCTGAGCATAAAGCATATGTGATTTTTGGCATTAAGAGCTTCGCTCTGTGGCTCTGCTCTCTCTTCGCCACCATTTCACGTGATACATCACACCTGACGGTCAGACTGTGAGACCCTTTGGTTCCCAATTAGGACAATCCAAATATTTTAATGATTATCACACGCAGTTGTTCTCAGGCTTTTCCCATTTTCAGCTTCAAGCAGTAGATGGCAAACAAAAAAAAGCTTCTGCTTATTCTGGGGTTTCTGTGAAACACGTAGCTGTCATGTGGTTCTATTCTGAATTGAATGAGTTATATGTGAATATGATGGAGTCAACCTGCCATCATATGTAAAATATGCTAAAATGACCCCATAAGGCACCTAAAAATGAAAAGGAGTCCGTACATCCCATCACATTGAAGGCAGGATGAACACATTGGAGATTGGAGAATAATTCTGTTGCCACCCATTAAATTACACGCTGAGGCATTGTGAGTTTGCAAACACTGTAATCTCACAACTTCCACTAACTGAATCATCACTGCCCCTTATCCATCAGATTTAATTTATTTGCCCAGCTCTGTATTTAGACAGTCTGACAAATCCTGTAATTTGCATACATGTGTTGTTTGTTTTTTATGTGCTGTCAAAAGGAAATGGTTTTGGCTGTTTAATCTTCTTTCAGTTTATCAGTGGATGGCTTCCAACCAAACACAAGCCCACCTGGCTGTTCAGATGTAGCAGAACAAACATACACACCTATTCATTTACTCCATTGGATGTTTTTCTTTGTCTCTTTCAGAGGAAGCGTTTTCTGCTCAGCATGAGGGCCTGAAGGAGGAGAAGGACTCCTTAACCAAGCAGCAGAAGGAATGCACTGCCAAGAGGTATGTGTGAACCTGTAATCAGCTACTGCTTCATGTCTGCACACAAAACCCACTTTTTAAATGCACATATCCCCGTCAGACATTGCCCAGATGTGAAACAATGTGTTGCTCAATCCCACTGGATTGTGATGGAACTCCGCCCTGCTCGCCTACTCCCACGAGCTCTTTAAAAAACAAGGCAACGTTTTTGTGACTGGCACTCCCTATTTATGTCTTCTTGGCAAAGTTTGCACATTGTGCTCAAAGGCCTGTTGGCCGGTTGTTGCCTTGGGCTGCAGCGGACGTGTTCGCCGGCTGACGGCCATGGATACAGCTTGTGTTTGTGTGAGAGGTACCTGTCAGTCGCAGAAGGTAAACCAGAGCCCGGGAAGGCCAGGAGGGGCCAAGAGACCCAGCAAACAGGAAATTAACGCCGACACTCGTGCATCTGCCTAACATCCGCTCTTTGGAAATATCTGTGTTGTCGATGTTTCTCACGGAAATGTGTTTTTTGAATTTAACTTGGGTTTTCTAAGGTTTTGCTGGGAAAAAGTTATGCTGAGCATGCACACTTTTCTTTTATGCCTTTTCACATTCCTGATTAATATTTTACATCTGCTGTTGAACAGCTTATCTCACAAGATCTGGGCTCGAAGGCTTCAACATCAATTTACACAAACCGGAAACCTTACATTTGTTCATTCAGTGGATTTATTCCCAATACCAGCACCATAGAAACGTCAGAAATGCTTCCAAGACACAAGTCTATGATCCAATACCACTTATCGTTTCTTAACTGATGTATACGCCACACAGGAATGACAACACGTGTCAATCACAACCTGACCTGTACATCATGTTCCACGGGCAAAGGTCAATCACAAAATTACCATGATTTGTTTTAAGGAGATATTTTCATAGCAATCCATCCATTGTCAAACCGCTTATCCTGCACACAGGGTCGCGGGGGGGCTGGAGTCCATCCCAGCCAACTTCGGGCGATAGACAGGGTACATCTTGGACTGGTCGCCAGCCAATCGCAGGGCTACACAGAGACAAACGACCATTCACACTCACATTCACACATCTACGGGCAATTTAAAGTCCCCAATTAACCTGATCCCCAGAGCATGTCTTTAGACTGTGGGAGGAAGGCGGAGTACCCGGAAAGAACCCACGCAGACACAGGGAGAACATGCAGACTCCACACAGAAAGGCCACTGGGCGGAATCGAACCCAGGCCTTGCCGTGAGGCGACAGTGCTAACCACCACGCCACCGTGCCGCCCCGTATTTTCATAGCAATGTAATATATTATTAACTATATAATGTATATAGTTATTAGGTGGGGGGTTATGACTTGTTTTAGTTTTTATAAAACACTGGTATCTGATTTCTACTCTGTATCGGCCGGTACAAAAGTTCAGGCATTGGAATCAAGAAGAACATCTGGAAAGGCCTCAAACACCTCACCAACTACAAGCCAAAAACCCCCCACTCCATGAATGACCTCCGCCTGGCAGACAAGCTGAATGAGTTCTACTGCAGATTTGAAAGACAATGTCCTGATCCCATCCCCCACAGCTCCACCAACCTGCTGCAGTCCCAATCCCCTCCCTCCCCCAGCCCATCAGGTGCTCATGCCTCTTCAACTATATCACCTTCCCCTCCCCCACCAGCAACGACCCTCTCTATTCTGGAGAGAGACGTTAACCGGCTCTTTAGAAGACTAAATCCCCGTAAGGCAGCCGGTCCGGACTCCGTTTCCCCTCACTCCCTGAAGCATTGTGCTGAACAGCTGTCTCCGGTGTTCACTGACATCTTCAACACCTCCCTGGAGACATGCCACGTACCAGCCTGCTTCAAGGCCTCCACCATCATCCCTGTCCCCAAGAAGCCCAGGATCACAGGACTCAATGACTACAGGCCCGTCGCCCTGACCTCTGTAGTCATGAAGTCTTTTGAACGGCTAGTCCTGACCCACCTGAAGTCCCTCACCGACCCCCTCCTGGACCCCCTGCAGTTCGCCTACAGAGCCAACAGGTCTGTGGACGATGCTGTCAACATGGCCCTCCACTACATCCTCCAGCATCTGGACTCCCCAGGAACCTACGCCAGGATCCTGTTTGTGGACTTCAGCTCTGCTTTCAAAACCATCATCCCGTCTCTGCTGCAGGGCAAACTCTCCCAGCTGCACGTGCCCGACTCCACCTGCAAGTGGATCACAGACTTCCTGTCTGACAGGAAGCAGCACGTGAAGCTGGGGAAACATGTCTCAGCCTCTCGGACCATCAGCACCGGTTCCCCCCAAGGCTGCGTTCTTTCCCCTCTGCTCTTCTCCCTGTACACCAACAGCTGCACCTCCAGCCACCAGTCCGTCAAGCTCCTGAATTTTGCGGATGACACCACCCTCATTGGACTGATCTCTGGTGGGGACGAGTCCGCCTACAGGTGGGAGTCTGACCATCTGGTGTCGTGGTGCAGTCAGAACAACCTGGAGCTCAACGCTCTAAAGACAGTGGAGATGGTTGTGGATTTCCGGCGGAACAGAGCCCCACCCTCCCCCATCACCCTGTGTGACTCCCCCGTCACTATTGTGGATTCCTTCCGTTTCCTGGGCTCCATCATCACCCAGGACCTCAAGTGGGAGCTGAACATCAGCTCCATCATCAAGAAGGCTCAGCAGAGGTTGTTCTTCCTGAGGCAGCTGAAGAAACTCAACCTGCCAAAGACGATGATGGTCCACTTCTACACGGCCATCATCGAGTCCATCCTCTGCTCCTCCATCACCGTCTGGTACGCTGCAGCCACAGCCAAGGACAAGGGCAGGCTGCAGTGTGTCATCCGCTCTGCAGAGAGGGTGATCGGCTGCAATCTGCCGTCCCTGCAGGACTTGTTCGCTTCCAGGTCTCTGAAGCGAGCTAAAAAGATCGTGGCCGACCCCTCCCACCCCGGACAAAAACTGTTTGTGCCCCTTCCATCTGGCAGGAGGCTGAGACCTCCCGCCATACGAACAGTTTCTTCCCTTCGGCAGTCGGGCTCATCAACAGAGCCCGGTCCCCACTTTACATCCCACTTTATTTCCTTGTTTTATACTAACCCATAGCCTTAGCCTTATTCTACTAACCCATTGCATTAGCATTTCATTCTGCTTTATTTTATTACTTGTGCACTGTTGTCTTGTCTGTCTACTGTCGCGCACTAACCGGCAAGACAAATTCCTTGTATGTTTGACATATTTTGGCAAATAAATGTTTCCTGATTCCTGATCCTGAAGAAGAAGAGATAAAGTAATTATCTATTTTTCAGTGCATCTCTGTTGTGACCTTGAGACCTTGAGTGGCCTCACTGACCAGTTATGGACAGCACAGTAAACAAAATACCTTTTTTTTTTATTTTGTAGCAGCCCGAACAAAATGTTCTACTCGTTGGTCTGGTCGCCGGCAATGCGAAAATTTCCCCTCAGACAATATACCGTACTGGATACACCGTGATTGTGCTACCTACAGATCTGCGCTGTATACAAAGTTGGACTTGTACTCTTTTTTTTTTTTTTTTTTTTTTTTTTTTTTGATTCATCATGAATCCTTTGTTTTGACCAACGTGGATTCCCTCCATGCCTCACAGCGGGTCCCTGTGACATGCCTAGAGGCATCAGCTACAGTCCTTCCCCTGCCGTCTCATCTGGGCTCTTCCTTTGCCTCTCCTCTCCCAATGTCCTCCACTCGTTACCCTGCAAGCTCATGGTTGTGTCTGGTGTTTGTTTCCCCCAGAGAGCAGTTCCTCAAGTCCAACGCCCAGCTCACCTTCCGCTGTCGTCAGCTCCTCTCCGAGCTCTCCTACATCTATCCCATCGACGTGGTGAGTCAAACCGCACGGTTCCCTGCTGCACAACACATTGTTGACGTGCAAAGAATGATCTTCTTATGATATGAAGGCTTTAATCAAGCTGAAATGGTGCAAATTGGTTCCAGAAGAATGTATGAATTCCAAGTGTTATTTCTTTTGAGCGAGCACCTATCTGTTGAATAACAATGAGATAAACATTAACGTCACTAAGTTTGGCTCTCAAACCAAACATTTCCTATGCTGACACTAGCGCACAGTGATGGGAAGATTGAAAGCAAGTGTCTCTTTTTCACACACGGTTTTCATCGTCTTTAACACAAAACCTTTTATTTAAAATTGCAGGCCAATCAGTCGGATTATGTCATCTGCGAAGTGAAGCTGCCAAACTCTGAGGACTTTCAAGGTAATTGATCACGTGCCTGGTTGTGTGTTTTCGAGGTTACGCGAGGATACGATGTGGTAAGCGTTGCCGAACAAATGTTTGTGGTTATATGTAAATGTTTGACGGAGAGAACCCAATCTGAAGGCCGATTATCTCATTCATTCACCATCAATGAGATCAGAACTTTGGCAACTATAAGTAGCAATTTGGCATCACAGTGTTTCCCCTGGGTTTACAACCTCGCTAGGGTGAACGGACCAGCCGACGGGGGGCGAGGTGCCCCCCTTGTTCAATGGTAGGGGAAACACTGCATCACTGTGCTATGGTATTACAGCTTCCAGTATTCATGACTGTCATTTTATAATCATTGGTACAGTGTGCCATTTCAAAGCATAAAAGACATGACATAACGTAATTGTATTATCAATAGTTTTACTAGCACTGAAAGGTTGACATTCCTCAAATTTTTATAGTCACACATAACCGATTACTGTCTCAAAGACGGTGTATGTGATGAGCCGGTAATGATAGAGCGCCTGTATGATCACTTTCCTGCAGCAAAGACCATCTTTGAATTCAAATGAACAGGCATGCACACAGCAGTATTTATGCGTGTAATTTTTTTTCTCCTTCTGACAATATGTACATTTCTATCCATCTGTTATGTTTACGGCCAGTTTATGCAAAAAAAAAAAAAACTTTTTTTTTTTTGCCAAATCGGCAAAAAATAGTAGAAATATTGTTTCAAAGTTTTCGTACCTGGCTGAGGAGGAAAGGCTGACTAAAGCAGAATGATAAATGATGATGTCCATGGATATTTGACTTAAACGTCCACAGAGGCCGGCCCTCTACTCAATAGTTGAAAAACAGCTACAGTAAATTACTTCAGTCATATTTACTTTGAGTTTTTCTGACATTTGAGATTCCATTGGGGCTGCTTTATTTGCGTCTTCTCGTTGGGGATATTTTCTTCTGCAAAGATATAATTGTTTGACTCCATCCACTGCTCATCTCGTTAAACCTACCTATAATATTCTCACAATGGTGGGTGAAAATAAGCATCCCCTTTTATTTAGAGTAGCCTAATCTCTCAGTTGTCCTACATTTTGATGAAATTCTTGCTGCAGTTTCATTTTGTGTCAATTTATGGTTCACAGTCAAAAATAATTAATCGATTAGATTAGATTTTTTGGCCAGTGTTTCTCTCACGCATAGTTCCAACAAAGTGAGTGAGTGAGTGAGAAGGCCTCATACAAATATAGTTCGAAAATGATAAACCAGAAAAAAAGAGTTCGGAGTCAGGCAGACAGATTAGGTTTGGATTATTCTGTTGTTGTGCACTTGGCCTTTCTGTTTGACCCCTGGACTACTGGATTGAGGAGCTTTTCAGCCCACTACAGTCTCATAGAGTCTTGTCACTAGATGCTTTTGTATCTGGTCCCACCACCCCCAAAGAGACATAGTCCGCAATAAGCACACAGTGCAATATCAGTGATGCAGCTCTGAAAAATAAAAACAAGAAGCTTTGTCACAACGCAGTTTTATCCACAACGTCCTTGTAATAATGTCATTGCAGCGTGCTAGAGGGAGGTACACGCGCCCTGATAAACTGGGTCTCACGTCACGGCGAGGTGACAAACTGCCGCTTGCTGCGATAGAACGGGCAGTGAATGGTTCCTCAGCACTTGTCTTCCACTAAGAACACAAAAGCAATTGTCCCGTCAACATTCCCCAGGAACCCTCCCTCACAGCTGAGGAGACCCGGCGGGCCTCCGGACCCCCATAACTCAAAAAATCACACTCCCTATCCCCTGTTGCCCCCCACCTGTCATAGCATATTTCAACTGCACAGCGGAGGGTGTCGTACTGACAGCCAGCCCACTTTATGTTTGCAGCTATCGCTGGTTCCCATGAGGTTGAGGCCTGCGTCTGCTCCCGCCTCGCGGCCCTGCGTCTGTTGGACCCCGGGCAATGAGCAAAGCCTCCGGGCATGTGCTGTGGTGGAGGGTGAAAGGCCTCACAGAGAACTAATGCACTTACAGCAAACTTTCCTGGGCCTCCCAGTCAGACGGCTTGTTGTTTGTGAAATGCAGAGGACGGATTTCACACCATCCAGGCAGCCATTAGTATATTCACCCTCCTAACATTACTGGTGAAATCTACAACAAAAAGGCTGAGACTTTTTTTTTTTTTTTTTCAGAAAGGCTGTCTGTATAAGCATGCGTTTTCACCCTCTTCATTTAACCCCACGCCCCGATTTGTGTGAGGTCTGCCCTGGAAAAAAGCCTGATCGTGTCTGGAGCCGCCCACAGGAGGAGGATGTTCCCCATTAAAGACCAGGGTCAGGGTTAGTTGGAGTCTTAATCCCACTGGGGGTCAAAGTGGAGCACTGCGTCACTCCACTGACGCCCTTCAGTGTTTTACACTTAACTAAGCTTCCCTTGTCAGCTCAGCCTGACGAGAGACCAGCTGTCTGTACTCGCAGACTAAGGTGACCTTTACTTGACCTTTTGGTGTGCAGCCACATCATCCAAAAGCACCAGAGGACAATAAGCGGTTTATTTCAGATGCTTTTTTATCTTTTCGGTGCTGTGGATAAGAATATGCAAGGAAAACAATGTGACGGTCTGTGTGAAAATAGGTTTGAACCATGCAGAGCCTTCACTATGGCCACAGTCCAGCATTACATGCGCATTGATGAAAACCACAGTGATTTCAACCCCTTTGCCTCCAGCAGTGTCCTGCCGCTCTTTGAGAATGTGAAACAACTTAATGTGTTGTCTTGAAGCCATTCTTCCTACTTAAAGCGGGAATAGTTTTCTGTCCAGCTTCCCACTAGAACAGTTACCCTGGGCTCAGGGAATAGCTATTCGTGATGCTTTTGGTTTTCAAGCACGTATCGAAATGATGTTGACAATCCCACTGCAACCGATGTTTTGTTTTTAGGGTACTTTGTGGGCCGTGCCAAATCTTGTATCGCTTTCATAACACCATCCCACATGAATGCCACGGCTCCTCTTCCCGTCGCCAAACTATCTTTGGAGGGATGTTTGTTTGTAATCCTCAGGATGTGGACCCGCTGTATGTAAACGCTGTTTTACTTTTTCCATGTGAGACATGCTGACAGTGCTTTCAAGCTGTTAGTGTGATAAAATACCTTTTTCTTTTTATTTAAATGCTGCTGTTTTTAATTAAATCTGCGTTTGTCTGGTCTCAGAGGCTTTGGTAGGTTCACGCAGGTCACCTTTGAAAGAGCATTTTGTGCTTTGTTTAGCAACACTCTGATCATACGGGTCTCTTTTGCTCTGTCCCCTGCAGCTAAGGATGATGGGAGCCTGGCGGTCTCCCTGGGTTACACGTCGCACCTGGTCCTGATGGTCTCGTGCTTCCTGCAGATCCCTCTTCGGTACCCAGTGATCCACAAGGGTTCGCGCTCCTCCATCAAGGACACCATCACTGACCGACTCACTGAGAAGGAGAGAGAGTAAGTGAGCTCCATGCTTGGATGTCTAAACTCAACACGCATCTCTTAAATCTCCATTTCTTCTACCAATGGATTGATTTAAATTTATATCTATAATATTTTTTACTTACTTGATGGTAATTTGCCCAATGCTATTTGTGGTTAAGGTCACTCTGACATTCTTATGAAGGACATGCCTCAGAAACGTTGTGCGAGTGTCCATTTGGGCTTAAGGTTGTTTTTCAGGATCGAGGGTCACAAAATGCGTGTTAACACGGTAATACAAAGTGGCAATTGTAGTTGTATGTGTTAAAGGGATAGTCATGGTGTAACCAGTTACAACCTCCAGTTGTGACTAGTGAAGCCACTGTGGAAGTAAACTTTCACTGTTTCTACTGCCCATCAGTCTTTCAAAAAGATTGAAAAAGTCATGTTGCATTGAAGTCTATGAGAAAATGACCCTACTTTTCTCTAGATGTATGACCTCCGTAAACATGAGTTTAGGGTCTCAATTGCTACTTTCACATCTTCAATAAAGCATGACGATCATGTAGTAAATTATGCTCCATTTATGGTCAATTACACCATAAAGCCGAGTAGGTTTTAGGTTGGGTTATCAGGTTGTTACCAGACACGTATGCGAAATGTTTCCTGATTCTCTACGTATGGTAACGTCTGTTCACTCGTAAAGCCAAGTCGGCAATGGCAGTCATCCAAGATGGCATCGGCCAAACTGAAACCTTAATTACACAAACATCCCTACTTCAAAACATCTGCACTATTCCTAATTGAGAGCAGGTTGTATATTGAGGCTGACGTTTTGCTCTCTGTCAGCCTTGTGTGGACTGTAGCATTAGCAACATTTGTGTTGACCTTGAGGAGAAGCAATACTTGCCAATACAAATGAGCCCTTTCAAACAGTGTTGTATTCCACTTGAAGACCTTGGGTGATGTGCCGTAATCCTGTCTTACTGCTATTGTTGAATTTAATTGCGGTAAGTCAACAAACAAGTTATTTGTTTGAGAAAAAAAGAAACACTTCTCCAACATGCTGTCATGTAAACAGGGATATTTTGGAAATTGGCTGTTTATACAAACACGTAAAGGACTTTAACAGACTATGGCTGCACCCAGTGGTTTTTGTAGCAGCTGTAATTCTTCTTTTATATGGAGAGAAACAAAAACTCTGGTAAAACAGTAAGGGTTTCCCAGGTTGCCATTCCATTCGGAGGAACTGGCAACCAAATGTTTGCTTTTGGCAGCCACTCTTCCACCTGTAAACAATTGGCACAGCAACACGAGCACCCAATGTTTTCAGTTGTCTCAGCAGGATCAGGACTCTGAAACCACAGATGATGGTCATGCTGATGACTTGATAGATTTATTATTTAGTTATATTTTTAGTGTGTGAGCAATCTGTGAAGAACCTGACAATTGCTGCATTGCTTCTATTTGTATCATAGACGTGTGACAACAGATAACATTTAACTCCATTAAAACGTCAGATAAAACCAAAGGTACAAAATTCCAGTCATAACGCGTTTTTTTCAATGTCTCATTAAATGGATGTGGAACTGCATACTATATTAATATTTCAAAATATAAGGGGACTGAAGAACTCGATATGTGTATGGGAAACTTTAAGAGCAGTTTTAGCTTGCCCAGTGCTTCCAGATTTCAAAGACTTGTAAGTGTTGCAGTGAGTATTTTCTAACTGCTTTGACCCGTGGATACTAAATGTATTCATGCCCTAAAAAAATACCTTTGAGGGATCTGGCTATTTCTGCAGTCTGTCTATGGAGTATGTTGAATATTTTCTCCCGTCACAAATTCCAACAACGTATATTGACACTGAAAAATCAAAAGAAGTTGTAATGAAGCGACTGATTTACTAACTTCAAAACATTTTTTTCACAACTTTGCTTTGTTTACTTTTATTTGTACTAGACAGTCAGTTGGGGCAGAACAATGGTACCTGGAGGTGAAAGAAAGGAAAAGTTGAATCCACTCTTAGTTTCTTTGAGAATATGACTGTATTTACCCAACATGAAAATCATCACCAAGGTGTAATCCGTTGAGCCGTTGGCGGAGTGTCCAAGATCCCCAAAACGAATCCTCACTTGCATGCTGTTAAATCTTTATATGCATATTGAAGGGTGCTAAAACTATATTCGTTTTTTCAGAAGTTTTTTCTTAAAATGACTATCGTCATTAAATATTAAATTATCCTTTGATTTTGTTGTAATTCCGTCCGTGACACCGCTTGTGTTTATTGTTCACAGCAACCGTTTTTTAATTGTTCAACGCAATTTGTACCATTTCCGTAGCTATTGAAAAGCCATCGTTGTACTCACAGGAAAGTCTCATTTCCAACGGAAAGTCAAGTTTGAAATAAACTTTCAACGTTTGTTTGTATTCATTACACTTGAAAAGAAAGTACATATGGTCAAACCGACAGTACGTGCTTAATGTTTATTTTGTCATTATCACCGCTTTGTGATCACACCGCTCTTTGATTTCCACCAACTTTTTTACATTTTAAGTAATCAATCCAAGTATGAAAGCATCAAAAACCCAGTGCCTCCAGAGAGAGAGAGAAGACCTGAGTTATTGTAGTCAATACATTTCCAGCCTTGTTGTGCTGTTATTCTCAGTGAGGCCCTATATTTACGATTAAAGAGGATCATAAATTCAGATATTGAATATGGAGTGGTGCAGTGAGTATTTTCTAACTGCTTTTCCCGTACCACATGCACGGTAGCTTCCGTGGATACAAATGTATTTGTGCTCTAAAAAAATGCCTTTGAGGCGACTAGCGTTCTCTGGAGTCTCTATGGAGCATGTTTGAGTCAATTAAAGGCAACTGTTTCGTGCATTGGCGTGGACACATGCAGCCACTTATTCTGTACGTTTCCATGGCACCAGTTAACTATCAACATCTTGAATCCTTCCACTTCTTGCTCTGACACGTCCTCCATACTCACCTTTGTACAGAGGTAGCGGCCAATGGTCCACAAAAAGGCCTAATTAAACATCTGGCTTTTTGTTGTTATTCCTCGTTATCATCTGCTCCTAAATTCGCTGTCATCGAACAGCAACAACCAATAAATAAAGCCATGAATGCATACCTCGCCTGCCTTCGTGTGACCTCCATGCTAAAGGTTTTTTTCTGCAGGTCGGTCAATTCATGATCAGATATTGGCCACAGTTAAAAATAATATTGTTCCACCCAAACCCCCGATTTGACCACCGTGTGATTATTGCGTAAGAGAGAGGTGTGACCTGATACAGTTCTTGTCCATCTATACATGCTTGTAACTCATCTGGGTCAGTTGTCCTGGGTAAACTAAGATACGGTGGCTGCAGAGGTCTTTCGTCTCAGGACGAAATCATCCCAGTGACTCCAGCATCCTGTTTTCCACCAGTGGCTGCTAGCGGCGCTGCATCACTCTCTATACGCAACGGACTCCAGGTGTGTGCAGGAGCTTCCGTATTCTGTGTCATCCATTGAACAGTTGACCTCTTTACTTAATAGTAAACTTAATGATGGCTGTTTTAAATGAAGAGGCAATCAAAGGCAATAATTTTTTTTCTTGGAAGCTTTTTAACTCTTCCTACTGCCTATTTTTCTGGTATAGTTCCATTTGACCGCACTTGAACAGGGGGCGCTGTAGCTGTGCTGGTAACCAGTTCCTTACTCTGTAAGTCCCAGTCACACCCTGTGGGTGGATGTAACCTCTTTGCTTCCTCTACAGCACAGTAATGTTTGAACTATTCCGGATTGATAATGATATGTTGATGTAGGGAGCAAGAAATTATAAACAGAAAATCCAACCTCTTCTTGGGCTTTGACAGGGTGGTTTGTCATGGATTGTACAGGGACTGCAATTACAGCCAGTGTAATAACAGTATTATTTGTTTAATTTATGGTCTTGTAACGATACATCAAGTTGGGGTATAAAAACACGCGAAATGCTCAGGTATGCACATTGACATTCCACACGTGCAGGACCACCTTCAGTGAGTGTGAGAGGGGGCGAGATGGGAGGACGATCAGGCAGAGTTACGAATTGTCAGCGATGTGGTGTTCGTGTGAGTAGTCCAGGTCCGGTCAAAGCTGCAAGGGGAGAATAAAGATGATTAGCTCTTACATTCTGCCCAATTTTCTTCTTTTGCAGCACACTGCCTTGATGAATTCAGTCCTTTTCGATGTGTTTTCATGGAACAACATTGTACACATGTTCTTTGGCTGTTTACCATTCAATGGTCAATTGACATAGATATATCTATATCTACATATATATATATATAGATATATATTGCAAAAAGTTCTCATTTAATTGTGCGTTCTCCTATGTCCAGCAAGCGTCTGGTTACGTTTATACAGTCTTCCCACTTTACTCAAAACTACTACTTTTAGAAAAAGGGAAAAGATTGTGGTTTGAGATAAAATAACTAGAAAAGCGGTAACACCGTAGTACAAAACTTGTCGAATAGATTAAAGGTGACTTGTGGTTTGACCCGGGACAGGAACTGCGGTCTCCTGAGTGAAAGTGTACTGCTTTTTGGAACCCACCCATCCGCCCAGACCCTGTGCAGCACGTCACTCTCTACACTTCTTGGTTCATGATTACCAATCATTTTGTGAGATGTATACGAACTACGATGATTACTTTTGGGAGGTCAAGCTGTGAACAGCCTGCCAACCATGGGCTCTCCCTGCTCCTGCTTAATGACTTCTTATCTCTGTCCGAAGGAGGCGCACAGGGATGAATCATGAATGAGTACCGACACTTTTACGTCCACATGTGTCGCACTTAAAAGAAAACAGCCGGGAGAAAGTGTGTGCGAAAAAGAGCCATTATCAGGCAACGCGGCGATGGCGTGGCCGCGCCTCTCTATGTGGGTGATTATGTCATGACAACAGCTGGAGGGGCTCACTGGGAGTCGCATTCCTCGTCCTGCCGTGCAGGATATTTACTCCCGGCAGATGAAAAAATAAACCCGTCGGCCGCGTGGCT